GTTGCTGAAGGCAATCACCTGGGCTCTGACATGATAGTATGAATAGTCCCGCGTTAAATACTTACATGTGCTCTTATGCACAACAATTCATTCTTCTGATGCACTAGCTGAAATACTGTCAATCAGAGGCTGCCTTACAGAAGGAAAATGGTTGTGTGCTTTTCCAAAGGGCTCAAGAGAAGCCTGCAGAGAGAGGCCACCTAACTTTGAGGTTTAATATTAGACTCTAAAATATTATTTTTCCATAGCAGCCAGTCCTTCATCTCTAGGAAAGGTCAACTAAGGAACTTAATGGGTTTTAGAAGATCAAAGCAATTCAATATTTGATTTGTGAAAGGGAGGGGAATAAAACCAGAAGGATTTGGAATTTACGATAACTGATCATCTTTTTTTATTTTTTAATTTTTGTTTGTTTGTTTTGTTGGTCATGGGGCTTGAACTCTGGGCCTGGGCACTGTCCCTGGGCTCTTCAGCTCAAGGCGGGCACTCTACCACTTGAGCCACAACGCCACTTCCTGATCATTTTTTTAAATGTGTGTTTATTTTGCATTTTGTCTTTTAAAGTTATCCTGAGACACAATCTTGTCCTATTGTATAGTTAATGAGAAATAATTGGGCTTCATTGTTTAGGCTATTTTTAATGAGAGAAGCTTCCTCATGTGTGACCAGAGACAACTTTCTACACAGTTTTATGGGTGAGTACAGTTATTATGTTGGCTTAAGTACATATCAAACTTTGGATGTTTTTGTATGTGTGCTAATACTAGAGCTTGAACCCAGACCTTGTTTTCTTTTTCTTTTTGTTCAAGGATGGCACTTTACCGCTTGAGTCACACCTCCACTTCCAACTTTTTGATAGTTAACTGGAAATAAAAGTCTCTCCAATTTCTCTACCCAGGCTGGATTTGAATGGTGAACCTCAGATCTCAACCTCCCTAGTAGGTAGGATTACAGATATAAGCCACCAGAGCTCTGCAAAAAACAAAAAACAAAAAAACAAAACAAAAAAAACCTTTTTATTTTTATTTATTTATTTATTCATTTTTATGCTTGTCCTAGGGCTTGAACTTAGGGTCTGGGCAGTGTCCTTGATTGTGTTCTACCTCTCTGAGCCATAATGTCATTTCCCACATTTTAGTAGTTAACTGGAGGTAAGAGTCACATGGACTTTCCTGCCTGGGTTGGTTTTGAACTGTGATCACAACATGACTGCTGGAGAATGAATGTTTGGAAAGCTATTGAGGGTCCACCACAGACTTGTAAAACTTGTAGTTTTAACAACAGGCAATGGGTGACACAATACTAATTTTAAAGTGATTAGAAATCTCAGTGGTTCTATCAAGACCTCTTTCTGACATACTGGAGAAATGAGATGGTGTGGATATTCAACACAGCTTCCTCATTGATATTACTCAGACTTTCCTTCTATGAATCATAAGGGAAATACACTGAATCATACACTAGTTCAACTCAGAGTTTAAAATACTCGTAAAGTCTACATCTGAGGACAAAAAGCAATGACTTTGAAGCTGGGAACTACCATAAACTTTTTACTCAGATTACAAAATGTGTTATTGAATTGTTTGACAAAGCAAAAGATAGCTCAGGCCCTTGTACTCTCATGGATTTTATTCTTTTCTTTATTGATGGTGGGGCTTGAACTCATGTCCTGGGTGCTGTACCTGAACTTTTCTGCTCAAGGCTAGAGCTCTACCACTTTGAGTCACAGTTCTACTTCCAAGTTTTTGGCTGGTTAATTGGAGATAGGAATCTCCATAGACTTTCCTGCCCAGGCTGGCTTTGAACCATAATCCTCAGAGCTCAGCCTCCTGAGTAGTTAGGATTACAGGTGTGAGCTACCAGCACCTGGCGCAGTAGACATTTTCTGCTCACAGCTGTTGCTCTTTCACTTGAGCCACACTTCCCGTTCCTCTCCTGTAACGATTTAGCTCATGCACAATTGACATTATTGTAAAGAGGTGAAATTAGTCAATTGTTCCTGTTTCAGACACTGATTTGCAATGCCATTCTTATAATTATGTGCTAGAATTTTTATGTTTATTTAGTTCCATTTGTAGGCTGTGTTCATTATAACTAGTTTAACAGTGTTTGCTCCAGATATCTATTTCATCTGTTATTATTTTTGTAGTACATTTTACTGTTCAGTAAGACAAATCCCTTTGATTAGTTTTATTTTTTCTTTCAGATTTTCTTGGATCCTGTCTGGAAGGCAATCTCCATTTATCTAATTGAATATTCTACTGGTTTTCCAGATTGTGTCTTATCACCAAGATGAAGTTGCTTGCTTTTCAAAGAATTAGAAAACACGAAACACTCTTACCATCACAACTTCTCTCGGATGCAGGAGAAAACGTTGGATGCTGTGAGAAGAGAAGCCTGAGAGCCTAGCAGCAGTGCTTGGCACGGTGCTTCTGTTTTGCTTACAGGGTGGTCTTAACCTTCACGGCTCCAGAGCCCTCAGCCTCCAGAGTAAGATTACAGGCACACACCACCAATGCTCAGCTTTGATACAGTGTTTGTTAGAGGCTTCTTAGGTGTATATGTCAGTCACAGTTGCTCAAGGTGTCCTCTAAGTCCACAGGGTCTACTGAAATCCTCCCTTCTTGTAAACAATAAAGAACACTCTATGGAGAGTGCAAATAGTAGAATTCTTTAGACTTAGTCAAAACCCAAGAAAGTAAGTACCAGGAAATGGGTACTTGCAAAGAGGGAAAGGAGGGGGGCAAGGGGAGAAGAGGAGAAGAATGAATGGGCGAAACAAGTAAACTACAGGCATTGCATATGTCACAGAACTGAGAAAAAAGAGGGAAGGGGTAGGTAGAAGAGGGGGCGAAGATGTTGAAGCAAAGACACAATCAAGGTGCATTGTCTACACAAATTGCTTTGTTAAATGGCAAAAAAGTCAATACATAACTTAAAAATTAAGAACAGTTAAGGGAAGGGGTGGGTTGGGAGAGTTGAGTGAGAGCCTTAAAAGAGGTGACATTGATCAAGAAGCACAATATTCATGACCTGCTCTGTGTGTTGTACAAACTCCTTTGTACATCTATCTACTTAAAGAAAAGACAAATGTAAAAAAACAACAACAAAAGACCACAGACTCTGGAAGAAAATGGCATTACTTCTATTCCCCTTCCCCCAACCTAAACACCTTGATTCATGTATTAGTAAATCTGTTGCAGTGAAATAACATTATGAATGTGAATCCATTTGGGGTGCCCTCTGAGTCCTCTCTCCATTAGGGGTATCTCTATATAGACATAATATCTATAATTTCTCTATATCTATATATTAATATAGAGATGTATCTCTACAAAATTAGACTTGTATATACATATTTATTCTCCATGGTATCAATGACACCATGTTGGAAAATGTTCTAAATCGTTATTTAAAAACTGGGGATTTTACATGAAAATACATGGGGGTAGTCAACTAGCTATCTCGTTTCCAATCACAACTGTCCTTTTCTCGTTATATCACAGCCCATGCTGCTCTCCTATTGCTCTCTTTTGGTTCTCATTCATAAGGCAGAACAGTTTGAGTTTGTAACCCATCCAGCCATCTTCTTCATAGCTCAGCTCTCAGATGATATCAAAGATTGAGGGACTGAGTCTGTATCTAGTTTATGACTCAAAAGAGTTCTCAGGTCTTGAACGTGAATGGAAAGTAACTAGTTTCATATAGCAGAGACAAAATGTATTCCTTTTAATGAAGGTATTATTTATAGACTTCATAAAGTAACAGTTCTTTGGTAATGTGCCTTAGTTGAGTGGATTTTCATTTAAATAGTAATGGTGGTACTATGGCTCTGGGAACCCATTAGAACTCTCAACAACAATGGCAGCAACAACACAACCTACTTTTCCTTAACAGCAGCAAGACTAACTGCCCTGCTCAGTACCTGTTGCAAGAGGTAGAATACACTGTGTGGCAGCAATTGTAATGTCATCTCTGAAAGCTATTGAAAATTGTCAGGGATTTGCTTGTCAGTATCCTCTCCTACAGAGGTGGGGAGAGGACAAGATATTTGTGTACTTTTCAAAGAGTTGACAGGCTAGCTCTGTGTCAGTATAGGCTCAGTCCCAGCACAGCTAAGCAAAAGACCACGAATGAAGCCAATCATATAGCTTAGAGACAGTGGAGAACATTGAAGGGTTCAGGGACTTCAGAGTGTTTCCCCAGTGGCTGGGGAAAAGTTGGCCAGCTTTGGGTTGTTTCTGATAGAGTCAACTTGAAAGCTGCCTTTGCTGTGAATTCACTAAACACCTGACAGCCTCCACGTTGCACCTATGCTCTTTGATCTGCGCCACTCCGGGCTGCAGCCACTTTACAATCACCCGTGGGCTCCAGGAAGAAAGCAAATTGGCCCTCAAACAGGTGATGTGATGCTCTTGCTATGGGAAAGAAAACAGCCAGAAATTACAGATGCCCAGCTAGGCCTGTTCAGAACCGAGTTGACAATCAGCCAGGCCATAACGTGTGACTTGAGACTGTTTTAACGGAGCATATTGTTTCCCATTTCCTACCCCTAATTTCTCCATATTTAACTTGAAGCCAATGTCTGTATCCCTGAAGAGGGCTGAAGAAATATTGAAATGCCATCTTCCCATGGCTACCATATAATACATCTTCTTTCTCTTCCTCCATGTCCTGGGGTGAGTGGCTAGAGCCACTGTAGGACTCCTGGACTTTGGGTTGGACACTCTTGTTTCAACAACTTCCATTGACACTTCCAGGATTCTCTGGTTATGGATTGTCTCCTTTAGAGGCACTTCAACCCTTCCTTGCAAGGCAGTTCCTGACAACTGGCTGGAAGTCTGTTTACCTTAGATGACCTCATATTCTCATCCCTGCCGTCATCTGATCATACAACATTGAGCTAACAGCAGTTACCCAAACAACTGGACTCTCTGGTCTCCAAGTAAGTAAACAGACCCCGCCCACCCCTCCAAGGATAATGCATGAAATACAAAATCGATTTGAGTATTTTATTTATAAATGTACATTTACTATAAAAGCTGTTGCATTTTAGACAACTTTTTTATTTTTAATTGTTTTTACTATTTCTCAGAGGAATTTTAGAATAAATATTGTAAATGAAAGTTAGTTTAACTGATATAGAACATTAGCCCACCCAGAATAGTTACATCTTTTTGGACGGACCCACACACAGGAAGTGAATCTTTCAGTTCGTTAACTCTTAAACCGTATATAGATAACTAGAATAGGTATCGCATTAATAACACTACCTAGAAAGAAGGATGAAATGTCATGAAAATTGGCTAGTGAGAAACAGAATCACCCATTTTTTTTCCCCTTAGGAAAGAGATAGGACAAGCTTTTGGAGTATGAAAAAAACAAAATCAGATAAACTTCCTCAGGAACAATAAATCTCTCGCCTTGTCTGTTTTTTTTTAAAACAAACACATTTACATTAGAGCTGAACAGAGATGAGTATATATATGTTTTTTAGCTTTCTCAGGACCTCAAAGATTATTTGAAAAGAAATAGATCATACTCATTGTGCTGCGATGGAAAAAACAAGCTCCCGTTTGCTGAAACTGCCACGTAACCGGCTCCAAATGAAATAGAAATCGAATAGAAATAGAAAGAGTTGGCAATTAGAATTTAGAAAACATCGGAGGATGATTCGGTGCTGGTGAGTATCGGTCCTGATGGGAAAGTGTGTTCTGCAGTTGGAGATGGTTTGTTTTGTTGTTGTTGTTTTGGTTTGTTTTAAATCTCTCCTGACTTCACGCTTGCTGCCATACACATACAGTGAGTCTGCACTTAAGAAATGCGTACAAATGGCTCTGTGAAACCAGAGGAGATATGCACTGTCCATAGCCTCCTTCCACAACGGATGGAGTTCCACATGTAAAAAGGATCCTAGAAAAATGCCTTCTGACTGGCTACCTGTGTTTGTGCATCGTTTCTGGTTAAAGTACGCTACTAATCATCATGCCAAGTGTAAACATCGCATTATCAAAATAGTTAATAAAACATGCAGGTGGTTCATCAAAATATTGGACCTATTTTAATCTGTACAGTTTTCAAAACTTGGTTCTTTTTCTTTTTTAATTTTTCCTTTTTTTTCGGCTTTTTCTTTTTTTTTTTTTTCCTGTAAAACAGCAAACACCTCCACGAAGAAGGGGTGAGGTGGCTGCAATTTTGTTCAATGTACTGCATCCATACTCACCGATATGTGCAACAGCTTTGCATTTTCTAAGGCACATTTTTTAAATGAAAGGATGTGTAAATTTCAGTCCAACAACAAGTTCATCCAAATGAACAAAGTAGTTGTGTAAAATACCCCCAATAGCTGAGGAAATTTCTGCACCTATATGGAACCCACATGCAAAGAACCGTCTAGCATAGAAATAAATAGTTGCTAGCCATACTCCGTAGGACATGGGAAAAAAATTATTGCTTACGCAACAGTAACACATCTACTCAATCTCTTCTTATGCCTATATTAGTCTGTTAGGAGTGTATCCATAGTCTCCATTCACAAAATACCTTCTTCACTTATTTGCCATCATCTTAAGGCAGAATAAATAGTTCCCCTTTTCCCAGTCTTTAAAACAAAACAAAACAAAAACCCAACACAAAACAGCCTGGAGATGGAAACTATCATGGTTTGTAGTCACTCAATTCCTTTCTTGTCCAACTGAAATTTATCACACCAGATCTCCACTAGACTTTCTCAACTTCAAGAGCAAGGTCCAAAATTCTGGAGTAAAGATGGTGGACCGGGCCCCGCTCTAAGCTGTAGGTTCCTGCGGAGTGCATGTTGGATCCTGGGCTTTCCACATCCTGCCATTTGGATTCTGTTAGGATGGACTTTATTCTTGTCTTTGGATACCCAGGCTTCAGGTCTTCAAGGAGAACTTGCAGACAATGGTCATTCCTCATGATGGTCTTATCTCCATGTCTCATATTCCATACATCTATTAAGCCCCTTACTGGATTCCTAACCTAGTGCTTGGAGGAAAGCAAGCATCCTGGGCCTTGTGCCTTTCACTGACTGACCCACCACTCTTGGAGATTAAACTTCCTTCTAGATTTGCTAATAAATTTTGAAATGATGATTGAAATATTTCCTGCTGGTTTCTTTCTACCCTTGAGCAATGTCCCAGAGCATTTGTCTATGATATTACAAGGGTTCATCTTTATTTGCTGGACCAGCCTATGTTAATGACATGACTTCCAAGGTTCACAAAATCTAATACTAACAGTGCAATAATTTATTGGAATATACCTTCTACCTCAAAAGGTAAGCAACACAAATGTTTTCAGGATGATTACAGTATATATTATAGGACTAATGCCTTTGTATTAAAAACAAAGTTATAGCTCAGAGACAAGAGCTTAGTGTGATGTTTAATTTTTTCTGAAATGCATTCATTTTATACCCCTGTCTGAGAAGACCACATGTCTCAAATTGGCATGCTTGCACTTTCTGCAGCTCAATTCTGTAAACATAAAGTCTTTATTTTCTACAGGTACTAAAAAGTAACAGTTTTTTTTATTGCATCCTTTAGCTATTTCCCAAAGAAGAGAATAACATATTTGAAACCATGAGCCTGTTTGACCATACTAACACCTTTCAACTATTCGGGATCATTACAATTCCATATTCTTTTGTATATACTGTGCAACTGCAAAAATAAATCAACAAAAAACCCAAAACAAAAAAAACAAACAAACAAAAAACCCCACAGGAAAAGCACACTGTGATACAAAGAACAGATAGCATCTTGTAGAGGAGCCTTTCCGAAGTTAGATGAATGCTGAGATGCCCCTGAACTTGGGCCTTTCTTAAGCAGTTGGCAGGGGCCACTCCAATAAAGAAATGGTCAGTGGTCCCAAAGCTTGAAAACCAGGTCACAATGTTGTAGGTTGGCCAGCACCTGTGATAAAAGATAGCGTGAATGAGTTTAGATCATCAACATTTTGTTGTTGTTGTTTTGCTTCAGATGTTGTAAAACTTCCCAAGTTAGCAATGGCCTCTGCTAAAATCTCTTCTTTTGGGGAGGGGAACTTTGCCCCATTCTGCTCTTCAAAGCATGATCTCAGGACATGCAGTGCAGGGATAACTGGAGTTTGTTAGCAATGCGGACTCCTGTGTTCCATTTCAGACCCACTTACCACAGGGTCCCTGGGTGGTGCAGGTGCAGTTGAGACTCCCCTAAAGCAAATGATGTCTCTCAAGCTTTCTACTGCTTTCTGGGGGTATGTAAGCAAGAAAATATTTTTTTTCTCTGTTTCTTTAGGTTTTAGTTTTTCTAAGAAGAAAGCCATTGAAATTAGAGGATTAGAATTGCTAGATTTAACAATCAAAAGTACAGAACCCTGAGTAAAATCTGCATTTTATATAAACAACACATACACAGATATTTAGCACAAGTATATCACATGTGACATTTGTGATATATCTGTGCTAAATTCACTGGCTATAATATTTGGAACATACATATACTAAAAAGTGGTTGCATAACAAATTCACTGTTGGGGCTGGGAAGGTGGCTCAGTGGTAGAGTGCTTGCCTTGCATGCATGAGGCCCTGGGTTCGATTCCTCAGCACCACATAAACAAAAAGAAAAAAGCCGGAAGTGGCGCTGTGGCTCAAGTGGTAGAGTGCTAGCCTTGAGCTGAAGAGCTGAGGGACAGCGCCCAGCAAAGAGTTCAGGCCCCACGACCAGACCAAAAAAAGCAAAAAAACAAAAAACAAATTCACTGTTTATCTGAAAATCCAATTTTTAAAAAACTTAACTGGGTATCATCTTTTCTTTGGCAACTCTATCAAGAAAGACTTAAGTTTTCTATTTCCTGCTGAATTCTTCTCAAGACTTCTCCTTCATATGAGGCTCCTTCATATGAGTTGGGATGAGGCCATCACAACATGGGAAGACCCTGGAGAGAGTGTGGTAAATGCATTTCCAGGCTAGAACACCACATACATACAAAGGCCCAGGCATCAGAAACCCAGGCACAAATGGCAGGAGCTCCGCAAGACGGCCTGTCTCTTGACAGGTGATTTGTTTTCACTTCTACTTCCATTTACATACCAACTTAAACATGGTTTGCATGGCTTTTAGAAATTGCATTTTAATGTGCTGTAATGCTATTTTTCTCTCCCAGAGAAAAATTTCATTTAAATGTGACTAGTTACTTGGAGGAAACAGGATTATATATTCAGGCTTTATTATTCTACAACAATGAAATTGTTTTGTTTCACGTACAATGCCTTTGATGTAAACCACCCTTTACATCAATCCATCTCCTTTCTCCTCAACTTGGATCAATGTAAAATGAAAAACCAAAATGAAAGAAAAATGATTTCATGCTATTTCTTTCCCATTCTGATTCTTTCATTGCATCTGCTATCTATATGCAACCAGTTCAAGGATATTAATACTATTCTAGCCAAATTATTAGCTTCTCTAGTCATTTTTAAAGTATATTTCTTTCTTGGAAGCCAAGAAAGGAAAACAAATTTGAAAAAACACTGGAGAAAATGTGGCCATTTATTACCTAATATTAAAATATATTATCAAGGTACAAAAATTAAAACCATTAAATAATGGAGAATAAATAGGTTAATAAAACATAATAAAATATCCAGAAACAGACTATATATATATGCTTCATTTATGAAAAAGTTAGCATTTTAAATTAGCAAATATCAAGGGAGTATTCATTAAGTGATATTTACATATTTGGATAACTGGAAAAAAAGTAGGACTGGACATGTACCTAATTTTTATCCCTAAATACATTTCTGGTGATGACATATTTACATATTAAAAAGAAAAACTAAGTTTAGGGGAAATTTTAGCTAAGTTTGTTTATATTTTGGAATCAAGGCTTTCTAAGTGAATTACAGATCCTAGACTTCAAAAAGCCCCCCACCCACCAAAAAAAAGGGAGAGTTTACCTCAAATGCAAATCTTTTGTATGAGAATAAATCACAAAAGTAAAAACTAATAATAATTGCAGCATGCAGCAAATAAAACAAAGGAAAACTTGCGTAAATTTTTGGAAAAGGCAAACATTAGATGTCAACAGGATCAGGTATCCAGATCTGGGACAAATGATAATATCAGAGAAATACCTGGGAAGAGGCTCAAACTCATCATTAAAGAAATGCAGATCAAAGCAATAAGGTTTCTCCCTCATTCTCCTAGTGGACTACAATTCTTTTTTCTCAGTCCTGGGGATGGAACTCATGTTCTTACCTATGCTAGGTAAGTGGTCTACCCTGGGGCTACAATTTCCGCCCAGTACTAATTTAAAAAAATGCAACACATCAGTATATATATGTATATATTTTTGGTCAGTCTTGGAGCTGAACTCAGGGCCTGGGCACTGCCCCTGAGCTTCTTTGTGCTCAAGGCTAGCACTCTACCACTTGAGCCACAGCATCATTTCTGCCTTTTTGGGAATAGTTTATTGGAGATAAGAGTTCATGGACTTTCCTGCCCAGGCTGACTTTGAACTGTGATCCTCAGATCTCAGCTGCCTGAGTAGCTAGGATTACAGGCGTGATCCAGCAGCGCCTGGCTCTTAGAAAAGCACATGCTGATATCCAGAGCCACCACATCATGGAGAAAGAAAGGCCTTTCTCACACATTTTTGCAGGGAGGATATATTTTCTTCTCAACAATAATGACTGAAAATTTCAAAAGCCTATATATGCCCTTGAACTCAGCTTTGCTACGGATGGGGGTGCTTTTACATACTCATCAAAATGTGTATGCGGCTGTTCACCGGAACATTTAAAAAATAATACGGAAAAAAGGAAACCACCAAAATATCCACAGAAGAGCAAGAATGTGACAAAATGATAACATTCCCAAGATGTATTAAACTACTAAGATCTACTAACCGGAAAGCAACAAAAATGAAATCTAAGCACAGGGCACCATGCCTGGGACGGTCACCTCTGTGAACTAAAACCCAACCCTTATCCAGGTACATGCACCCTGCACACACATGCTTTCATGTGAGTACGTGTGCCACAGCCAGATGCCCCTTCTATCTCGTCCCCAAGAAGTTATTAGGAAGCAATGACATTGGAGATTTCACCTTTTTGGGGGGGGGATCCAGTCGTGGGGCCTGAACGTGTGCCTGGGCGCTGTCCCTCAGCTCTTCAGCTTAAGGCTAGCACTCTACCACTTGAGCCACAGCGCCACTTCTGGCCTTTTTTTCTGCTTAGGTGCTGAGGAATCGAACCCAGGTCCTCATGCATGCAAGGCAAGTGCTCTACCACTGAGCCACCTTCCCAGCCCTAGAGATTTCACTTTTAATTTGGTAGGCTGCTGAACCTTATAGGGCATTTATACTTATTTATTTGTTCTGTTGGCTTATTATTTTTGGGGGGGGTGGATTTTTAAATTATAATTATTTCCTTTAAGTAGTAAAAAGGGGCTACCATTCAACAAATAAGTTCATAAATACAATGCATCCTGATCAATACCACCACTTTCATCCTTCTCCTCCATCCCTTCTCAACCTAACCCCTCCTCGGAATTTCCCCATTTTCATAGAACATGTGTTCGAGTGTTATGACTGCATTTCCCCCTTATCCCTGTGTCGCTTGTTTTTGAATCTCTTCAGAGATATGTAGGCAGACAGGCAATGGGACTTTTTTTTTTTTGTTTTCCTGAATTTAAAATATAAACTCAACAAAAAAAAACTGTAATCTACTTCTAAATGACTGCCTTATTTTCCATCTTGTTAGAGAAACTCCACACTGGTGGTCATTGGTCAGTAAGAACAGTTATTGTTCTTCATAGTTGCAGATGTTAAGAGAAACATTCTTATCCTAGATTCAAAAAAACCTAATTTCTGGGGGGAAAAAAATGACAGCAAACTACCCAATTTCCCAGTAGGAAAAAAAAGCTGGATAAAAGCAGGTAGGTCTTTGTCACCCAGACGCAGGTTCGGGTCTGTTGTACATCACCACCCTTCCCGGACTCCGTGAAAGATGCTCCAACCCAGACCATTTCTCAAATCTTCAGATCTTTCGGCCTAACAGTGCCCTCTTCTGGTTCCTTGATTTGCATTCAGCCAGCTTACCCAGACTGAACAAAAGGCATCATTTATATACCATACCAGGGGAAAAAATCACTTTGAAAACAGAGAAAAGGGTCTACTTTTAAAACAAAGCAATATACACACTTACATGTACATATTTGCATATATACATGTGTATACATATTTGCATAAGTATGGGTAAATATACTTAACACTTACACAGTATACTGTTTATACCATAGTGTAGATATGTATATACATGATAGCCAGGGCTGGTGGCTCATGTTTGTAATCCTAGCTACTTGGTAGGTAGAGATCATGAGGGTTGACGTTCAAGGTCAGCCCTGGCAGAAAACGTTGCCAAGACTTTATCACAACCACCAGGTAGCAATGGCTCATGCTGGTCACCCCAGTTTTTGAGGGAGGTAGGGAGAGAAAGGATGGTGGTTCCAGGGCAACCTAAGCAAAAACTGTTTGCAAACCCAATCCAACAGAAAAGGCTGGTGAAGCAAGCATCTGTCAACCCAGCTATGTCGGGAAGCATAAATTAGGAGGCTCATTGTCCAGGACAAAAAGAGAGACACTATCTAAAAAATAATAAGAGCAAAAAAGGCTGGAAGGTTGGCTAAGCAGTACAGTGCCTACCCAGCAAATGGAAAGCTCCACCATAAAACTCCAGTGCCATCAAAAAGAAAAAATATCCATGGCATAAAAATTAATATCATGGTAGGAGCTAGTGGTTGATGTCTGTAATCGTCGTTACTCAGGAAGTCCATGAGATTCTTATCTCTAATGAATTACCAAAACTCCAGAAGTGAAGCTATGGTTCAAATGGCGGAATGCTAGGCCAGAGCAAAAGAAGCTCAGGGACTGAAGCTCCAGGACCAGCATAAGAAAGAAAGAAAGACAGAAAGACAGAAAGACAGAAAGGAAAGAAGGAAGGAAGGAAGGAAGGCAGGCAGGCAGGCAGGCAGGCAGGAAGGAAGGAAGGGTCATATACAATATATGATATAAATAGCTGCTCTAAGTTGGAACTGTTTTGACTTCAAGTCAAATGTGTATCTTTTTTTTTTTTTTTGTCGGTCATGGGGCTTGAACTCTGGGCCTGGGCGCTGTCCCTCAGCTCTTCAGCTCAAGGCGAGCGCTCTACCACTTGAGCTACAGCGCCACTTCCGGTTTTCTGGTGGTTTATTGGAGATAGGAGTCTCACAGTCTCTCCTGCCTGGGCTGGCTTTGAACCACGATCCTCAGATCTCAGCCTCCTGAATAGCTAGGATTACAGGTGTGAGCCACCAGCGCCCGGCTCAAATGTGTATCTTAGGTCAAAATCACCTAGGCTTGATTTGATTTTTAAGTCCTATAATTTCATTAATAGGCATATATTTCCCTAAATTTATGAAAATCATAGCAGTAAAAACTACTTAATTTCAATTTTTCTTCTTAGATTTTAGCCATGTAGATTTACAAACCATGTAACAAGACAGTAAAATACATGTCACCAAGTAACAGAGAAATAATAAAAAGGCTTGAATTTCAGTGTCTAACTCTGCACTATGATATATAGATATAGTCACACATATCTATATCTATCTGTCTATTTATCTACCTACCTACCTATCTATGTTTTCCCCTATTTTTTGAGACAGGATCTTGCTCTGGAGTCCAAGCTGACCTCAAATTTAAGATCCTCATGTCTCATCCTCCTGAGTTTTGAGATTATAGGCAGGCACTATCATTCCCAGCTCTACTTTTTTAAGTATTTTTACTTGATGCATTTGTGGTGTGTGTGTGTGTGTGTGTGTGTGTGTGTGTGTGTGTGTGTGTGTGTGTGTGTGTGTGTGTGTGTGTGTGTGTGTGTGTGTGTGTGTGTGTGTGTTGTGAAACTTGATCTCTGGACCTGGACGCTGTCCCTGAGCTCTTCAGCTCAAGGCAAGCACTCTACCACTTGAGCCACAGTGCCACTTTTGGTTTTCCAGTGGTTAACTGGAGATGAGTCTCACAGACTTTCCTTGCCCAGGCTGGCTTTGAACTGAGAACCTCAGACCTCAGCCTCCTGAGTAGCTAGGATTACCTGGCTACTTGATGAATTTTTAATAAAAGGTTTCCTGATGTCCAACATATCTACCGGAAGAACTCTAAAATCTGAGGGAAGGATGCTGAAGCAAAAACCGTAGTCTAGTTTCAGATGGTCTAAACAGCATTTGGGCAATAGCACCCTCTGGTGGTCCTAAGAGGAACATGTCTTTCCACTTTGGGAGAAGATCCTGGAGTAGGATGTGATTTCCCAGGATGGGAAATATTTGTTCAAATCTTATCACATACAAAGGTATTGGAGGCCGGGATCCTACAGAAGTAGACTCCATTATTTGGTTGTTCAAGACACTTTTAACTTCATTACTTAATTAAATTAAGTAATGAAACTCCTGAATGTAGGTGTGGAGACACGGAGGAGTTGGTGCTACATTTGATACATAGTGGAGAGCCATTCTTCATGTGTAATTACCTCCCAAAGGGCTGGTCCTCTGAAGACAGGCCTGCACAGAGAAATCATGTTTCAGACCTTAGGCCTCTCTTCTGGGTCTCTAAGATCTTTGTGATTATTCAAATGATGTCTCAAATTTGGCCAAAGGTGTGTGTGTGTGTGTGTGTGTGTGTGTGTGTGTGTGTGTGTGTGTGTGTGTGTGTATGTGAGTGTGTGCGCGCATGTGCATGCATGCGCGCGCACGTACATGCTTATTTTCTTTGTAACTCATACTACTGCTTGAACTCAGGTTCTGTAATTTAGCTCTTTTACTTCAGACTGGTGCGATACCACCTGAGCAATAGTTCTTCTCTGGCTTCTTGGTGATCGATTGGAGAATCTGAGTCTCACAGCCTTTCCTACCGGGCTGGCTTCAAACCTTGGTTGGTCCTCATCTCTGAGCCTCCTGGGTAGCTAGAATTACAGATGTGAGCCACTGGCGCTAACAGTTTTTACCTATAGGTAGTGTTTCTATACTTCTGGATCCAGAGAATTTATCCACATGAGCAGTAACTTCAAGTATGAAACAAATGACAAATATCCTTTCTGGTAGAGGGAATCTTTGGCTCCTTCCCTTGAGTCCGTGGAAGGCATGTGGGCGCACCTACTCCACTCAGGGCCTGCAGCGCATACTCACTTCTGGACCGCAGGTAGCAGTCATTGCAGTTTAGAAGGCCATTTCGAATCCTCACATCCATCCCACTCACTGCGTCGCCAAGCTGTCCTTTGCAAATTCCACACTGCAGGAGGGGATAAAGAACACCTGCTATAAGGTGCATTGGGATTTGTTTGTCATGATTACAGGAATAACACAACCATCAGCCCTCCCATCTTCACATTTGTTGTGTCAGATATCTCGAGATCCAACTCACAACCAAAAGAAAACATACTGTGAGACTTTTATTCTCGACTTTACATTTCACAGAGGATATTGGTTCAGACACAGTAGTGGATCTGTCTTGCGTGTGAGATGCTGGCAGTGGTTTTGCACGGACCCCAGACTCGATCAACTTAACTTTTATAATACACTAGTTCTCAATCAAGGATCATTTAAAACAGATTCCACCCCAGCAGGCAAGATAGATGATCAATGGGAACTTGACTTTCAATAACTTTTCGAGGCTTACCAGCATGGTTTCTAAGTTCTTCCTGATGAGACTTACTTGGGAAGAAGTGCTTCTATTTTGTATTTCCACATTCACGGCAGATACCTGGACTAGCAAGCCCCTGGGAATGGAAACCCACTTAGCCAAGTTGGTCTGAGCACAGAGGGGACTGTGGGAGACACACTACTGTTTGCATCAGAGGAAGTAGCACAGGGTGTGGGTCCAGCACCAGCCTTGACATGAGAACCCTTGGCTCAGGCTCTTAGGCCACCTGGGGCAGAGAGGGACTTCATCTAAATTACATTACCAGCCTTATCCACTGTGCTTTGTGTGTGGTGAGTTTTGCTTTCATGTGATTCCTGGCAGAGAATAGGATTAGGTTTGAGGATAACTTCACTGACCAATCTCTTAGCTTATGGACAAAGTAGAATTTTTTTTTAAAACCCTGAAAGCTTACTTTATTGATTTTTTATTTTTTTTGTTTATTTTTTGCCAGTCCTAGGGCTTGAACTCACAGCCTGGGCACTGTCCCTGAGCTTCTTTTGCTCAAGGCTAGCACGCTACCACTTGAGCCACAGCACCACTTCTGGCTTTTTCTGTTTATGTGATATTGAGGAATCAGACCTAGGGCTTCATGCATGCCAGGCAAGCACTCTACCACTAAGCCACATTCCCTGCCCTACAAGCCTACGTTATAGCCAAGGAGATCACCAACAAGTAGGACAAAAAAAATCAAGGAGGAAAAAGAAAGGAGCTCAGCATTATGCAGATGAATGACTCTTACTCAGAGACAGAAAGTTTGGCTTCAATTGATATGTTGAATTGAAACCCCTTTGTACTTAAAAGAGCATTAAAATATAAATTTTTAAAAAGAGAAGGCTTGGCTTCAGAATCCTATGTATATTAGTTTGAAAAGTATCGCTGAGTGAAACAAAGAGAAAATATGAGGACAAAGTGCCACTTACCTATTTTATCATAGATGAAGTAAAATTGGTTAGCTCATCAACTGGTTAGCTCAATAGCAGAGCCGGTACTAGAGCCCAAGCCTCCTTGTCAGTGTATTCAGTAATTCAAGCATCTAAAAGTATTACTGATGGCTACAGAGGAAACTGACCAGCAAGAAGGGTGGCGTGGCTCCACCCTATGGACTTGCATGTTTATGAGAGGAGCTGGGAATTACACAATTCAATAGTGAATCCTAAGGGCCATGGCAGGTTCTAAAGGAACCTGGGGAACCAAGGCATGGGACAGGGGCAGGGTAGGAGAGCAGGCAGCCTCACAGAGTGAGTGGCACTCAACCTGAGATGGAACACAGATTCATTCCAGAAGCTACATTTTGCAAATAGCTAGAACCACTCACTTAACAATGGGAGATTTTTTTTTTCCTTCCATAGGCCAATGACTAAATCCCCTGCGATGTGACAACCCAAGAATTCAAGAAACAACAAAGATGTTAATTCCAAACCCACATGCTGAGTCTTAAAAGCTTTTCAGGCATCATCCGCCCTGCATCCCTTCCTCAGCCCCCTGCGGGAGTATGCACTCTAGCAAAGGAACACCTCCGTAAGGATGAACTACAGACATCTGCGTTGGTGCTTCTGACCTGACTCTGGATGGGAGAACTTGACCCTGAAGGACGGCCACACATACATCTCCCTCATAAGAAAGAAAAGCCTTCCATTGCCAGGTGTTTCTCAGTGCAGGAGGAGCCAAAAAACAAACCAACAACCCCCCAAATAACAACAACAAATAACCCACATGAAATGATCCTTGGCGAGAAGCGGCATGCATACGTACCCTGAAACACTGGATGTGAAAATAGAGGTTGAGGGTCTCGATGGTCATTGCGGCGCCTTTACCTAACGCCAGCCCACAGGAAGAGCACAGCTTCCTCCCACTAATTGACCTGCATTTCAAAACACACATAACCGCACCATTTTACTCTAGGATAACAAATATACAGTGAAAACAGGGTCGCTTCCAATGCTTCTATCACGAGTGAAATGAGAATCAACTGACAATGAATAGGAAAGAAGGTATTAGATATATAAATTGCAATCAATGGCTAGATTGAATACAATTGGCTTCCACTGTGGTACAGGATCTGAGTTGTGTGTGTGTGTGTGTGTGTGTGTGTGTGTGTGTGTGTGTGTGTGTGTGTGTGTGTGTGTGTCTGTGATTTATTCCAAGAAGTTTGTGTGGCAGTTTTGGAATGATTCACTATATTGATCATATGTTTTATTTCCATTTATTTTTGTCAGTTGGGGGGCTTGAACTCAGGGCCTGGGTGCTGTGTGTCCCTGAGCTCTTGTGTTGAAGGCCAGTGCTCCACCACTCTGAGCCACAGCTCCACTTTCGTTTTTTTTTTTTTTTGGGTGGTTAATTGGAGATAAGTCTCATGGACTTTCCTGCCCAAGCTGGTTTTGAACCGTGATCCTCAGATCTCAGCCTCCTGAGTAGCTAGGATTATGGGCATGAGCCACCAGCACTGGCTTGATTATGCATTTTTTATGACAAGCCCTAAAAGACAATCATGTTTAGTTTTACTAAGGTTCTCATGTTGCTTTAGGACATTTCTTTTCATTTATCAAGGAAAAAGTGATTTTTCTTCATAAGTAGAGAGTCAATTGTGATAGAACAGAATGGGTAACAGGCAGAGGTATCAGGAAGAGGCCAAGGTCAGTAACACATCTGGAACCAGATGGCTATGCCCTTCAGGCAGCCTTTCTAGACCCAAGACTGCATGGCAACCATGCCTCATTGTCTGAAAAGCTCTGGGAATGACAGGATTTAAACATGCGATACGATTTGAAAGCCAAGAGGGCAGAGAACACGGAAAGGAAGACCATAAAGGGGGGGGGGGAGATGTCCTAATCAAACCCCGTTCATGACCATCTCCCTCTTATCTAGTAGTTAAATAAAATTCCTGCATCAAATGAAAACCTCTAAGTACTCAGTCATTTGTCTCTGCGGTGGATGGAAATTCAGACAGCTTTCAAGGACATCATGGGGCCCAACTAACAGCCAGAAGTGATCATGAGAGAGCTCCAATTGGTTCAGAGAGAAGAGTAGCGTTGGCTTTCACATAGCTTCTGCCTGGTTTTCAAGCAGCCACAGCCCATCCTACCCAGAAGGGCGCCGAAAGGCACCCATGGAGAAGCCCAGCAACTCTCCGGTGGTTTATTATTAGACTGCAGTTTCCCACAATGTAATTAAACTACTATGGCCATGTCTGTGCCCACGTTACCCACTTGGCTTTTTTTCCACTTCAGGCTGAGGGGTGTTTTCTTTCATCTTGCTTTGGGGGAGCAGGGAGGAAATGTGGATGGATGGATCTCTCAAAATGGCTAATGCTTGGCATAAGTCATGATGCCAAGAGGTGATACTTGGCAAGCTGCAGATGGAAGAAATCAGCCCAGGAAGGTGTGCTGACCTCTTGTACCTGTTTGGTGACTGTCCGGGAGGGGTAGGACAACAGGGGGAAAAAGGCCCAGCCTGGAAGTGTTCTCGAGGGCTTTTCCTGCAACATGGTAAAGGAGCCCCAAATTATGACAAGTTAAGAGAAGTTCAAACTCATTAGATTAAAAAAGAAAGGACCCCAAACTTCCTTGACAAATCAATCAGAGACCACAGAGTCTTCTAGTAGTATTTTGTTCTTAATTTTTCTTTCCTTTCGAGACACAGTCTCATAGGCAGTATAGGCTGGCCTGGAACTCACGATCCTCCTCCTTTAGTACTTTAAACTTCATGTTCTTGTTCAGCTTTCTTGCTCATGGCTGGCACTCTGCCACCTGAGCAATGATTTGAGTCTGGTATTTTCTCTAGATAGGATCTCGTGTATTTTTCTGCCCAGGCTGATATCCAACTGCAATCCTCAGATGTCTGCCTTCTGAGTAGTGAACATTACAAGCCTGAGCATGGGCACTGGCTAATATATATATATATATATATATATATATATATATATATTTTTTTTTTTTTTAAAGAAGAAAAATAGTAATTCTGCCTAGTACCAACAATATGAAATCAAAACTAGGCATGCCTGCTGGTGTTGCTGATTAGAAAAAAGATTTTTTTTCTAATTTTTATTTCTTGTTAAATTCTTCTTTACTTAAAACCACCTTTTTTTTTTTTTGATGTTCATGGAGCTGCTTTTGTATGCAGAGTAGATACAAATTATGGACTTGGTTAGAAAAAAAGGCAGGTAGGGTCACGGGGAAAACACAGAGCCAGAAATACAGGGCCCGTTTTAAAGAAGGTATTTTTCAGTCAAGCAGTTCCCTGGATTCATGTGATAGAGGCTGATGTTCAAGTTTTCTTTTTTTTTAATTTTTGAGTGTCTAGTTATGTAGTCCAGCTGGCCTCAAACTTATGATCCTTGTGCCTTCACCTCCTGCATGCTGGAGTTACAGGCCTGTGCTGCCACAGCTAGCTGGACGTGTTTACAGCATGCCTCAGGCAGCCACAGATCAGAATGGTCCCCAGGCAGAAGCTGCCAGCACGGGTGTACAGGTGCAGCGGGTAGCATGGGAGTCATGCCGGTGCCTGGTTGTCAGTTCTGGGCTCAGGCTTTGAAAAGTTGACTTCATTTGTAAAGAAAGTGGTAGAAGAGAAAAACACAGAAAAGAATGAGAAGACCAGAGTGTCAATGCAGATGTAAAGAAAGCACACATCCCTCTCTCCTGCTTTCAACATGATCCCTCACCATACCTCCTGGCCACCCTGTGGGCCCCCCCACTCTACACCCCTCCCCCAAACAGGTCTTGACCTTTCCAAAACATTATACTTTCCTACAGCGTCCCCAAGTGTCAGTAATGTTGCTTTAAAAAAGGTTTAAAATCATAATAACAGATAATAACATCAAAGTGTGTTTTCTGCTTCTATTGATTCTGGCACCCTAGACATCTAGAAATAAAACTAAGGTGAACAGGCCTAACACATTGAATTGAGGAAAAAGAAAACCTAACAAGAAAAATGAGGTGAAAATGGAATGTTTTCCCCAATCACAAAGGTTTTCATCATCACCTAAGCTATGCTTCATAGTGCTTGCTGTTTGCTAGGCCTGAACTCCTATGAGAAAGGCGCTGCTACCACACCTGTTTATGAAGGAAGCTGCCCACAGGTCTGTGTGGGCAAGTGGCAGAGCAGAAACCTGAATCCCGGCGCCTAGCTCGAGGTAGATGATGGGTGAAAGCATAATGGATGTTATATTCTTGGAACGGTGATTACAGCATACCTCTGGCTTAAATACGATCTTCCAGTAAACTGATGAGTGAATTCCTCTACCACTTTGCCAGCCAGTTGCTTTGGGTAAATTGTTTAACGTGTCTAAATTTCACCACCATAAAATGAAAAGAATCTCATAAAGTTATTGGGAGGGTTCAGTGAGTGAATGTATGAAATACTTCATATAATTAATTGAATGCTAACAACTAAACATCAAACTAATATTTAATACTGTTTCATTTCACTAACAATATCATTATTATTTTTATAATATCTAATATTAACAATAAAATGAATTAAGCATTAATAAGTGTTTCATACTTGAAATGTCTGTGAGCTCATTAACACAGTGCCTATTAAACCGAAGTGCTTCGGAGGCAGAATGACTACTATTGTAAAAATCCAGGCCTCACAGAATTAAGCAGCTAGCTTAATAAAAATGGGTAAGATTAGGAGAGACTAAGAATATCTTTTTTTGAAAGAACGTGTGACTACAAGCTCTAAGACAATTTAATGCAAATAAGTAACAAATATAAGAGATGTGTTTTCCAATGTTTAGATTTGTGGGTTAAGAATATGCCTTTGATCAATGGATAAATTCAGCGTGAATTTGTACTTCCAAACCTTTCCTAGATATTTGCTACTTTGACAATAAGATTAAGTGTAGACAAAACACAAATGCTGCCAACCACTGGCCATTCACACATTTTCATATTTTCTCCTTCTATGTCAATTTTTTTAAAAATAAAGGAGTCCATGTGCATCTTGTTTGTCTACTCACTTCCGCCGTTCACCAGGAGACTCAACCTGATGGTTAATGCTTTTATCCAGAGGGAGGGTTTTTGGTTTCACATCTTCTGACATGTGCATTGGTGGGCTTGATATCTGCTGATGCTGAGGCAGACCTGAGATCAAGAAAAGAACTCTAGTTAAGTCACCTTTCTTTACAGTACTAAAGCCTGCCGGGTTACAGCAATTCCCTGTGGGCTGTGGGCACAAGGTGGTTGGAGAGGCCCAGAGTGAATTAATTCTGGAAGCCAAGGAGATCTGAAGCCAGAATCTTTCACCTCACTGATATATCTGATGTAACAATGACGATACTTAAAGATACTGGCTTCATACACATTGAAGAGAGCAAACTTGCATGGATGCGATTGTAATGTGGGCTGATCCAATTGTAACTTGGAACATCATTTCTACACACAGAAATACCCATTGCTTTCATTAACTCATGGATCATACCAACTATGATATGGTTTAGACTCATAGGGCACCCGAGTGATGCTCTACACACACACACACACACACACACACACACACACACACACACATCTAGGCTCTTATGTGATCATCAATTCACATAAATACACACACGGACAAGTTTGTTAACTCTACCACAAAAAAAAAAATAGGTCTATTTGCTCAGTCAAATTTCCCTTGGCTATGCACACATTTATCACGGTCACTTCTTCCTTTCAGTTCACCCTCCCTCTTCGTATAATCTCTCTATCTCTATACTCAGTCAAGAAGTGCCTACCAGATGCCAGTGTTCTCAAAGGTCCCTTCGTAGTACACAAGCAACATTACAAACGTAAGTAAAATAGTGAAATTGCTAACAACCCATCAGTGTGAACTGCAGAATCAATGAGGGACCAGCCTGAACGAGCCCTGAGCCATGGCTGTGACATGGGAACACCCCACTCTCCAGGAACGATTCCAGAGATCAGTGGCGTGCAGCCTTTGGTTGTTCAGTAAGGAATACCAGTGCATTTGAATTTTACTACAGTGAGTGAGTCTGGCAAGTAGGAGGCACCGGTGTGAACCAGGGGTATGGGGAGCTGAGCTGTCAGCACCTTCCTGGCCATCCAGCACCCAAATCTCAACTTGGCTGTGCAGATTCCACTTCTCCGTAGTTATGTGAGGGGATGGTTAGATGATCCAATGGTAGAAGGGAGAAAATTTGTGGAAGTCTTAGAATGCACTGTTTACGAAGATCAATTTTTTTTTTCTGTACAGTTATATCTTTTTTTAAGTGCCAATATCGGCTCAGGCCTCATCGGGACCTCGTTACTATGCAGAGTGTGTGCCTAGTGGCCGTGGGGTAGGGTGTGGGGGGAAAATCTTTTAATAATTTAAATGTTGTGGCTCATACTAGGTGGGACCCTCTTCTCACTCTTACCCTGAGCTAGCTGTGGGTTCATCCCCCAGGGTGGGGTCCCGGCCTCCGCATCCAGGTCTTCATGGACTCCTTTTGACATGGGGTTTGCAGAGTGAGCCAGGGCCCCTGGAGTCAGGCTGTTAAAGAAACATCCATAGTTCAGCACAAAGAGGAAAGCGACTGGATTAAACTCACCGGTCCAGTCCCTTAAGGTCTGGAAGTACCAAATCCAATCTGATAAATGACAGTCTGACTTGTCCTTTATTCTATTTTTAAAAAAATTTTAAACTAGATTTAAAAGATTAGAAAGTACTACACTTTTTTTTTTAAAAAAAATTAACTTAAGAAGCTAAAAGAATTAAAAAAAAAAAAAAAGATCCCTTCTGTTCGCACTGCCCACCATTCTACTCATCTCAGGGGATGCCAGAGCAAATGGGAAGCTGTCCGAGTCTCACAAGAGAAATTGTGGAAATCAGTTGGGGCCACATAGGGTCTTTGTAGCCCGTGGTCATTTGTGGGCCTCTCAGTGGTTTTTGTGTGTTGGGAAAGGAGAGTGGAAGCAGATGAGGAAGTTTCTGGGGATGAGGCAGGAGGAATCTAGCAAACATTCATATTGCATCCTTGTCTGAAGAACTAGCAAAAATGCACATAAAAATGTCTTTTGGCATCATTCAAAGTCTAGAAAGTCTTTACTCTGTGTTAGCTGGAAGCAAAGGTACTCATCCAAAGACAACACAGGCTCTAGCCACAGGCCCTTTGCTCCTAAAATTGTAACTGACAAACACAGGAGAATTCTGGGAGCAAAACCTCACCAGGAGAGCTCAGCTCCCAGATAGTATTTCACATGGGCCACTGTTTGAAATGCCATTTTCATAGTCTCTTATGTCTTCAGGTCCCTCTGGGATACCGTACATGCGCATGGATTCATGCATACTTGCTGATATCTATCTCTCTCAGACCTCAGGGGTAAACATCTGTCTCATCAAGGACACTGGGTTTTCTTCAGGTCCCTTCCAGGTCAGGTATGATTGAGCATCAATAACTCCATCACCACCCATAGCTACACCCATCAGCTATGCACCAAAGGGGGATACTAGCAGCCAAATTCCAGCGCACAGTAGAACCACAGTAGGGGGGGACCAGGGCATCTTTTCAATCAATCTCTCTCCCCTCAGCCGCCTTCGTCATTTCTAGTAACTGATATTTAGGCACAGGGCTTGGAATTGACAATAACCTCCTCTGATGATCTATACCGTTCCTCCTTATTTAAAAAAAAGAAGTGTTGCCTATTTCAAAATAAGGCTATTTATATTCAAGAGCATAAGGACACTGACTTGAGAGCTATTACAATATGTTCAAGCAATATGTAATGTATTACTGGAACCATCATTTCAAAGCTGAATATGATTTGCATTCACAATGCGTCTGCTTCTTGGGAGAGCATGGGCAGAGCTAGGCTTGGAGAATTCTCTCAGACAGCCTGGTACAGCTCCTACCTGCCCTCCTCCTGCAGGGCACCGCTCTCCTCGGTCTTGAGCAATATGTCATTGTCAGCTCCCTGGAAGGCTTTCTTCTGACTTCTCTCTTTTTCTTCTTCTTGACAGTTTTCCAAGTCCATCTTGTTCTAATGGGGGAAACACAAGGGTAGTAATGAATATATGTTTTAAACACACTGGACACACATTTCCCTCTTGCCATGGGGATGCCTGAAACATCTTTTCCTTTTTTTAAAATTTATTTTTGAAGCACCACACTTTTATCTGCCTCCAATTTAAAAAAAAATTATTAACATATGTTAAGATACAAATGGATGCAACTCACGGTGATATTTCTATACAGGCATCTCTAGTGCATTTATCATATCCATCTGCCCTTCTACCCACCCTCCAGTCCCACTAGTTATTTTTCAATTATTTCCTATCATGTAGAAACAAGTCATCCAAGTGAACTGTTTCCAGTGACTTCTAACCATTTAGAATCTATGTTGTGTCTGGAGCTCTCAAGCATTGAATTTGTTAGAATTGGTTAGAAAACCCTTTTCAAAATGAAGCCATGGGACTGCTTATTTCAGGATAATGTAATGTCTGGGTGTTTCATGTTTTGCAGATTACGGACAATTGTCCAGTATCTCCAGGACCTTCTTAGACAATATGGAGGTAGACTAGGCTTTCTAAGCTCCTTCCAGCCCTCAGAGACAACAGTGAATTTCTTGTGGAGTCTTTTTTTTTTTTTAGAAGCAACTTTATTGAGAAGGTTCCTACACTGACCGGCCAGGTCCGCAGCACAGGCTCGGGAGCTGATACTGCGACCTGGAGTCTTTTATAGAGGACACAGTTAGGGAGGATGGTGGAAGGCATATTTTGGTCATCTCTGTTGCTGTCATAGATGACAAAGCAATCCCCAGCATTATCTGATGAAGGAATGAGAGATCCAGGAGCTGGGCAGGGAGAAGGACATTGCAGAATATGTCTCTACTTGAGATCTTGCTAGCCTGATTGAGTAGGTCTGACATTATGATGCTTCTACTGCTTCTCAGGTAGGGAGTCTATGATTTGGTCCTGGCTGTGACAATACTAATGGGTGTGATGGCCATGTAGAAGGTGACTGGATTCAGAGGAATAACTAGTCATGGTTAAGCTGCTAGGGTTTTTATGGCGAAGCTGGCTTTGTGGTTTTGATACTTCTCTTTAGGTTTAATTGTGTTGCAGGTGGTTTTGAGCCAGTGTGGTCTCACCATTGTCCCACCACCTTCAGTTACAGAGGAAGATGTAGACAGCTGGTCTGCAGAACTTGAAGATATAGTAAATGGAACCACGGTGTCTTCAATTATCTTACGCTCCTAAGGGGAAGGCATGGGATCAGTGAAAGGTAGGAAGTTGTATTTGTTAAGAGAAAAAATTCAGGAAGGAAAATTCAGGGGGAAAAAGCAGCAAAATTTGTCATGTATCAACAAGCAGAGTATTTGTTTAAGTCCTTATTTTCTCAAAGACTACAAATCATGTAGCACTCGCTATGCACAATAAGTTAGCAGTTAGCACTGAGTTTAGAGAAATAAAGTCTGGATTAGTGCAACCCAAGAAACCCAATTGAAAATGCTATTGGGGACCTGACTATGCACAAAATTATTTTTGAAGGTGAAATTCACAACACTGATCATAAACAAAGCTTAGATAACACACATAAAATGTAGTTCACTGCAAATTTTCTAATGTGGTTGGTTTATTCATTTAAAAATGTAAAGAAGCAAAATAAAATTACCCTATATGAATCTCCTTGATGCTACATAATGAATGCAGTCTGTAATAAGGAGATATTCATTTGTCCTTGAAATCAAACATCCTATAAAATTGGCTCATTATCAAATGGACTTGCTACAAAAAAATATACACATAAGCAAATGAATTGATTCTTTGATGTCTTCTCTCTTAGGCAGATCAAGAACCAGACTATGACTGGAGACTAGATATAATTTCACTGTTTTTTTGACTATGGCTCAACACATCTTACCCCAACTTATATTTTGAGGCTACTGTGGTCTTTTAGAGCCTATATGATACGCTTCTTTTAAAGCAATTGCGGGGAGGAGGGGGATTCTACTTTATGCACTGACATAGCTATACGCACGCACACAGCACAGACAGAAAAGGTGCTGAGAGACTGAGGAATTGGGATGGCAAGGTGACAGTCCTAGGGTTTTCCTACCTCCTCATAGTATCTGCGCTCTTCCTCTTCCACCTCCTTTTGGGCTTTCTCCCACTCTTCCTTCAGCTTGTCCTGCTCCTTCTGGTATCTCTCCTGTAATTGCACAGTGGCCGCAGAGTGTCTGACATTGACTATGGCATAATATCATTGGGATTTTTTTCTTCTTATTCTTCTAAACTACCAGAAGACTTGTCTTCTTGTAACATTCAGAAACTAGTCAATTCCTACATTTTAGTTTGAACATAAAAATCCAGTGGAGAGCAGTTATAATTATATTATTTGTGTTTTAAAGAATTGCTCTTTAGATAGAAAAGTAGAGGTTTGCTTGTGGAAAGGGAAATAAAAATCTTTAATTAGGGTCCTGTCCTAGGTAGGCTAAACCAACAGTTTAGCTTCGCTGAGTTTTGTCACGTCATTAACAGAAAAGCATTGCTGGGCTGAGGATGTAGCTGAGAGGTAAAACATTTGCCTAGGCTCGAAGTTTGATCCTCAGCACTGGAAACGGCAACAACAAAAAACACTGATGCTGGTAGAAGTCAATACACTGTAGTATAGACACTAAGTTTACAAGATAGAGCAGAAAGGTGAACAGTGGACAAGAAGATAATCAGTGAATTGACTCCATTGATCACTAGCACAATGAGATCTACCTAGCTTTAGGTAACTTTTGAATTAAGAGCAGCTTTTCAAAAGCCTCATGGAAATGCTTTCACACCACAGCTGTCATGCTTGTGTTCACAAACGGTGTAACACTTAGCCCTTCTGGGGGGATAAAAGAAAAATACTTTCAATAAGGCCATATAAGAAGTGTGACTGGAGCCCTGGAGAAGCTGACTGGAAGGAATGAATAAATAGAGATTAAAATCAAAGCTGAGCCTGGTGCCAGTGGCTCATGCCTGTAATCTTAGCTACTCAGGAAGCTGAGATCTGAGGGTCATGGTTCAAAACCAGCTGGGGCAGGAAAGTCAGTGAGGCTCTAATCTCAAATTACTCACACACAAACAAATCAGAAGTAGAGCTGTAACTCAAGGTGATAGAATAGTAGCCTTGAGTACAAAAGCTAAGGGATGGTGCGCAGGCTCTGGCCCAGAGTTTAAGCTCTAAGAATGATATGTGTGCACCCGTGTGTGTGTGTGTGTGTGTGTGTGTGTGTGCACGCACACACACACACACACACACAATCAAAGCTTGAGCTAAGGGCTCGCCTACATATAATCCTCGCTATTCAGGAGGTTCAGAATCAGCCCAGACAGACAAAACCCAAGGGACTCTTATCTCCAATAAACTGGCAAAGAGCAGGAAGTTGTAGAGCATCAGCAGTGAGCAGAAAGAGCTAAGTCAGAGTGTCATGGTCCTGAGTTAAAACTAGTACGAGTAAAAGAAACAAAATAAATAAAAATACAGTAAAGCTTGAAAGGAGAACTGACACCCTAGATGCCTTGGGAATGGCATCCTGAGAAATGGAGACAGAGTCATGAGTATGTGCCACACACACGCCATCATCTATTGGCAATCCTCTCTGAGGCTGAGACCCACTTGCTTGTTTCTCTGCTTGGGGAAGGTAGGGAGATTCCTCCAGGAATGCTATGTTATGCCACAATCCTAGGAACAAAAGGACTTCCTTCCGTGGGTTGTCTGCAGGCTGGTGTTTTTCCAAACATTCTAGCAAAACCACAAATTGGTCAACCCATGTGAAAACTTATTACCCAAACTGAACGCTGGGAAGTTTTAGAGTGGACTTCAAGAGCTTTTCACAATAGACTTAAAACAGACTTAAAAATGATACCAAGGCTAATAAACAATTGAAACTGACAAGTTACACTTCTGGGTCCAATAGTTCTTGGCACCTCCATCAACCGAGATGTAGCTTCTCTCCGTCTCTGTCGCTCTCTGTCTCAGTTTCTGTTTCTCTGTGTCTGTCTGTCTGTCTCTCTCTCATACACACACACACACATACCTTCATACCTTCTTTCTCTCACAAACACCAGAGCCTACAAAATCATAATGTCGCCATGTAAGGTAAGGGCAGGAGTGACACGGGCCAGCTGTCCGTGACTGCAAGCAAGCATGCCCACCTTTGGAAGATAGAACATACACAGCATGCCCATCTTCTTTCCTCTGGAGCATGTGTGACTTCTGACTGTTCAGCACTTAGCCAAGGGAGCAAGCACTTCATTTCCAAGACCATAGCAGAGAGCCAGGGCTCGCAATGAACCCCGCAGTCCCAACAGCTCTGGGAATCGGCTTCTTGCGGAGTGTTTCAAAGGTGCCAGCCTTAACTTCAGAATAAATGCCACACTACAACTCTCTAAACTACTTCTCTACCCCTTGGATTTAAGCCAAAAGGATGAAACAATAAATTGAAGAAAAAGTAAGTAAAATACAGTTGTATTAAGCATCACTTTTCACACAGTAGAAAGTCAACAAAGCTAATAAAGTTTGAATTCTTCTCCTTTAGGATTTTTTTTTTTTTGGCTGCTTCAATGCTTTGGGAGAATAGTGAGATGAGCATGGGTTTTAGAGTTTTGTAGACTTGGATCTGAGTCTAGGCTCAATGTCTCTTTGCTGTGTGAGTTCGGGAGCATTAATGTAACTTTTATGAGTCTTGGTGTCTGTGTAATTGTAAATGAGGACCAATCAGACTACTTTGAAGGGTTGAATGAGGATTAAGTTAGATGAATGATGTCTAGTGCCAAGTGCAGTTCCTGCCACATCTGGAGTACTCAACATAGATTAGGTTTTAACTTACTATGTTGCTTTGGGAAGCCCTGTTAATCCAGGAAACAGATGTGAATTAAGAGCAAGATAAATTTCCTCCCAGGAGTCCCAGAGAATTGATAATCCAGCTACTTTTACTCAATGATGGAGCAGATTTCTACTTAAGGAACTAGACAAAGGCCAGATTTTAGTCTTCCTTTATGCCCTTAAATAGCTTTTGGGTAATTCATTCTTGCAGTTAGTTTGTCACTGAAAATTAGTGACTAAGAAGGTAACAAAAGGGCAGACTGATCCTTAATCAATGCTTGGAGGTGTTCCGCATGTCAATGTGAAGACTTTTCCTTTCTCTTCACCATAGAAGCTTTTGGCAGGAAGAATTAGTTATGGGACACTGTTGAATCTACAGACTCATGCATCAGATTCTATCTGCTTCCTGTCCTAGAAAATCTATTCCATGCACCAGAAACGAAGAGAGAATTGTCAAGAGGAAAAGGTAATGAGGTACACCTAGTCCTACCTGGAGCAAACGTTCCTGTTCCTGTTGCCATTTTTCCTGTCGTCTGCGCTCTTCTTCCGGGTCCCATGCCCAGAACTTAAACTGCTCCAAACACAAACAAAACAAAACAGAAAACATTCAGGATCAGAAGGGAACACATCCTCACAGACCATCCAGAGGAAGAGAAGGCAAATAGTTTCCAGCCTGGTCCCGCGGGTCACAGGAACAGAAGGCTTTGCATAGTTAAAGTCTGCTTTGGTGGCACCAAAATGCTGGTGTGAATCTGTGACATGTTTTGGTGTCTCTATGCCAGTACTGAAGGCCTGAACTCAGGGCCTGGGTGCTAACCCTTAGCTTTTCCTCTCAAGGCTGGGGCTCTACCACTTAAGCCACAGTTCCGTTTCCTGGTGTTTCCTGATGGTTAATTGGGGGTAAGAGTCTCACAACTTCCCTGTCTGGGCTGACTTCTAACAATGATCCACAGATCTCACTTTTTGAATGTCCACAGAAATGTCTATTTGAGTATTAACTTCTACCATTGTATCCATTTAAATGCTTCTTTAGAGTCTGCTTTTCTGACTTTCCATTTGGTTTGTAGACTTCATGACAATCTCATAGAATCATGGCCCCCATCTCCTCAATGGCCTGGCAGCATGAAATTATTCTCTGAAGACCAATTGTCTTTTAAATATCTTATTTGGTTGAATCTTCTTTAAGATAACCAACTATATTATAAATTAAAGTCACACAAAATGCACCATCTTTCTTCTTAAAGTGAGATAGTGCCGGGCACTGGCCTGTCATCCTACCTACTCAAGAAGCTGAGATTTGAGGATCATGGTTCAAAGCCAGCTCAAGCAGGAAAGTTTGTGAGACACTTAGCTCCAATGAACCATCTGAAAACCAGAAGGGGAGCTGTGACTTGAAGTGGTAGAGCACTAGCCTTGGACAAAAGAGCTCAGGGACAGTGCCCAGGTCCTGAGTTCAAGCCCCAATGACCAGAAAAAAAAAAAACCCAAAAGGAGATACTTACAGGTGTAGTTACAGGTGACTTTTCACTGCTTGGAGAATCCACTGTACAGAATAAAGGAAGGAAAAATAGATCAATATGAGTAGCTTCTAATTTCTCTTTTATTTGTATCCTCTTCACGGAGGTCTTATGTCAGTTTTAGACCTTTTGTTTTTGTTTTTGGAAAATCCAGGGTATCAGGAAATCATAATAAAGCAGACCTTCGCAGCAGCTGTACCCATCACCCAAAGCCAGGAACAGTGTACCGCTGACCACATCAGCACCAGGCACTAGACCTAGGAAGCAATTGCTATGGCTACTGTGCTGGCTCTTAATGCACCTTACTCCAGCATGACTGGGCAGTCCCCTCATGTCTGACCTGCAGGTGTATCATAGAGAGGCCATGTGTCATCCGGGAAGGACAGAAAGTAACACGGTTAACAAGAGAGACAGAACCACTTTCTGCTAAGTGTTTCCAGTCTTTGAAAATGAAGGGGTTGGCTAGGCACCAGTAGCTCATGCCTGTAATGCTAGTTACACAGGAGGTTGAAATTGGAGGATCGTGGTTTGAAGCCAGCTTCTAGGCCTCTTATCTCCAATAAATCCGCCAAAAGACAGAAGTGGAGGTGAGGCTCAAGTAGTACAGTGCCAACCTTGTGTAAAGGAGAGTGCCTTGGTCCTGAGTTCAAGCTCCAGTACTCACAGACACACACACAAATGTGTCTTTGCAATCTTAAAATTAACAGAGAATTCTATGGATCTTCTCCAAACTTGAGTGTAATTGGTATTGATATTTTGCGATGTCAGAAATAAGCACTCTTATTTTTTTGTCTCTCTCTCTCTCTCAAGTCAGAAATGAGGACAAATGCCGGAAATCATTGGTTGCCCAACAAGTATTTTCATACAAAAGAACCACAGCTACCTAGAATAGCGTTTACCTGACCGCGAGAAAAACTGGGACCGTCGCCAAGAGTTCTGAACTCTCAGCGGCATGCTGGCAGGGCCAGGCGGCTCTAGATCAGATGCAGAACAGAACAAACAGAAAACCATGAAACCAGGCAAGAACTGGACCGAACCACATGTGACATGTCAAAGAAGGGTTAGTCTTGGTCACCCAGGAATCAAGAGTCAGGGACCCTCAGGTACTCAAACACATGCAAGGCCTGAAACCCTGAGAAGGGTCAATGAAAACCCCAACAGCTTGTGCACCTGCTCTCTGACTGGGTGCTCGGTGAATTTAATATTCAGATTTAATGGGGATTCTGTTTACTTGTGAAATCTGAACATACAGAGTTTGTGTGGGTTGTAGGGGGTGTTGGAAAAGTCTAAGGGGTAGTAAAGTAGTAGTAGTAGTAGTAGTAGCAGTAGTGTGTGTGTGTGTGTGTGTGTGTTCAAGGGAAAACCATGGAACATCATTAGAGTCAACAGTAGACTGTATACAATCAGTGGGATGAACAATCTATAGAGAGGTGAATTTAAAGAAATAGGAGAGCTGCTAGGTGCAGTGGCTCACCTCTCTAATTCCAGCTACTGGAGAGGAAGAGGTCCGGAGAATCATAGTTCAAGGCCAGACTAAATAAAATCTTAGGAAGACCAGTCTTAAATAGTAAAGCATGTGCTGTGATTCACAGCTGTATCCCCAGCTATGCTGGAGGGCTAGGTAGCAGACTGAGTGCCTGAGGCTAGCCCCAGGCAAACATGCAATAGTCTGTCTTAGGGCTAGAGGGAGAGCTCAGGTCATTCATTTAGTGCCTAGTTAGCAAGCAAAAGGTCCTGAGTTCAAACCCCATATCCACCTTCACTCCAAATGGGGGAAATAAAAATTTTTAGCTATGACTCCAGGATTCTTTCCTGACTGTATGGTTCCCTGAGATTTGCGGCTGGACTTTAGGGTCATTTAAATGTGTACTGGCTTATATATTTGGACAAAGACTCATTCATTACTTGCACTCATCCTTGCTCCAATGAAAGATAAATATGTCTTTTGTGTGTGTGTGCCAGTTCTAGGGTTTGAACTCAGGGCCTGGGTGCTGTCCTTGAGCTTTTTTTGCTCAAGCTAGCACTCTACCATTTGAGCCACAGCTCCACTTTCAGCTCTTTTTTGTTGTTGTTGTTGCTTAACTGGAGATAAGAGTCTCAATGGACTTTCTGGGATTGGCTTTGAACCAAGATCCGCAGATCTCAGCCTCCTGAGTAGCTAGGATTACAGGTGTGAGCCACCAGTATCCAGTCAAATCATGTCTTTTAAGGTAACTTCTTGCTTCTGGAAAGATGGGAGCTTTACAAACTCCAAACAAGTATAACTGTTATTTTTATAGCTATCAACAATGCCTTTGAGCCACCATTTAAAAAATCAATTTTCAAGTCGGCGGTTTTCATGGTATGGTCCCTGAGTCTACCATACCAGCTTCCTCTTATTACAGCTTGTTAGAAGTGTCAACCCTGGCTCCTGTCCAGGCTCACAGAAGCAGCCATGGTCTGGGTGGTCCCAAACCTAGAACTTGGGCACATTCATGGTGTCTTGGAAATAATAAATATATGAACACGCTATGAAAACTCAAATTGACAATCGAAGTGGCGTACTATTGATCATAAACTTTAAGAAGTCTTACTGATTTCTTTTATATTTTTAATTTTTTTTTATGTTTTGGAGTGAATACAAAAGTTTTTGTTCTTCTTTGTTGTTCGTGGGGCTTGAACTCTGGCCCTGGGCACTGTCCCTGTGCTCTTAAGCGCAAGGCAAGTGCTCTACAACTTGAGCCACAGCGCTACTTCCAGTTTTCTGGTGGTTACTTGGAGATAAGAGTCTCACGGACTTTCCTGCCTGGGCTGGCTTTGAACTGCGATCCTCAGATCACAGCCTCCTGAGCAGCTAGGTTTACAGGCATGAGTCAGCGGTGCCCAGCTTACAAAAAGTTTATAAAGTCTCAAATCCTTATTCAGACCCTCTTTGTGTCCATAGTCTATGGCAGACTCAGAGGCCTTAGCAGTTGGAATTGGCCACATAGAGAATTCACCCTTAGCTGTCCATTCTGAAATTCTTAATTCAACCATTACAGACTCTGCAAATACCATGTCTAAAGGAGCATCAGTTTAAGGGGAATAACCATCCTTTAAAATAAAGAATATTTTACACAGAAGGACCCAGACGAATGTGCAGAGCTAAAGCATTTCCTTCTTCTTACCTTGTGAATTCAGATTTGGCAAATGTAGTTGGTTGGATTCGGGCATTTTATCCAGATATGGAAAGGTCAAGGTTGCTTCTGGTTCTGGAGATTTTGGCTTTACCACCTGGACCATGGACACCAGACATAAACATTATTATGTATTGATCATTAACAAATGCAACCTAAGATAGACTTTAAGAAGTCAATTAAATGTAAACATTTAACTTTTCCATGGACTTTTGTTGTTGTTCTTTCCCTAAAACTCTTTTGCTTGACTATGTTCACAGAGGTCAGTTTTTCAGAGAAATAAAACAAGGGCATGAAAACAAGTGATCCCTTTCTTCAAATCCAGAAGACAGGAGCTTTATCTTTACAACTATATGTTACTCTCTCCTCTGTTTATTGGCCAATCACGTATTTTCTTTCTAGCACCACACAATACTAACTTATCATGTCAGGAAATGAGATGTTCCAGATTGAAAGGATCTGTAAACATAATTTTTAAAAAACCTTACTCTGCAAGTACTAAACATTACAGTATAATTATCATTTTAATGCTCAAGATACTACTCCACCCCTCATAAAGGTCCGTAAACCACATTGGTTTACAAAGGAATAGTTTCAATGAAATCAGAAAACAAAAGCTGTTGTATCTACCATTGGTGACGCTTATGTAAGAACTAACAGTGACTCTGCCTGTTGTAAAAGCAGCAGTAAGCACAAATAAGCATCAAACAGTGCTGAGCAAAGCTGGCCTTAGGGAAATATGTTAGACTACGTGTCCTTGTGGCAAATCATTCCCTAATTTCTAGCTTAAAAATTCCTATGTTTGCTTAATAAAAAAAAATCAAATCGTTTAAATAGGGATACAGGTGGACCCATTGCAACAATGAGATGTACAAATCGTTATGTCGAAAAACAAACTTTACAACTTTGGCAGTGGGGCGGGGGGAGGTGTAGGGGAGGCGGGCGGGGGGAAGATGGGAAGGGATGGGAAGGGGAAATAAAGGAGGTTTTTAATAAAGAAAGAAAAAAATTTAAAAATTAAAAAAAAAATGGATGTGCCGGGTGCTGGTGGCTCATGCTTGTAACCCTAGCTATTCAGGAGGCTAATATCTGAGGATGGCCATTCAAAGCAAGCCTGGGCAGGAAAGTCTATGAGACTCTTATTTCCAATTAACCACCAGAAAACTGGAAGTGGTGCTCAGGTGGTAGAGCACTCACCTTGAGCTGAAGAGACAGTGCCCAGGCCCAGAGTTCAGCCCCACAAGGAATTTTCATATTATATATGTATATATATATATGTATACATATATGTTATATATTATATGTACACATATATGCATATGCATACATCGATATGTTTATATATATGAGGACAGTGGAGCATTTCTTTCATCAGAATATAAATTATCCTTTGGTTCTGAGGATAAATTAATGAGGTTTTTTTCTTGGTAGGATTTTATTTTTCTTTATTAACAATATATCCAATCCTAAGAGAATCCTGAAGAAAAACAGTCAACCACCTCATTCTGCATTGCTGAGGTCAACCAGCTGTCTGAATGAACTTCAATTATGAGATATCTAGAAAAGCTAAGGCCTGGTCTTCTCTAAGGTGACAACTCTCAGATCTTCATCTAATGGATATTATTTCTTCTGTGGTAAAGGCTGACAAAAATACATTTCAGATAAATGAAACAATGAATGGTCAGCAGAAATGCTCAGAATGATGCTAGAAAGAAAAGTCAGCATGCCTGAAATCCTAGATACTCAGGAAGCTGAAATCTGAGGGTCACAGTTCAAAGCCAGCTTGGGCAGGAAGGTCTGTGAGACTCTTATCCCCAATTAACCACCAGAAAACTGGACGTGGCTCTGTGGCTCAGTGGTAGAGTGCTCGACTCAAACTGAAGAGCTCAGGGATAGTGCTCAGGCCTAGAGTCAAGCCCCACAACTGACCAAAAAAGAAAAAAGAAAAAGAAAGAAAAGTCAGCTTGCTGGACTGGGAAGATTGTTTTACAAGGGTAATAGCTTCAAGTGAAATCAGAAAATAAAAGTTATTATATCCACTGTGAGCACTGTGATGTAAGAACTAACTACAGGAGGGCTGGGTGGAAGGGGAGAAAGTCATATGGTGTGGGTGGAGATGCTGGGCTCCATCTGTTAATTAACTAGCAGGGGTTTTCACCCTGGAGTCCAAGAACGGAATTTGGGGCTCTGCATAGCTTGACAGCAAGGATAACTCAGTAATTCCTGTGTATTTCATTTTATGCTTTAAAAATATTAATCTGTGGATAATGTTTGCTAGATAGCCAAAGGCTCCAGAGCAAAAAAAAAAAAGAAAACAAAAATCCACCCACCCACACACTCAACCAACCAGCAACCAACCAATCAAGCAAGCAATAAACAAAACAAAACAATCTAAACTGAGTGCTTCTGAAGCTAAAATTTCCCATAGTGGTAGAGATGGGGCACAGCTAGTACAAAGGTGGCTCTAACACAGATAAGGGCAGATGACGAGAAATGCCAATTCTATGGTGGCTGTCAACCTGTTTGATAAAAGTATTCTTCCTATAAAATAGGAATACAAAGGTGTTTTCCTTTCATTTTGGATTTAAGAGGAAAAATTAGTTTTCAAACATAATAAAGGGAGCAAATATATTTTGGATAAGGCGTTCCTGAAGAAGATGGGAAATTGCCCCTGAGCAACTGTTTGACCTACAGTTTAACTTGTCTTTACAGACCTCCAGACCATTCTCCAATTCTACACAGAAAATAGCAAGAGTCTGAAACACCCACCACACATCAAGGCACCAGGCATTTTAGAGGCTCTGCCAGTGGCCCATCGTTCTCAGCTCTGTAGGGTTTTGGGGCTGTGTGGTATTCACTGGTGAAGGTCTCAGATACCTGACACCGCAAAATGGCTCAGTAACTTACATATGAACTTTAACTCACTGGTAAAATTTTCACTTCAAAGTCAAGTCCAAATGTAGGATTTTTTTTAAATTTTATTTTTGTCCATCTTTTGGCTTGAACTTGGGGACCTAGGAGCTAGCTATTCCTGAGTAATTTTGCTGCAGGACCTGCAGGACTGATTTTCAAGGTGGAATCTTACTACATATCATTGGCCACAGTTTTGCTCCATCTTGGTGGTCTGTTTATCAGGGAGCTTTAAAAAATTACAGATACCAGCCAGGTGGCAGTGACTTATGCGTGTAATCCTAGCTACTCAGGAGGCTGAGATCTGAGGATCACAGTTCAAAGTCAGCTTGGGCTAGAAAAGCTGTGAAACTCTTATCTCCAATAAACCACCAGAAAACTGGAAGTGGCGCTGTGGCTCAAGTGTTAAAGTGGTATCCTTGAGCTGAAGAGCTGAGGGACAGCGCCCAGGCCCGGAGTTCAAGCCCCACGACTGACAGAAAAAAAAAAAATTACAGATACCTGGGGCCTGCCTCCAGGGATTCAAATCTATTGGTCTGAAAGGGTCTTGGTATAAATTTTTTTCCAGTTCTTTTTTCTTGTATTTGTTTATTTAATCCTTAAGTAGTTGTACAAAGAGGTTTCAATTCAACATGTCAGTTTGTGATTACAATCCATGTTTATCCATGTTTCACCAGTCTCTCTCCTCTCATTATTTCACTCATCCCCTCAATTTACCAAGTTGCATTTTCACACACACACACACACACACACACACACACACCACACACACACACACACACACACCACACACACACACACATACACACACAAACCCCCCCACAATACACTGAATGTTATGGATACAGTCATAATTTTTTTAAATTTTAGGGGGAAGCCAAATTTGAGAACACCTGGAGTAAATTTTAAAGCACACCTAACCGATGTGAGTGGTCTGATTCCAAATATGGAAGAATAAAAATTAAAAAGACTTTTAAACCCATTATATCAGAAGAACGACTTCTTATGTATTCTATTATTCAAATCCTGTGACATCAGGAGTACCATTACTAAAAGCTGGTTAACACTGAAAAGAGAATATTAGTAACCTGATGAGTTAAAAGTAAAAAAGACAAGCTAACACACAGCAAAATGAAGCCTGTGAGGCTTTTAACCTTATATGTAAATTACATTTTAATTTTAATTGCATTACCTTCTTAAAAATTGATACATTATGGCTGGGAAGGTGGCTCAGTGGTAGAGCGCTTGCCTTGCATGCCTGAGGCCCTAGGTTCGATTCCTCAGTACCACATAAGCAAAAAGAAAAAAAAGCCAGAAGTTGCGCTGTGGCTCAAGTGGTAGAGCGGTAGCCTTGAGCTGAAGAGCTGAGGGACAGCGCCTAGGCCCAGAGTTCAGGCCCCACGACCGGACCCCACCACCCAAAAAAAATTGATACATTAGAATATACTTGAGATGTTTAGCACATGTTTTAATATATACCTTCCTTTCTACATTTACTTTGTGTGTGCATGTGCCAGTCCTGGGGCCTGAACTCATGCACTGGGCATTCTTTCTGAGCTCCTTTTGCTCAAGGCTAGCTATCACTTGACTTACTTTTGGGGGGGATTAGTTTAGTGGATTTAAGTATCTCATAGACTTTGGTCTCGGTTTGGCTTCAAAATGTGATCCTCAGATTTCAGCCTCTGGAGTAACTAGGATTATAGGTGTAAACCACGGATGCCTGGCTATATTTAACTTTTTTTCTACAATGAAAATGTAATATATTTGTCTCATAGAAAGAACACAGACTAGAGAGAAGGAAGATGTGGGGGAAAGAAACTTTAATCGTCCATCAGTGCCATAGCAGCTGCAGCATGAGACCACAATAACACCTGCATTTAATTTACCTTTTGTGACAGCACCAGCTCTACTTTTCCACCCATTTCACTTTCTAGCTTTCTCTGGTCTTTTTCTTCTTCTGGCACATCATTTTTCAGCTGGGGGCTGGAGGAAAACTCCACAAAGGCCACTGTTGGGCTGCATCGAGTCACAGTTGTCGTAAAGTGCTGTGGCTCTGAAAGGGCATTGAATGCAGAGACAGGAACATTGGAAAGCAAATCATAGAAAGAATCATTTTTTGTATGGTCAAGGAGACATTTAGCCCATATTTCCCCTCCCCACCCCCACTGCCTCCTTCCCCAATCAGAAGCTGGATTGCAGTGTGGGCTGGGTAGCAATGAGGCTGAGGTGCCAGAATCCTCCAAACTCTTTCTGGATATTACAAGAAAAGGTGATTAAAAAAAAAACTCCCACCAAAGAACCTCCCTTAGTGGGGCTAGGTCTTCAGCAGAATCATCTGAATCGAAGAACACAGCACACACTTAATGACAATTGGGGTGGGTAAGAGATCATTTCTGCCACCAGGACGGAGTGGCAGCCTAGCCTTTCCTTTTAACATCACATTTTCTTCACTGGAATGTGCCAAGGATTGTGGGACTGGGGTGTCGGGCCCACTGAAAGCCAGCTATTTGCTGACATATAAAGAACTGGGTGTCACCAGGAATGTCACCAAAATGTTGGAGGCTAGCTTGGGAACACACATGCTATTATCTTTACTAATGACATAATTGATCTATTTTAAAATGCCATTTAAGAATGATTTAGTTCTGGGAGGGGGGAATGTTTTCACACTTATCAAAGGAAAAAATTATAAAATAGTGATAAATTACACACACACACACACAAAATTGAAGAACAATACTTTAGGGAACAGATGGTGCCCTTTTCAAAACAGGGATAGAATATATTAATACTCACTAACCAGATTCATAACATTACTTTTACACAACACACATAGACACACACACATATGTATGTGGTGATGGGAACCAAAACTTCACACACACACTAGACAAGCACTCTACCACTGAGTTACATCCTCTGCCAAAGCTTTTCCTGGAGCCATGCAGGGGTTTTAACTCAAGCCCTTTCCTTGGTAGGCAAGCGCTCTATTACTTCAGCCATGCCTCCAGCTCTCCTCAGATTATTTATTATATATATTTGATGTATGCCTTATCTATTGCTGTTACAGTATGTCAAAACCTTTTTAGAATTGTTTTTTTTTTTTTTTTCTATATTTTTTTTTTAATTTAATTTAATTTTATTTGTGAACATACTGTACAGAGGAGTTACAGTTACATGGGCAGGATAATGTGTACATTTCTTACCAAGCATTGCAGCCTCCTCCTTTGTTTATCCTTCACATCCCTTCCCAGCCTCCCCCCTCCTTTTTAGAATTGTTTATGGAAGAAAATACCTGTTTATTATGAGGATGAAGATACATTTTCTAGAGATAACACATTTTAGAATTATTTATAGAAGAAAATACCTTTTTATATGGATGAAGACATATTTTCAAAAGATAACTCATAGAACAGCAAAAACAAAAACAACAACAACAAAAAGCCTTGGGCTCCTAATAGTACAGCATGAATACTTTGGTGGGAATTTCATCAGGAAGCCTCTAGGTGGCAGCACTCCCCCACCACTTGCAGAGACTTACTTCTACCTTCTGGTTGGTTAAGTAGAAAAAATGGTGCTTTGCTTTAAAACAAGTGGGCATGGCAACAATGAGATGTACAAGACACTACGATGAAAACGAACTTTACAACTTGGGTAGGGGGGTGGTTGTGGAGGTGGGAGGGAAGGGATGGTATGGGAAAAACAAAGGAGGAGGCAACAATGCTCGATAGGAAATGCACTCATTACCTTGCTCATGTAACTGTAACCCCTCTGTACAGGATTTTTACAATTAAAAAAAATGCACACAAAAAAACAAGCGCACAATGAGACAAACCTGCTGTGTCCAGCTCTGTGTTCTCTTTTCCTGGGTTTCCTCCATCATTCTTATCCTCTTGGTTGTTCAGTTTGGTTTCCTCCGCCATCTCCTGAAAAAAGATTATTTTCACACTGAATTAAGTATTCCTTGGAAGGTTCTAAAAAGGAAAGGTTTTTTTGTTCTTCCTTAATAGTAATTTTTCAGGGCAACATGGTATTGTATTTTCAGGGCAGCTATGTAGAGAGAGCCTGTGTGTGCTGGCCCACCAAAGATTCTAAACCTGTGGCCATCCACTTGCTCCTCAGTGCCTTTCATGGTGATATAGAGACACACCACTAGTGATCCTCCTCCTCCTCCTCCTCCCTCTCCCCCTCCCCCTCCCCCCTCCCCCTCCCCCTTCCCCTCCCCCTCCTCCTCCTCCTCCTCTTCTTGTAGCACTGGATTTAGGGTCTCTGCTCATTAGGCAGGTGCCCCACTGCTCAGCTACACCTCTAGAATTTTATTTTGCACTGGTTATTTTTGAGGTAAGGTCGTGGTTCTTGCCTGAACATACACCTAGGCCAGGATCACCCATTTTAAAGTTCCTAGTGGCTGGATAATAAGCATATACCACCACCACACCCAGTTTCCTCCTTTTCAGCTGCTTTTCTACCTGGAATTGCAATCCTCCTAATCTCAGCCTCCCAAGTAGCTAGGATTACAGGCATGATGGCGTTGCCTTTTTTTTTAAGGCTACAATTCACCTCTCAGTGGCCTGTCCTGGGCATAGCTGCTTGTTGTGCTTAACGGTGTGGATTTTATTCTTGAAGCATTCTTCCTTCCTGGGCTCCCAATAATCTCTCTCTGTGTTTCTTCTCTCATTGATTCTCATTAATTTTCTTTTCTTATTCCCTTTGTTTTCTACCACGTGAGCCATGTCACCAGTCCTGTTTTTTGCTGGTTAATTGGAGATGGATTTTCAAGGACTACTTTGCCTGGGCTGGCTTCCAACCGTGATCCTTCAAGTGTCTGTCTTCTAGTAGCTGGTAGGCTGGAGCCCCCAGTAACCAGGTTCTGGTAAGTTGTCTTTTTAACACAATAGTTTTTGGTCATGGCTTCCTTTCTGTACTGACAACTGGACTGGAGTTTAGCCTTTCTCCTTGTTCTCCTACTCAGGAGAGTTTCTGACTTCAATCTCATTGTCTAATCTATTGGACACATCTAGTTCTATGCTTTTGGTGTTTAGAGCTACCTAAATATCCAACCCCTGGGGAACAATTGAATGAATAACTTAGGTCCCCAAAGGGAACCATCACACAATCACTGAAAACTAAGATATTGAACATGCTGAAATAGAGCGGTACAGGGCTGGTCTAGCATGCATAACCCTGGGTTCGATTATGAATACACAAACACTTAAGCTATCTGTTATATAAGGTCTACATATGTAAGATTGCATATGCGCATAAGCGTATATAAATGTAGCTGCTAATATAGACATTGAAAGTATATAAAAAGACAGTGTGTAAAATGTAAACAGAGATTTCTCATTTTTGTTAAGACAGAGTGTCCCTATGCAGCTCAGGCTAGGGTTGAACTTACTGTGCATCTCAAGCATGCCTGAAATTAGTTTTCCTCCTATCTCAGATTCCCAAGTGCTGGGATTACAGAGGAGTACCATCATAGTTGGCAATAATAATAATCACTGTGTATGTGTGCGTGCATGAGTGTATATACTCACCAGTACTGAGGCCTGAAATTAGGCCTGGGTGCTGTCCCTTCATTTTTTCCACTCAAGGCTGGTGACTTACCACTTGAGCCACAGTTCTGGTTTTGGCTTTTTAGTGGTTAATTGGAGACAAAGAGTCTCGTGGACTTTCCTGTTTGGACTGGGTTCAAACTGTAATCCTCAGGTCTCAGCCCACTGAGTACCTGGGGTTATAGGTATGACCCACTGGCATCTGGCTCAATAGGGGTTCCTTTTAATATGCTTAACTGTTAGATGCTATTGCTTTCTCATAAGCCCTCTGCATGCTCTGTCATTTGGATGTGGTGACATGCCCACCTCCAGGACTCCTCCACTACTTAGAGCTTTTGATCCATACAATCAAGCACTTGAGAGTCTCAAGATTATTGCTGAAATGAAGCAAACTACCTTTTTCTATTCCCTATCTTCTTCATCCTCCCCTTCATTTATTCTGCAAAAAAACCCAACAACCCTAAGGACTTCTGAGAGTCCGTTAGGACAAAGGCAAGCTTAATGGGACACATGATTCCAGCTACCAACCCATCCCAGGTTCTGAGGGGGTAAGGGCCAGGTATATCATCTTTGGTGGGCAAAACAAATCTTTCCCTCATAGGAAAGTCATTCTCTCAAACTCAGGTTAAGTGCAGCTTGGCCACCCAAATCCAGCCCTTGCTAGCAAAACAGCCAGGCTGAATAAGAGAAAAGGCAAGCTGCAACCTCATTTCAGTAAGATGAGCCCACTTTAAACAATTTTTTTGTGTGCACTGGGGGAAAAAAAAGAGGAAAAGGATATGTATCTAAAAGGAAAACAACTCTAACAATATGAATTTCCATGTGGCTGGAATACTAGCATTTCTATTTTCTCTACTGTTTCCTGTATTCTGTGATGGACAGAAAATATCTGGAATCAAGGGAAACCTCAAAGCCATCTTAATTAACCTCTGTCTGGCTTTCTCCCTCCTGAAGGCTTGCTGTTTTTGTGCTCCAATCATTACTTCCAAGGAAATGAATTTAAAGTTGGCAGTGTTAACCAGAACTGATAGAATCAAAGGTTTCTTTCCAAAAAAAGAAGAAGAAGAAAAAAAGACCTGCCTTGTTGGGCTGACCCAAACTTTCCTTTAGTTTCAGCTCAAATTTTAGAGAGGCTCCCTTCTCCACTTCCTCAAGAATACAAACAAGTAAATAAAAACAAATCCCTGGACACACATGAATGGGAGCACAGAAAGGCTAACGTGACGTGACGCCAAGCCAGGAGTTGGCTTCTGCTTGACGGAGAACGCCCCAAAGGTGGTGGCAGCTTCTTGGCTTCAGACGGATGTGATCCAGCCACGAAATCTACCTGGCTACTGGCTGCACCTTCTGACTAGAGCCTTCCTGGTGGGCTAGCCTGACTGTAAGCAGCGTGCAAGGTGGACTGGGGCTTGGAGGGAGGAAGGTGAGAAGTATGGGGTATGGAAGGCTTGGATGCTAGCCATGTTCTAGGCATAGGCGCTGAGGATCATGGACCAATCATTTCACCTCTAATGAGCTGAGGCAGCCATGGCCAAGGTTCTTCCTGAGTGGCTATTCTGGGATTCTGAGCAATTTCCTGGCTCCAATCCTGTACAACTTAGCTGGATATGAGCCTAGGAAAGCAATCTGTTTATGCCCTGGCACCACTATCCAGGTGCCCAACACACTTGCTTGTGTTTCTCTCTCCTCCTTCAGACCTCTGAATACTGGAAGGAAGAGAAGCTACATGGAGGACCAGGTCTCCAGGCCTGCAAATTAAAAAAAGTGAAGTTTCGCACGACACTTTCAAACTCACTGCGTGAGGCTCTGATCCAAGGGAAATAGACAGGCCAAGATGTCGTTTTTAAGTTGCCCGGAATACTTTCTTGAAATCTGTAAATGCTTCTGTATCTAAATATCTTTAACTACTTTTATAGAGTCTTATCAAACAATCCTATGACTACTTCTAGTTGGAGAGAAGTCATTTTTGAAGACATTTGACATCTAGGAGGAATTTGCAGTTGGTTTCAGCTTGGGAGAAAAACAGCGCCTACTCAGACGCCTTTAGCCTGCTCTCCCTGCAAGCAAGAAAGGTCTGATTGTCAGTTTTCCTGGATCAGAACACAGAAGGAAAGTGCTGAGTTTTCAAAAGGAAGGCCAGGAGCTTTTCATTTTATTTTATTTATTTTTGTGCTGATAGTGGAGTTCAAACTCAGGGACTTAGGCTCTCATTTGGCTTTTTCACTCAAGGCTGGCACTCTATTACTTGAACCATATCTCCTTTTCAGCATTTTGCTGGTTACTTGGAGACAAGAGTTGCACAGACTTTATTCCCTCCAAGGACGATCCTCAGATCTCAGCTTCTTGAGCAGTTAGGATTATTTACAGGTGTGAGCCACTGGTGCCTGGCCAGAACTTTTTCAAGATGGGGAATTCAGCTTCTCCGCACCCCTCCCCCCACCTGCCCCCATCTCCCTTTCAGTTTGAAAACAGGAGATACTGCTGAGTGGAGTTTGGCTAATTAGTGAGAATTGCCACTAGCCTGGAAGGAAGGTATCGGCTAGCAGGTGAGCAAGGGCATTGCCATTTGGGATGAGTGGGTAAGAGGGAGCATGGGATGGAGTACTGGAGTAACAGAGGGGTCACTGTAGGGGTGAGGGGTGAAGAGAGAAGAGTCTTAGGAGCCCAGGTGGCAGGAAGAAGGCAGAATTGAAGACTGGACAGGAGAAGCAAAGAGAGTGGGAAGAATTATGAGGATGTCTCCAAGGATGATTGTGTCTTCTAGAAAAAGCTGTTCTCGTGTGTATATTTTGAATAAGGACAACTGGAGTAATTGACACACAAAACTGGGAAACATAAAGGAATTCAGCTCACGCATAGAAAATTCACATCTGTTCAAGAGGGTAATTTGATGATCTTATGTTAATCCAGAAGAGCATTATATCTATTCCCATTTGAGGCTTCTAAAAAATGTATTCTAACTTTCTTTTGTTCATTTGTTGTATGACAATACTAAAAATGGCTGGGTGCCGGTGACTTACACCTGTAATCCTAGCTTCTCAGAAGGCTGAGATCTGAGGATAATTGTTTGAAGCCAGCCTATAAAAGTGTATGAAACTCTCACCTCCAATGAATCACTAAAAAGCCTGAAGTGGAGCTATGGCTAAAGTGGTAGAACACTAGCCTTGAGAAAAACAGCTCAGGAACAGCTTCCATGCCCTGAGTTCAAGCCCTAGAACCAGCACCAAAATCAAACTAAACCAAACCCTATGGGCATCTGTAGTCTATGAATCACCTAAAAGACAAGACATAAATTCATCTTCAGACACAAACTCTCACAGTGACTACCTGACTTATTATGGGAGAGGGTTCTTTTGGTACCACTGAGGAAAAAAGAGATTTTTAATACGAATATAATGATAATAGACCAAGAAAATGTCTATTGCGTTGAAAGGCATAATAAATCTTACAGTAAACTATGAAACATGGGATAAGTAAGTTTTTGGAGAGAAGATCTCTCAGGTTCTTTTCCAGTTTTGCATTTGTGCCTTAGCCTGATTTTTCTAAGAGGCCAATATTTTAAACTGCAAAGAGTATTCGATTGCCAATGGGATTTTAACATAAATGTGGTAATGCACACAATTTGAAACAGCTCATGGATAATTGGGAGGGAGAAGAATCTGTCATTCTGTCTGGAGCATAAAATACCTACTCATGTTCATCACCTCTCATCTCTTTTCTTGTGGGTTCATATGGCCTGCACCACTGCCCAGGCCTTTGAACCTGCCATTCTCAACATGTGGAGCAGCAGTATCTCTTCTGCATTCCGATGCAAATCCACACTTAGGGTCAACTGTGAAAAATCTGCACTTTACACAAACCCTTCCCAGATTTCATAGCAATCTGCAATATTGTTTTCTGCAATATCACATCCTGCTGGTCTCCTTACTATAGTCTATTTAATGAGATGTTGTTTTACACACTTTTCTAGTTGCTTTATGAAAACATTTTTCCCTCAGCAAGTTTCTTTTCTTTGTCCCTCCCTCTCTCCCTCCCTCCACCCTTTCTTTTTTGCTAGTCCTGGCTTGAACTCAGGGCCTGGGAGCTGTTCCTGAACTTTTTCAGCTCAAGGCTAGTGCTCTACCACTAAGAGCCACAGCTCTGCTTCCAGCTTTTTATTCTTTTTTTCATCTTCTTTTTTTTTTTTGTGTGTGTAATTAATTGGAGATAAGAGTTTCATGGGCTTTTCTGCCCAGGCTGGCTTTGAACTGTGATCGTCAGATCTCAGCCTCCTGAGTAGTTAGGATTATAGGTGTGAGTCACAGGCAGCTGGCCACAAGTTTCTTTTTCTAGTTAAAAAACTGGGCCTCATCCTTATCAGTGGACGGATGCTTGTCCACTAGGCGGTGGCCATCCCAACCTCATAGAGATGAGGCAAAGAGGAAGAACTAGAAAGTGCAGATCTAGGTGGGCACAGAGGCCTAACTTCATTCAATCTATTTCTAAAGGAAGAAAGCAGCATCCAAGGAGAAAGACGGAGGAGAAAACCAAAGAGGTGACATCACATTATATGACAGCTTCTGTGTCAGAAGCTAAGGCCGATGCTCCAACCCCAGCCCCCTCAGAAGTGGCCCTGCCTTCCTGCTCCATCCCTCTGAATACTTTCTGCCTACTGCTGCTGCTGCTGTGCCCTTTGACCAGCTCCAGCTTGTCCTAAAGGAATTGTGACATTTTAGTGGTGGGTGAGGCCACTCCTCTGTAGAGTGTCTTGGTTGGGAATGCAGTTTTTGGAAGAAAGACACTATTTAACAAGAACACTATTCCTTTGATGGCCTCGTGGAATTGAGTGAAAGAGTTAAACAAAAACAAAATCATCAAGTCTGAGCTGGTACCAGTTTTGAAGTATAGCCTCGCATTTCAAGCTGGCCACCACATTGCTCTAGGCCCAGTCATTCTCCTTTCCAATGGGAAGACATTGGTGATATACATCACGAGATACTTTTCTTGACATAATGAAGAAGGAATTAAAATGAGGAGTACGTTTTATTCAAAGAAAAAAGGGGAAGAAGGGAGTAGCACTGTGGCTCAAAGGGGTAGAGTACTAGCCTCGAGCCAAAAACCCCAGGGACAGCACCTAGACCCTAAGTTCAAGCCCCACTACTGGCAGAAAGATAAAAAGAAGAGTTAAGCTAAAAAAAAAAAAAGGTTAGTTGAATTTTTGGTGATTTAAAAAAAATGAGAAAAAGATCCTTTATATACATATCATCAATGATGAATAGCCAGGTTCTACTAACACCAATTAAATTATATTGACAATCTAGATTCCGATGATATTCACAAGTCTAACAGGATCCTGAACACAGAGGGGAATAAGACATTTTTTTCTCTCTAACATTGTCATATGAAGACAACAGCCATGTTTTATTTACGAATTAGGTTAACTTTTAATGCCAGACCATTGGTATGAGTGGAATTATGTCTCCCCAAATTCCTGTATTGTTCTAACCCCCAGAAGGTGGCTTCATTTGGACATGGAGTTGTTGCTGGTATTTTTAATTAATTAAGATTAATTAATTATAATTAAGATGAGATAGTACCGGCCTACTAGTCTATCTGTGGCCCCTTACTCCTAGATACTCCCTACTCCAGTATAGCTAGTGTTCCTATGAGCAGAGGAAATGTTTACATACAGGCAAGACACACAGGGAGAGAGAGCCCTGTGGGGAACCAGAACAGGGATGAAGACAGATGCCACAAGTCAAGGAGCAAAAAGATTTCCAGCCACTGGCAGGAGGTGGAAAACAGACCTGAATAGATTCTCCCCCCACAGCAGACAGAAGGAACCAACAACCAACCCTTACTAACATCTTCATTTCATTTTGGATTGCTCACCCCTAGGTCTACAAGACAATGAATGTCTGTCATTTAAACCACCCAGTTTATGGTCCTTTGTTGTGTAGTCCTAGCAAACGAATACACTCAGGGAGAAAGAAATTAGCACAGCCATGACCTATGGGATTTAAGATACAGTCATTTAAGATAGAATTGTCCCCAAGAAGGGGATAAACACTGGCTCTTACTGTCAGGTCCTGCGGAGAATTTGGCTTCTTGATGTTGATCTCGATGCTGTAGTTGTCTTGTTTCACCTCTAGGGGGGAGCCAAGCACAGTGGCCACCCCTTCAAACATCTGGGACTTGGTTAAGGAGGGGACGGCTGCCACTGTGAGATCCTCTTTGTCTTTGTCCTCCTCTTCTCCATGGGCCGTCTCTCCATTCATGCTGACTTTTGCATCTACCTATAAAAGCCAGGATGAACACAGAACACGCTATTTTCCAGCCAAAGAGGATCACAAAATACAGTCTACAATTCACCTTAAATAACTGCCACTGACTAGTCAAGAGTTCAAAAAAGAATAATAAGGTCTCACAAATGTTTTTATCTGTTCTAGAGCACAAGGTTTCCATAAATGAAATGTATTTAACACTCTTTAAAAGGCCACTTTCACTATTAGATTTTATATCATGTGCACAAAAACATGCCATATATTTGGGTTCCAGTAATGTTTGATTTAAATTCTGACTGCTGTTGCACAGGATTTTCCTTTTCTTTTCTTCTTTTGCTTTGTGCTAGTTCTAGGGCTTGAACTCAGGGCCTGGCCTTTGCTTTTTTCTCTCAAGGCTAACACTCTATCACTTGAGCCACAGCTCCAACCTCCAGCCTTTTGATGGTTAATTGGAGATAAAAGTCCCATGATTTTCCTGCCCAGGCTGGCTTTGAACTTCGATCTTCAGATCTCAGCTTCTTGAGTAGTAGCTGATTATAGGTGTGAGCCACTGTGTGCCCTGCTGACATTATGCTACCTTACAAAAACGTTCTTTTTCTAGCTAATTTTACAGCACACACACACACCCTTCCCCACCTTTTCTTTTTTCAAGACAAAGATGAGACACACTAAAATGCTTTGAGTTTCACCCTCATGTCTAGGGGAAATATTCAGAACAAGGAAAGAGAAGCAGAGAGGGTGGTTAGCCTGGCTTCTGGAAAGGCTTCTAGAGATCGTTCTCAAGGCGTGAGGCAGAATATCAGTGTTATGAGAGGAGTATGTTCTTAATGTACTTAGGATCAAAGTCTGGATCTATAACCAACAGTCATGTAATATCTGTTTCTTATCTTCTATGCATAACTGAACAATTAAACTAACAGTATCTCCTTAATTGTGCTTTTACAGAGATTTTTATGTACGCAGTGCACACTTGACACAGATAAAGAATTTTAAATGATTAATATTTAATATTAATTCAATGAATAAGATTTTAAGTGGCATATGGTAATAACCATGCCTTCTAAAATCTTCAGAAAGAAATACCAGAAGGCCAGTTAGGAGGTATGGTTTATTTATCTTGCACTGTCAGCTTTCATACACTTAGTTTTTGACACAGGGTCTTGCCATGTTGCTTTGACTGGTCTTGAACCCCAGAGTTCTAGTGATTCTTTTACCTCAGTCTCCTCAGAACTGAGACTACAGGAGGTATCAATAACCCCAGATTGACTTTCAGTCTTGTTCTGTTGTACTTGGAGAAACAACTAACCTGTATTTCCTCCCTCCCACCCGGTAAGAAGCTCACACATACACACCTTTTCTCCTCTTCCTTCCTGCTACTTTCTGGTAACAACTGTGCTGTTTACATTTTACCTTTTATCAAGATCACCCATCTACCCACTCAGTGATAGAATCCTAGGCACTGGAGCCCTCTAGGCCTTGGAGGAAGCTAGTTATTGGTCAACAGTAACCTTCAGCTTGAGAAGACTTCGACCCAAATTCCCAACACACCCCCTCCACGGATGTGCTCCTGGGGCCTCTATACCACCAGCTCCCCTGGGAAAGCAAAGGGTTCTGTCAGAGTCAAAGTTTTGCTATGATGTCATTTATCCTAATTCTTTTGTTTCAATGATTACATTGTACTATTTACATTAAAGATATTGACATGATATGATCCACTGCCTTGGATGACTAGTTAAACCAATGCATTCCCTACCCCAGCTTTGTTTGACCCAACTGCATATGAAACTTTTGTTCATGCAGTGTTATAAGCCATCTACCACCATGGGCCTCAGATGGAGGAATGTACTAAATGGACCACTGATCATGGGCTGGGCACGGGGTTACATGTGTGCATGAGTCTGTGGGATGAGGACAAGTGAAAAATCATGTATTTACTCACTAACTACTTGCTGAGCATCCACCATGTGCGAGGCACCGGTGCCAGGCTCTCCGGATGAAGCTGTGAATTACAGACTTACAGTCTCTGCCCTGAAAGGATCAAACATCCCAGCTCCATCCAGATGAGAAGCTGGACATTTTCCCTCTCTTCAAGCAAAGCTTATGGCAAGCTTCATGCTTGTTAGCCGACTGCTCCACCGCGCAAGCCAGGCTCCCAGCCCTTTTTATTTGCTTTTGCAGATGGGATTGCATGTTTTTGCTCAGGTTGGTCTCAGAGTAGCTGAGTTACAGGTATGTACTACCATGCCCAAGCCACGGCATAGATTTCCACGACACAGAGTTGTTTGAGCTGAAATATGGTGTGGTTCTTCTGGAAATTCAGTAAGGAAGATACATGGTCTCATACCGCTCAGTTAGCCAAGTTACTCAAACTTCTCACACCAAGTCTTCATGGTTCCATCACTGAGTGACGAATTCCTCCTCTGTCGTGTGTTATGAACTGATATGGTATACAAGGGCAGCAAGAATTGCTTTTTCTTCAAAGCCCAAAGAGCTTAAGACAAAGTGTCTTAAGGAGGGAAAATAAGGGTATTTGAGGACATAAATTGATGTCTAATTACCAGAGGGTTTTGTTTGTCATGCAGTCTTGTTTTTGGAAGACAATGTTACATATTTCACTGGTAAAACCTAGATTCTTTCCACTTAAGGAAAATCCTATCTTGTCTAAGGAGTACATCCTGTGTTTTCATGTATTCCTTGTGTGTGTTTTCCTAATTGTAGCATTCATCCATTTCTTTCTAAAGGACATATAGTTGAAGCCAAGTATTGGTGGCTCACTCCCATAATCCTAGCTTCTCAGGAGGCTGAGATCTGAGGATCACAGTTTGAAGCCAACCCAGGCAGGAAAGTCCATGAGACTCTTATCTCTAATTTACTACTATCACAACAACAAAAAAGCCAGAAGTGGCTCTGTGGCTCAAGTGGTAGAGTGCTAGCTTTGAGTACAAAAGCTCAGGGGCAGTGCCCAGGCCCTGAGTTCATTCAAGCCCCAGGACCAGCACTAAAAAAAAAAAGAAAGAAAGAAAAAGGACACAGTTGTATATAAACCCAAAGGACACAGTTGTATATAAACCCAAAGCAATGAAAATGTTTGTTTTTTTTCAGGAGTTTGACATATCTCTAGATAGCTGAAGACACTAGAGTGTTATTAAATTCATATTTCTTTCCATTCCCCTAGAGACCATGGAATTTTATGATACTAGTAAATAGACCTCATCTCTGCAGATGACCTGTCAATCTCTCTCTGTTCATTAGTGTCAATGATAGTAATTAAGAGAAATATCTGGCCCTTCAATATTTATAGACCAAATCTCCTGAGCCCTACAAATGAAGAAATGCAAACATTAACACACTGGCTTTTGTGTGGTTAAAAATGCATTGGAGCCGGGTGCTGGTGGCTCACACCTGGAATCCTTGATACTCAGAAGGCTAAGATCTGAAGATCATGGTTCAAAGTCAGCCTGGGTAGGCAAGAAAGGCCTTGAGACTCTTATCTCCAATTAACCACTAGAAAACCAGAAGAGGAGCTATGGCTCAAAGTGGTAGAGCATTAGTCTTCAGCAAAAACAGCTCAGGGACAGCACCGAGGCCCTGAGTTCAAGTCCTACAACTGACCAAAACAAAATTGCAGTGGAGTTGAGTTTGGGCTCTACTCCTCACTCAGTCTTCTTACCTTGAAGGTCTTCAGAACCTCTTGGGAGTTTCTGGGCTGCGAGTAAGGCTTGGGCGTCAGCATGGGCACTGCTTTGGGCGTGACCACTTTGCTTGGAGATCCACTGCCTGCTGCCGTGTTGGTGTCAGGAACACTGGCACGCGCAATGGTGGTTTCCACCGTGGCAGTGAACTTGGGGGGAGGCAGGGACTGTTGCCGCAGGTATTTCATGGGGCTGGGGTCGTTCAGGAAGGAGGATAAGTTTGGCTCTGTGGAATGGCTTCTTTCCAGGATTTTTGGCATTTCCAAGCGTTCGAGGACAGCCTCGCTGATGGTGAACCTCTCGATGTACTGCTGGAGGATCCCCTGGGCCTCCTCCTGAGACCTGGCGTTCTTATAGGCCTCGTGCAGCTCTCGCTCTCTCCGCTCTCTAGACAAGGGGGGAGGGAACAAGGTCAACAGTCAGGAACGAAGCCAAGGAGGCCCCAGCTCAAGGTGGTGCAGAATACGTCTATGCAATAATGGCGTCAGAGCCTCTGTGACAGCGATTTAGGAAAAGCACATCTAGATGACGGCATATATTACAAACAAGACCAGAAAGCACCCACTTTTCTTGAACGATTTCTTTGTAGGTCTTGATGCTTTTTCTCCGTTCACTTGTCCCATAGTCTCCAGCCAATAACTTCTCCATCTTTTTTCTTTCTTCCTCTTTCTTGATTAAGTCTTGGGAAGCACTTCTTCGACGGCTCTTCCAACGAGCCAGGTCCTGGAGTGGGGAGAGAAAGAGAGAAAGAGACAGACAGACAGACAGACAGACAGACAGACAGACAGAGACAAAGACAGTCAGAGAGATGCACAGAGAGAGAAAATACAACATTCTTCTTTAGCTTGCACATTACTCCCTGCTTCCCTTTCAGTAGAAGAGTTTCATGAATACAGAGGACAGAAAACCCAGGAACTCTGTGAGGTGGTTCCTGACAACCCAGCCTAAGGCTGCATCAGGATGAGGATGCCTTGAAGACAGGACATAAGCACGTGGTATCCACACGAGCCACAGCACGGCAGCACTGACTTCAGCATTGCAATGTGAAATGTTTGCAATCATATTTCAGCCACTTGCCCCACTGGAGAGCCTTGTTTCACAAGGTAATTGGTATGCTCCCCCTGCCCTATTTGTGTCTTCTGTGCTGGAAACAGATTTGTCAATGATAGAAGGGTTAGGGATTCGTTTATAGGTTTCTTGCGGAATGAAGAAAAGACAGAAGACAAATGGTTCCGGAGTCTCATGGGTCTGGTGAGTCTGTGTATACAGATTCACCGGACCTTAACAACCTCCTCATCGTAGCTCTATAGGAACTTGTAGAGAAATGATGAAAAGTGCAACTTTTGGGGACAGGATAGGATGCAGGTGTGGGAAATGGACCAGTTCTGCCGCTCATGCTCTGGAACCTCAGGCATGTTTCTTAGCCATTCTGTACCTTAGTTTCCTTATCTCTAAAATGGGGGTGATTATGGAGCCTTTCCTTATAAGTCTGGAAGGTGAACTGTGATAATACGTGTTAACTGCTAGGCATCTAGCAAATGCTCAATATACTATAGATATACGTGCTGCTGCGTTTTCCCACCTTTGGAGTGGAGCTGTGGCTCCACTTCTGGTTTTCTGGTGGCTAATTGGGGATAAGAGTCTCATGGACTTTTCTGCCAGGGCTGGCTTTGATCCATGATCCTCAGAGAGCTAGGTTTACAGGCATGGGTCTGGCAGAAGTTAGTTCTTTTGAGTAATCATAGAGTTGGGCTCTCAAAATGGCCAGTTCAGAGCACTCCACGATAACAAGAGATGATCCACTGTCCCACCTCACACTTCAAAACTTCAAACTTTTCCTGTGTTAGCTCTTGGCTAACACAATCTCACATCCCTCACCAGACGCTTGGGTTCTTTCTCTGGTTCCAATCCTGGCTTTCTTGCTCATTGGTTGTGTGGCTCTGGGGAAGTGACTTTCCTGGGCTTGGAGCCCTCTGCAGAATGGGGGTAGGGGGTGGGGCAGGGAATAATAGTGGCTAGCACAGTAAGGACATGAAGGGGGAAATGGGGACAGCGAAGGAACAGGTGATGCTGACCAAGAAGTGTCATACTCCCAACCTGACTTACGCCATTGTAACCCTTTGTCAAACTGCTTAATAATAATACAAGTTATAAAATAAAATTGCTATCATGGTTGGTTGCTAAGGGGGCTGAATGTCACTTAGAAGAGTGTCTGGTTACCGGTCCCCTTGCAATGTGAGCCATTATTGCTGTGGCCACTGCCATTCTCATCAGCATCAAGTACAGAACCTCAAAAGGCAGCGGCTTCTCCATTGCTGCTCACCTTCTACCCCTGTCTCCTTGGGGGGTTTGGGGGGGGAGTCAAGCTTTTGGCCAGGGTACCTGCAGATTACCTGCCAGTGACATTCACCTAGCAGGTCTTACCTTCTGCTCTTCCTAACGCTTGCTCTCATCCTCCTGTTTACAGTGTTTGCAAGTGGGGCTTTCAAGTCCATATCTACCCAGGCCCACCCCCCCACCCCCCCACCCATCGGCTGCCCGCCCATGGCCTTGGCCGGAACTCACATCTTGCCATTTGTCATCTTCCTCTCTCAGCTGGGTATTAATCAGCTGCAGCTGCTCCTGGCGAGCCCTGCTGTGCGGTAGCACCGCAGCAGCCTCCTCCTCACACCGCACATCAAACATACTGGTGCTCCTACAGGAGTGGACAGAAGGAAACAAACAAACACAAAAAGCCAGCGGGATCAGCAATTCCGTCTCAGCCGCGTGAGGGCGCTACTGTGCCTGGAAGCCAACTCTATTCCTCTGCAGCCCAACGGTCAAGTGGGGAGGGGATATGCTGTGTCCCCCCCTACCCCCACCCCCCTCCAGCCACCAAGCCAAAATGGGACTTTGTCTTTGGTGATGTGGAGAGAGAGAGAGAGAGAAAAAAAAAAACTAACACAAAAGGTATTTGAAGGTCTGGCCTCCTCTCTTTTGGGAATGTATTTCAAAATAAAATGAGAATTCAAAGCTCTGTAATTTGGGAAGCACATGGCGGGGGTGGGAGGTGTTCTGTGATGTGGAACTATATTGCACTAAATGCTTTTCTGCAAAGAGCTGGCGTAAGAGCTTCCTACACGAAGGAAGGCCTTTTTTACATTTTTCAGTCATATTTTATTGAGTTTTAGATGCATCTGACAACTACCAGTTGGTGTGTCTCTTTGATGTGTTTTTTTTTTCCCCTAATTTCCTGTAAATCTGTAGGCAATTGATAGTGCTCTTAACAGCATCTTGGATGGAGAAAATAAGGTAATGAAGTAAAAGATATGTCAGCATACACTTTGTATCTTTTGTAACCGGATCACACAATCATTTTAATGTATTTGAATATGTCAGGCTGTCTCTGAATTTACCCTTTTAAAAACAAAAGGAAAGGAGAACTATTAAAAAAAAAACACCTTAGTCTGTGTCTGTGATCAATATATTTATTCAGCTGGACACAGAACCAGAGACCAAAGTAAGTATTACTTTTTTGTGTGATGGAAATGACTACCTTTGGGAGCAGGTGAGTGACGGAGTCTAAAACGCAAGCAATGGAGGGACTCTGGGTAGCCTCTGGGTGTAAAAGACCTGAATAGTTTATTTTTGAAGCCAGCTTGACTCACAGCAAAAGAAAAGCCATGCGCGTAGACACCAACGAATTCCAGACATCATCTGAGATGTTGGAAGTTTACCCCCATCCCTGCTCCCCCCCCACCCCCCGTGGCCAGATGTTGAGCAACAGCAGCAGCACCCATGGGTGCAATGAGCTCCCCAGGCAGGCTGCTCTCCAGAAGGAGACGTCCCCTAGACAGCCATTGGCCCACCATCCACTCAGAATGGGCTTGTGTAGATGGCGCTGTCCCTCTCTCTTCTCTTCAGGTGTCTGACCTAAGACAAACTAAAGACTGTCCTTGTTATCTGTCTTCTCTCAGAGTAGTCTAATAATCTAACTGCAGAGATGGGATTTTATCTGAGGCAAAGCACTACGAGAAACCACCACCACCACTCTCCCTGGGCAGTTGCTGACTCCACGGCTGGGACAAAACAAAACTTCATTAGGAGAAAAGCTGTGATTTTTTTTCCCCCTGGTTTTATACTACTTATGAATGTTCTTTAAGAAAGATTTAGGATCAGGCATGGTGGCACATGCCTGTAATCCCAGCACTTGGGAGTCTGAGGCTGGAGGATTAAAAAATTGAAGCTAGCCTCAGCAAGACATTGTGTCAATAAACCACTAATTTTTTTTAAAAAAAAGAAGAAAGGAATTTAAAATCCTAATTTTTTTAACTTCATGATGGGCTGAAATTCATCCCATTCCTCTTGACAGTTAAAAAAAAGGAAAAAAAAAAAAAAACAACCTCTTACCTGTAAAATATCCAATCCAATCAGTTATCTTTGAAGGCAATTTACAATCTCTGCTACGATCGTCTAAGACATAAACTTCTAGGAACTAGGGCTCTCCTATAATTTACCGAGTGACTATCTGATTATGGAGCAAAAAAGCGCTTCCTTCCTATGACGTTGCCATCTATAATTGAATGGGCAGAATTTTGGTTTAGAGAGCCAGGGCCTCTTAAGAAGCCTGGGAAGGAAGGCAGCCTTCTCCAGGGTATGGATGCAGCCAGCCCTGTGCCGGCATGCGGTCAATGGATCAGGCACACCGCTACCTTCCTCTGGCCTGAGTTTCCATCTGTGTTCTTTCTGGAAAGCACTGAGTAACCTCAGCCCAAAGGTGGCTAGAGGCTAATGCTTAGGGAAATAAAAAGAGAAACTCTAGCTTGCCCTCTTCTCAACTGGAAGTGCTAACCACCCCCCACTCCCCACCCCCATGCTGAAGTTTTTGGCTCATTTTAGGAAACATCAGCAAATGTCAATATTTTCATGTCACTTCAAAAAAAAAAAAAGGAAGTGAGAAAGGAGAGAAGGTACAATACAGGAGAGAAAATGGGCTGAGTCATTATTTAGAGAATGTTCTCTTAGTTCTGAGGTTGGACTTGACCTCTCAAATAAATAACTGTGGAGCTGGGGCTGAAGTGAGGCAGGGATAGGGGAATCTGGGAGAAGCTTCCAGAATATAAATGTAACTTGGGGTAAAACAATCCTTCTCTGCCCTGATGCCTATACGCTTGGGGGACCAAGGCTTGCCAGCTTTTGGGCCTAGGACTCTTCCTTGGGATCGGGTTTTTCTTCTCTTGCATTACTGTGGTTTGAACTCACAGCTTCATGCTTACTAGGCAGGTGCTCTACCCCTTGGCCACACCTCAGGACCTCTCTGTACTGGTTATTTTGGATGTAGGGTCATGCTTCCAGCCTCAGGGATCTGCCTAGAGAGTTTCTTGCAGTAGCTAGGATGACAGGCAGGTGCTACCTCACCCAGCTTCTTTCCACTGAGAATCTCTTGGACCTTTTTGCCCTGACTGGCCTGGATTCATGATCCTCCTGATCTCAGAACCACAGGCACCCAGGCGGGTTGGCAGTTTGGCAAAACGGGATGAAGTTTCCTCAAGGGGAACTTAGGAATGGCTTCTAGGCCAGGTATAAGGTAAGTAACTTTGGAATGAAAAGACCTGTCTCTTCCAAGATGAAGTCTCTTTTTGGTCGGGTGAATATTGAAAAAGGAATGTAAGTAAGAAAATGGAGAGCAGGAGGGCCTAAATCAACAGACAGTCTTGGCCGGCTGGGAGTAGGGGATTTCTCCCTTTGCCTGTGTGGTGGGTCTGCCTTGACCTACAATCTCTTTCAAGGAGACAACTTTATTATTATTATTATTATTACTGAGTTGTATTTTAAAAACATATCGGTTATCCATCCATGTAGCCTAAGTCACTAATTGTCTTTAAAGATTTCGGGAAAGGGAAGAGAATGGGGAAAAATTAAAAATAGTAGACATTTCTATTTGTTTTTGTTGGTCGTGGGGCTTGAACTCTGGGCCTGGGCGCTGTCCCTCAGCTTGTCCACTCAAGGCTAGCGCTCTAACACTTGAGCCACAGTCCTACTTCTGGCTTTTTCTGCTTACATGGTGCAGAGGAATCGAACCCAGGGCCTCATGCACGCAAGGCAAGCACTCTACCACTGAGCCACCTTCCCAGCCCACATTTCTTTTTTTTTTTAAATGAACGAATATTATCTTTTCAGCTTTTCTCCATGTCATCAGGTAAACGGTGTCTATTCTAAGCAGAAAAGTCCCTGATAAGATCTTCAGGAAAAAAGTTCTTGGTCCATAGGGCTGTCTTAGAAAAAATAAATACAGAAAAGGAAGACTGACTCCATCCTCTCCTACCTCTTTAAGAGTCATTGACTAACTGGGTGCCAGTTACTCAGACCTGTAATTCTAGCTACTCAAGAGTCTGAGATGTGAGGATTCAAAGCCAACCTGGGTAGGAAAGTCCATAAGATTCTTTTCTCCAATTAACTACTTAAAACAAAAAAAGCCTGAAGTTGCGGTGCTGTGGCTCAAGTGGTAGAGTGCTAGCCTTGAGCAAAAAAGCTCAGGAATGGCACCAAGGCCCTGAGTTTAAGCCCCAGGACTTGTACAAAAAACAGTTATAAATTTTTTCTATGGTTGCCAGAAGCTCTTGGATGAAGTTCTTTCTTTCACCTTTTAGGATTTCCCAGAGATCTAATTTATGCAAAATGCACGGCAGCTTTGCACACACACAAAAAAATCGATTCTTTCAAAATGTTTTTGCTCACACAATCAAAAATAAAGTTTGGTCTACCCATCTCATGTAATCCTCCTTTCAAAGAATGTTAAGTATTGCACTGGAGGTTTTAAGAGTATCAACCAGTGCCCAGACGACTTAATGCCATCAGGCAACCTCAGGAGGAGTTTGGTTTTGAGACATGACCGGTCTGTGTGTCTGATGACTGGACAGCCATGGATCGCCCATCTCAACTTGGCCATGGAGTCTGACTCCTTAGAACAGAGTCCACGCTAAGCCAACATCTTGAATACGAACATAAAAAAGCACAATGCAGAGACACTTTCTTCCATCGGTGGAAACGATTAATTGTGGGGCCCATACCCTTACTTCAAGTTCATTAATTCCATGACAGAATTGTAATGCAAACCAGGGTTGACATTTAGACTTAGTAGACTACTGGTGTTGCAAATTAGATTCCAATCGCATTCTTAAGACATAAATTACTCTAAGTAGGAAGATCACACTCTGAAGTTGATCTCAGGCAGACCCTATCTGAAAAAGCAAAAAAGATAAAAAAAGTACTGGGGACATGGCTCAAACAGTAAAGTGCCTCCCTTGCAAGTGGGAAACTGTGGATTTGAACCTTAGTACTGCACCTCACCTCCCCAAATTACTCAAATATAAGGCAGCTAGTATTCTGCAGGAAAACCTTTGCCTTGTTTGTCAAGACAAAACGATCTGCAAGTAGGCACTGAGTTTCTAAGACAATTAGTGCAGTCTCAAACGGGGACTGAATCTCCCAGGGGAGCGAAAAGCAAGTAGTAGGGAGAGGAAGTTCAGGTCGTGTTTTCCACCCTTGACCCCTTGCTTGCTACGCCACGGAACCTGAGCAAAACCCCAATGTTTTTGTCTCTGGCAGTCCTCAGCTCACAGGACTCCAACTTGGGAGCAATTGGTCTTCTGACTCTATCATTACTGGTTGAGGATTTATTTTTCTTAGTTCGAGAAAAAAAAAAGTGACAACAGGGTTACTGTCCCAATACATCAAGAATGAAATGAAAACTCAGAATACCCTTTTAATAATTCCGTGGGTTAGAAGGGGGACCAAGGGCCAAACCACGACAAGAATGACTTCCACATGCCCCAATCTATGAAAAGCAAATGTTAACTTGTAAGCTCCAGCTGCACACTCGAGATCATGCTTGAGTTGGCTTTTCATTCATCTTTTCTGCACAGAACATATGTTCTGCATTCCAACTTCAAGTGCCTCGCTGTGCGAGTCCCCTCGCCATTCAGCTCATGGGGCATCCATTGCATTTCAATTAGTGGTGAGTACTGGAAGCATGCAGTTTAGGCAGCGTAATTAATGTAATCCTACGAATACAAGAGCACTTACTCTGCGTCATCTGACACAGGAGTTCTCGGACCGTATCTACAAGATCAAATACAAAGTTAGAAGACGGGCAAGGCAGAAAGGTAATGCTGTAACCGAGCTGGAAATGAAAATCTGCCCGGGAGATACATGGGCACCAAATCTTGTCTGCTGATCACACTGGAAGAGAACTGTCATAATATAACAAACAATATTTATTAGTCGCTGAAAATTGAAGGGAAGTCTTGACTTTTTTAAAGAGCATAAAATTCATGAAAACTCAGAGAAAGATGGTGTCAGTGGCTCACACCTGTAATCCTTGCTACTCAGGAGGCTGAGATCTGAGAAGTGTAGTTCAAAGCCAGCCCAGGCAGCAAAGTCTATGAGACTCTTTCTCCATCTAACCAACAAAAGGCCAGATGTGGAGCTGTGGTAAAGTGGCAGCCTTGAGCAAAGCAAGCTAAGGGACACCATCCAGTCTCTGGGTTCAAGCCCCAGTACTGGTACAAAACCAAACCAAACCTCAGAAGTGAAAATGATACCATGTTATCTGCAAAGACAGAATCTGCTCAACAGAAACACAAAGAAACTTAGGGGTCATCTGCTATGTTTGAAGAAGACAGTTTAAGATACAAACACACAAGTAGCATAGTCATTCACAATGGAAGTGTTCACGCCTTTATGTTGGGCAGGAATGAGCTATACTGGACACCAGCACACAAGCACACCCTGCCCTGTTCTTGAAGTGTTACTTGTCGCCCAATTTACATCTATGAGTATGTCTATAGTTTTCTGAAAGCAAACCAGAACTTCAACCAGAACCTTTCTCAGTGTCTTCCACATACACATTTGACCAAAACCACAGTTCCTAGAAAACTGGTAACCTTAATCAAAACCAGACTCGGAGGGAGGATATTCCATTACTTGAAAAAAAAAAAAACCAAAGTATTTTTGTAATCTTTTACGTCCTTCTGAAAATTTAGGTCTCTAGCATTGTCTCTAACATCTGCAATATGGCCATTTTTTAATGTCTAAAAGTATCTGAGCAAAGAAAAAGATTATGTGAGAAAAAAGACTAAAAGGACATGTTTTGAGCTCATTTTTCAAAGAGCAGGACCTAATCCCTTTGGCCAAAGTGAATTTTAAAAACAGTCCCTACCTTTGCCTTGAAATGTTTTCATTTTCCCATGCTGGACCAAGAATTATTGCTGTAAGGGACATATGTCTTGTTTCTAATAAATTACATTTGGGGATTGTCAGCAAAATCAAAAATAATTATCTACTCCCATGGTCAGTATCCTAACAGTTTATAGAAAAAGGAATAATTTCTAAAGAGCTTTTCCTATATCTTAAAAAATACCTTGGAATACATGCATGTCTATATAACCTTCTTTCCCCCTGCATGAACACACAGACACACAGACACACACACATTGTTAAAACATTTTGCATTCTTGAATAGTCTGCATGGTAAGTCATTGTATCATTCACAGTGGTAGCAATCATGAGTGCACAACTTCAACAAGGAAAGGATTGTAGAGTTTGCTTTTGGCAGTGTAGGACCACATTCCCCTGCTCCGGGGAACATCATAGAAGATAAATTCAGCCTGACACTCTCAAAGTTCCCCGAACACCACTACAGTGAAGCAAGTGACAACTGGATTCTTCTACACCAAGACACAGAGCTTGAGTATTATTAATTCTCAAGACTTCCTGTTTCTAAGTTAATGAAGAGGCCTACAGGAATATATGTATTCAAATACAGTGTTTTCTAAATTCTCTTTTTGTAGAGAGAATTTGGTAATCAATCTTATTGCAAAAACAATCTATTAATACATATGGGTTCCTGTCTATTTGGGCAGTTTAGTAGCATTTTACTACAGTATAACTTCAATACAGACAATGCACACCTTCCACAGCCACCTTGATGAACTTCTGCAAAGTGAACACATCCACAGAGTAGTGTCTTTTGTTCTATCTGAAAGATTCCCGTGCTTTTGTTCTGGCATAGTTAGTACAGCGTTTTAAGGTTCAACTATGTTGTTGCATGTAGGACATATCTGAATTTAAATTGTTTTATCACAGTATAGCATTTGACAGACGAGGCTATATTCTGCCAACAAATACAGATTTACACTAAAATTCAAATCTTGGGGTGGAGTGCGGGAGGGGGGGAGGAGTTTGTTGGAAATTCCTTGACTAAAGGAGCTTTCAGCAAGCATTTACTGAATCCTTACTTGATCCTGTGAAACAGGATCAGAAGATAACCTGACCACAGTCACAGAAGATAGCCTTTCATCTTTTTACTATGTACTTGTAGATTTAAGGAATTTCCTCTCCAACTAGTTTATTAGCTTTCTGAGGGCACTCACTTATTAAGCAGAACTGCCTTTGCTGGTAAGGAGGGGGAAGGGAAGCATAAACAGAACTTGGCCACAAGAAGACTTCTCAGTCATCCTATAGGTAAACCCAAGTTACCAAAAAAATCACTAGGAAGGAGATAGTTTAAATGCAAGGTTGTTAACCCATGCTTTGTAAGGATACAGAGTAGGCAACTGTGACAGTTCACCAAAAAAAAAAAAGACAACAAATTAATTAAAATTTAAGATGATTTTTTTTGGGGGATACAGGTGGACCCATTGCAACAATGAGATGTACAAGTCATTATGTCGAAAACAAACTTTACAACTTTGGTGTGTGTGTGGCGGGGGAGGTTTGGATGGGGGGGGGGTGAGGAGAGGATGGGAAGGGATGGGAAGGGGAAACAAAGGAGGAGACTACAATGCTTGATAAGAAATGTACTCATTATCTTGCCCATGTAATTGTAACCCCTCTGTACAGTATTTTCACAATAAAAAAATTTAAGATGATGGCAGGGGTATTTAGAAAGAGAAGGGCATGTCCCTATTGATTATATTTATGTAACTTTTAGCAACCAAGGGTACATTTCAGAATCAATAATTAGCTGGTTATAAAATTTCTATTTGATGAACTAGCATTACCTTATGTTAAAAAGGAAGGGAGAAAATGGCTTTACTGTTCATCTAAGAGTATCTTCTAGCACCCAATCGGATGGGCAAAGATCTGATGTTTTATATTTTATACATAGTAATAACTCAATAAATTATCTGTTGAAAGGAAACATGGTGATCCAATCACAAAAGTATGTCCAAAAGTTAATCTGTTTAAACCTTCTTGTGCCCAAACTTACTGCTCATCCTCAGTTAACATGAAGAGGATATTCGAGGTGTCAGGACTTGGAGAAGATGAGTGATTATGGAGGATAAGGTGAGTCAGTCACTCAGTCCCTGGTCCCTAAGGAGTACTAACTGGCCTGGGAACTCCATTTGATCCATTCATTTAACTTGCCTCTATGTCAGGCTTCCTATGTCTGACATGGAATGAACATGAATCAGGTCTACATGTGAAGTCCAAGGAGGAGTTGAGATGCTGTGAAAAGGCTCCAAACCCCTCTATAGTGTCATGTGTATTACCCCTTCCCCCGGGAGCTGCTAGAGTAAACTCTACGATGTAATTATATAGCAGAAGGTGAAGCATAGACACATCCAAGTGATAATGGTATCTAGGGGGCTGATTTAGGAAAATTAGGAATGACTTCACATTTTCCCCACTGTATTCTCTGACCCCTTTTGCCATGACGGTCCTTTGACAAGCAGAACTCTATCAACTTCTTGTTTCCCTGTGAGCATGTATTATACAAAACACTCCTGACTCCTTTGCCCTACATTGGGCAAGCGGACCACTTCTTGTGTTTACTGCCTTATATTTATTTCTCTTAGTAAGTAAAGAGCAATAGAATCTTCAATATACTGGGCCTCGAAACCCTGGGTTATTATTTTCCCTACTCTACGTCTTAAAATCAAGTCGAGGCATAGAAGAGAATTCTCTGTAGGCAACAATGAAGGTTTACTAATGCTGAAAATTAAATTACAAACTTTATAGATGGTTTTCATCTTCTCTGGCCTGGCATCAGGAAAACCAAGTAGGTCAGAAAGAAGTTTAAACCTTTTGCTGAAGACTCCTCTGTGAGGCAGAAAAAAAAGAGTTGCTCATATATTCATTCTGTCCATATGATGAAGGCTGGAATGAATATTTAACAGGTAAGTTCCCTCAAGAACTATTCTTTCCACACTTGCTCACATGCAAAATGAAAACACAAAATTCTTGGTCCATCAGGCCCATTTCAATCATTCCATTTCTGCCAGCAGTATCAGGTAAGCATACTACTGTGTTAATTACACTCTGAAAGCATATGCCACAGCTCAGACTGGCGCAACACAGTCAAAGCCCAGGATAGCCTTCTGATCACTGACTAGCCAGGAGTGAACCCTTGGTGCATTCCTGTGCACTCCTGGGCGAATGCACCAGGTTTGGTTGGGATCCAGTCTATCCAGGGGACAGCCCAGCTCTCCTGGTCCTCACTTCATCCTTTTGTGCCTCAGTCAACAATCTTTGACCATTTGGCCTACTGCCACGCCAGGCAGGAGGTGTCATCTTCTCTGGCTTTTCTTCTGTCCCTGAAGTCTCCCATTGAGAGGCTGGAGGACAAACTCTGGGGTAATATTCAGCCCGGCCAGTCAAAGGCAACTGATGGTTATTGGTATTCAGCAGCATCACTCTGCTGGTATTAATCAAGACACAAGCAACCTCTGCAGAGGCAGAAGCGCATGGAGCAGCGGGGTAGGAGAACCCATACATAGTTCCGTGAGTGTCTATGGTACAGCTCGGACACACATAAGAACTGTTTCCTCTGTGTGCTTTTTCAATTGCTGAGGGTGACATTTGGCTGGGCGCATGCGAAAGGCTAAGATCTCTACCTAGAGCAGGCAGCAGAAGCAGAACTCTGATCCTGGGATGGGCACATTCCCCTGGGCACTGGGATGCTTAGTTGCTGTTTTTAGTTTTAGTTTTTTTGGAACACACTTGGTACACACAGCCGAAACAGCACACCATGGAAGGCAGGCAGGAGGCTCACAGTGGCTGGCAGCACTCCTCCGACGAAATTCCTACTGGTGATGCCATCTCAGGATCTTTTTGAGCAACTCCTTCATCTTCTTCTTTGCCATCCTGTGGCAGATGTTTGGATGTAACTAGAGCCAGAGAGGACAGCTTTACTACAAGGAAGAATTCACCGGAGCCTGCCCCACCTGTCTCTGGGCAAGGCTGAACACACCATTTCTTCTCACCTTCCTCTGCCCACTTTGGGCTGACCTGCTCGTCTGGAGACTCTGGCACAGGAGCCAGCCACAAGACTCTTTTGCCATAGTCGTTGGTGCCAGAATTCACTATCCTGCTGTTAATCATGTAGCCCAGGTGTAGCAAGAGATAAGAGCAAAGCAGATGATGAGAGGAGACAATGCAAAGAGGAATCGTTCCCTGCTCTCATTCCACAGGCAGTTAGTAAGGGTGACAAAATCAGATGTAGATAATGCAGTGGGTACTGGGGCAGAGGCCTGAGCTAAATCAAGGATCCTGGGAACAACCTTGTTACTGTCTGATTGAGTGGAGGCTCCTACAGCCCTCAAAGACATAAGTTTGCATTGCCAGTCCTGCCCTTACCTTGCATCCTTACCAGTTCTCTAAAGACCTGACAATGTTTCTAGGGCATCTCTATCTCCTGCCTGCTTTCCTCTGTAGTGCCTACCACCAATTAGATCCAGACACTTCCTCCATGTCCTGGGCTGCTCACACTTCCTCCTTCGGATTTCAAGGACAAAGCATGAAGAACAATGTCCTGAGCATTTTCTGCCATTGTGGAGAGAAAAGTGGCTTGTCCAGGGCAGGTGGAATGGAGGTTCAAAGTCTTACCAATGCATTATTCCTGCTTAAGGGAAGAGAGGACAGTCCCATAGACTGAGCCCCCAAATAAGGGCTTGGGGATTCACAGCTGGACAGCCCCTAACAAGGAAGATTTGGTGGCATGCCTACAGACTGATACCTTGCAAGGAATGTGCTTTCGCATTCCCTCCAAAGAAGCATCCTTTTTCTATTCAAGATTTACTATATAATTAAAAAATTAGGTGTGGAAAGAAATCTTTACTTTTCTCTGGGGTTTGAACTCAGGACCTGGGAGATCTCCCTGAGGGCATTTTGTTAAAGGTCAGTGTCCTACCACTTGAGCCACAAGCTCCACTTCTGATTTTTTAAATATATATTTTATTGGAAATAAGAGTCTCACAGACTTTCCTGCCAGGGCTGGCTTTGAACAGTGATCCTCAGATCTCAGCCTCTTGAGTAGCTAGGATTATAGGCACAAGTAACCAGCACCTGGTGACTTTTACTTTTTTAATGAGTATAATGAGTATGCTTGGATGTCTAAAATATGAACTATCTCATAACTGTGGGATAGGAAAGAGGAAAGTTATAGACAAGCTGGGTTTTTATAGATACATCTTTTGGAGAAGCCTTAAAACATTCCGTCTAGCTCAGTTTTCTACTAATAAAATAGCACTTAATGTAGCAGAGGCCAGAAGGGTCGTTGGTGGAGATTACTGGCATTCCCAGGCAGCATTTCCCATGCCAACAGAGTAGAAATGGATGCCTGCCACAGAGCCTCACACACACGCTTCTCCCAGGGCGACCCTTAATGTGACTTCTTTGCTGTTCTGCACAGGAGTCGGTTACATCTCTAGGCATCTCAGGTGCTTTAGCAAAAGCTTGGTTGTTTTATTGTTTTCATGCTGGGGATTGAACCCGAGGCCTCCCCTATGCTAAGCGTGTGCTTGGCCACTCCAAAAGCCGCAGTGACTCCCACATACATCTTCCTGCAGAAAGACGGCGGGAAAATACCTGCAGTCATTTTGCGAGCTAAACACTCGCTCTTCCTTTATTCTGGAAGTAGCCGCTGAGCAAGGGGACCCAGAAGAAGAAGCTGGCATCTCGCTGTCACGCTCGACCACTACATCCTCCCTAGGTCCAGCCTTGCCAATGCTGAGTCGCTTCCATTTCTGCTGATCTATCTCTGTCACTGGCCCAAAGTGCACAAACTTCTGCTTAGGGCTGGACGCTTTCTTATAGGCCCTGGCTTTGCGGCTGGCAAAATCATCTCGGATGGCCGTTTCTGCATTGATTTCTGGGGATGGCTCGGGGGCTGCACAGGTGTGCTGCGCATCTCCGTCCCTGCTCAGAACCAGAAATAAAGTTCCAAAGATTTCTAAGGCAAGTACAAATCAATCAGAGATCTAAAGCACAAAGCAAGATGTATGGAAAAAGATAGTCCCAAAGATTAAGAGTAGAATTGCTTTTGCACTAACGAATCAAAGAAATGATTCTTGTGTTGCCTAGGTGACCGGGACTTTAACTTCCCATCCCTTTCAAAATATCACTTCTAATATCATCATGAATGATCGCAGAAGAAAATCAGAGGCAGAGGGGAAATCTTGAAAATTACACAGAGGTCAAGTCTAAGTTCTTTATGGTAAACGAGTTAGCAAAAGAAAGAACCATTCGTTGTAAGGTGGCTGGTTAAATAGGACATTTCAGCTTAAATGTATCTTATGGCTTTTAGTGTTAATGTTTCCCTTCATGCAGAACATACAGATTTTCCAGAAGCTGTGTGTGTTGGGGAGGCACATTTTCCAGCCATCAAGATTAAAAGTCAAATAAAGGTAAGCATAGGACGGAGTCCTTCAACATAAAACACAACCACTGCTCTGGGAGAAACGTGACACACCTTGTGCCTCCTGACACCTGCAGTCTCTCCCAGGTCTGCAAATCAGCTTCCGTAATGGGGGAGAGGGCAATGAAGCTCGGAGCCTCGCGGTGAGGGCCCCAGCTGCCCTGGATTCTCCGCTGGGCCAGGTCATCCTTGTGAAGGTCTGGCATCTTCCTGGTCCCCTCTGCCATGACGTCACTCTCCTGAGCTCGGATCACACAAGTCACCGTATCCTTCACCTCTTCCTTTTGGCCTTGGTTTCTATCCATTTGATCCAGGCCCCCCACAAGATTAGAAAAATCAGGTTCAAGGAAAGGAAGCAGACAATCAGAAAGTCAAGCATGGAACTTCAGAGGCTGAGGACAGAATGGAAGGGCAGAAGCATCTTTTTTTTTTTAACCCCATTTCTCATAATTATCAGCTCAATTGTAGCTGCAATTGCTTTCATTTATGATGTCCCCCTCTCTCTCTGTATGTGTGTGTGTGTGTGTGTGTGTGTGTGTGCAAGGATGGCCCTACTGGGGCTTGAACTCAGGGCTGGGTGCTGTCTCTCAGCTGTTTTGTTCAATTCTAGCTCTCTATCACTTGAGCTACACCTTCATTTCTGGCTTTTTTGCTGGTTAATAGGAAATAAGATTCTCAAGTAATTTTCTGCTGGGCTGGCTTTAAACTACAGATCCTCAAATCTCAGCCTTCTGAAGAGCTAGGATTACTGGCATCGACTACCAGCACCTGGCTAGCTGCCCTTTTGACCTTGTAATGAGACAATTTTTCCCCCAACAGATACAGTGTCTACTTTAGTCTGAGAAGAGAAGCCAGTGTTCTCTGAAAGACTATTAAGGACAGTAACGAGATTTCAGTTTGATAATAATGAGACCCAGTTCCCACATGATTCAAGTTACTGGGATGAATTCAAGTTTTCTGATTGAATTCCTTAGCAATCTCAGAATATTTTTCTGTATCAGTAAAATGTCAGCAACAAGCTTGGCATGATCCAAATTTGAGGATTAGTTTGGAGAGTGCTGGAATGCTGTGCACATCTGAAAAATCTCAAATGAAACTAGCAACTGCCTGAAAGAACATTGAAGTCAATTCCAAACAGCAAGTTCCAACATTCCACCTCAGGCTGCTTCACAGCACTAGTCAGGTGAAGAGCAGAGGGTAGCTGTTCTTTACCTGGATCACAGAATCAATAGCCACATGTTTCTTGTGTCAGTAAACCAGTCACCTCTCTGGGAACTAAAGCGATCTTTTTGATTGTTCTTCTAAGAGTAAAAGTTCATTGGCAAATGTAATTTAACCCAGTAGCTATATGTATAAACATTCTAGCATATTCAATGAAAATCAGTTTCTTTGCTGCACACTGATAGTTATATCTGTAATTCGAGATACTTGGGAGGCTGAGACTTGAAGATCACAGTTCAAAGCCAGTGCAGGCAAGAACATTTGTGAAAAGAAATGATTGCCAGGTCTTTCTTCTCTGCCTTTATCCTTGCTCTGATTCAGAATTGTATGAATGTAGTGCTTCCTTAAGGAAACAAACACTGTAACTCTAACTGATTTTGATAGGAGGAAAATGCAAGCATGATAAGCTTTGTAGGATGAAATTGAGCAAGCAGAGATGTTATATGATTAAAAAAACTCTCTCTTAAAACAAAAAAAAGATCACTGATCAAATTCCATATGGCTATAATTTTCCTTTTCCCAATCCGCTTCAATACAGACAAAATGAGCGTAGGATCTCTTACCTAAAATGCTTGAGAGCAGAAGTGTTTGGATCTCAGGTTTTATTTATGTTTTGATTTTGGAATATTTTGCACATTTATGAGCCATCTTGAGGATGGGACTCAAGTCTAAACACGATATACATTTTTGTTTTCTATACATGCTATAGATATAGCACGAAGGTCATTTTTTAATACCTTATTTTGTTGCATTTTTCCTTTGATCTGCCCCATGAGGTTAAGCGTGGAATATTCCACTTATGGTGGTATGTTAAGCCCACAAAGTATTTTAGATTCTGGAGCCTGCTGAATTTTGGAATGTCAGATTGGGTATGCTCAATCTGTACTAAGATGCTGAGAGAAAAGTTGGGAGAAGGAAACTTCCTTAAAAAACATTTCTATGACAGAACATTCAGAAGTATATTACACATCTGAGAAGTTATTTTCTCATGAGACATGCTTATCATTTGTCCAGTGATTTTGCCATCTGAGAGAAGAAAGAACAAGACTCATTCTCCTTCCTACAACAGATAAACATTGCTAATAGGAGAGAAGAGCTTAGCGCAAGAGAGTAACTATGTTTCCTGCCTCCTTTGAATAGATGGAGGCAGCGTTAGGGATTGGCTACTTTCTGAAGACAAAAGGACATGTCTACGAGCCAAGGAGCCAATTGATAATATCACCACCATCACAGCATATCTATACACTATATCCATGCTATTTAACTGGTAAATACAGCCCTGTTTTAGACAGGGCACTTTCTGTCATCTGCATTTCAATATCAAATGGTGGCATAGCTGGAGAGCCAGTTAAATAAATCACCATGTCAAGGCGCACATAATTGGGGCAGAAAAGGGGAACAGAGGTTGGTACGGACCACCTTTGCTTCATTCTGTTCTTTTTCTCTTATAGACACACAGACACAGTGCACACCTTTTATATTCTAGACTTTTCTTGTCTGGGATTCCCTTTGACAGTTGTTTGCTGCCATCTGATTTCTCAGCATCTTTTTTTCGATAAGGCCCATAGAGGAGTTGATGTAAAGGCACCATTGGCTTGCTTTGGTTCATCCTGGCTCTCCTGGCAGCAAAGTCATCCTTTTCAAGGTCAGGCAGTCTGCTCGAAGCTTCATCTTCTGACTCTGGGCTATGTTGGTGGGTCAGGAAAGGATTTTCCTTGCGAAGGATAATATCACAAACAGCTTCTTTCTCTTCACTTGATTGGTTTTGACTGATAGAGTAAAATTAAATGGAACTCCATATTTGATCAAGCCAAATGTTTTGTTTTACATTCCCACCTTCATCCACATAACCGTATTGTTAGTAAAAAAAAAAAAAACAAAAACTTCTCTCCATATCGTTAGTTCAAATGATAACACTTTATTATTTTAGTCTTCAGTTGCAGCATAGTTAGAATAGGTTAAAAAAAAAACCTTGAATTTAGCCAGTTACTAGTAACAGTAAACAATTCTTTAGTTTGCAGGGTTCTAAAATGCCAGAAAAGCAGGATCCTAAATGGCTCTGAAATTGACAATCCCCATTCCTTTGAAGAACTGTTTTTAAATGGTTTTGTTTTGGCAGTACTGGAGTTTGAACTCAGGGCCTCATGCTCGCTAGGCAGGTGATCTATCACTTGAGCCACACCTTTGCCTCTTGTCATGAAGTTGGGGGAAAGCAGGAAGCTCTTTGTTGATTTAAAAAATATTAGTACATTAGGAATACACCCAGTAGATCTTCAACTTGTTATCAGATACCAGAGTAAAACACTAAGCCACCAAGTAACGGATCCACGAGAAAACGAATGCAGCTATGTGATGGTATGCCTACAAGATAGAATGTGTACCGGACTTCAGAATGTAAGGAAAGTCTGTCTGCCCAACTAAGCTCACATGAAATGTCTGGAATAGTTTACCACTAAGTGGACAAACACCTAAGATGTAAAAGCTTATGGTGCTCTATCAGTGACCCTTTCTTCTTCCTTCAATCCCCAATACCGTTCACCTCCCAGGGCTGCTTGGTTATATGCTAAATGACTGCATTGTAGAAAGACATTTTGCCACCTTTTCCCATAATTCATTCATAAGCTTTATGAACTTCCTAGTTCATAAAGATGATAAAGCAATGAGATACTTGAATTCTAAAGAAAGTTTACCTACTTTGTGTAGGCTTTAGAGAACATCAAGAATACATTTTCTTTCCTCAAAAAACAAACTCATCGGGGCTGGGAAGTTGGATCATGGTAGAGTGTTTGCCTCGCAAGCATGAGGCCCTGGGTTCTATTCCTCAGCACCATATAAGCAGAAAAAAAGCCAAAAGTGGCACTGTGGCTCAAGTGGTAGGGTGCTAGCCTTGAGCTGAAGAGCTGAGGGACAGCACCCAGGCCCAGAGTTCATCCCCCACAACTGACAAAAAAAGAAAAAACAACCCCACAAAAAACAAACTCACAGAAACGAAGACAGGAGGAAGAGAAGGTAGCCTGACTGAGCGCAGAACCAGCAATGAGACGATGACCAGTTGGCCTAGCCACCTCACTGCCTGAAAGCAACTGTAGACTCCTTTTCCCTCTGACTTTTGGAAAATTAAAGCATCATTGACAATGCCCAGAAAATGTCTTCACACTATTCATCACTATTCTCAGTAGAAATGAAAAACATGGAAAATGTGTGTGATGGTTAGGTTTTGCTCTCAAGAAAATTTATTTCTTAAAACATGAAATCCTGCCCAGTGGGCTGCCCATGGAACTTACAGTCTTCTACCTGGCTTCTCCATGAAGCTTGCTCACAAGACTTGAATTAGTTGACTATGGCTAGGAAGGATGATTACTGGAAAATGACAGGTCATTGAATTAATCTCCTCAAAGGTATTCAGTAAAAAGAACCTTGATAATAATGAAGGTGGCTTCATCACTGAATGCAAATTACGTGCTAGAATTCTTCCTTGGTGTTAATTTGTCCAACTCTAACAGGAACCCTGCAAAGTCTGTTATTTTCAGTCTCATTTTATCAAGTGGAAAGTGAGATTAGGTTAAGAAATTTGCCGGAGGTCAAAGAGTTTTGCTTCAGTGAAAATGCAAACCGAGGCAGCCTGGCTCCAAGGTTTTGTACCATGACACCATGAATAGAGGACTGTACTATTCATTGAGCAAACAACCCTGCCAGGAACAGTTTTGAAAGCAGAGCATCATTCAAAAAAAAAAAAAAAGACAGAAAAGAATAAAGAACTTAAAAAAAAAGCATTATCATTATTATGAGAACTAGAGAAAAGGAAGTAATTTGGTTACTAAATAGAAGGAGCTTGTGGGTTGTACTGAGAATGAAGTTGTGATTTGCCTTGCTGGTGACAGAAACATTCAGCCAGGATTGATGATAGCACAAGACGAACAAATCATATTTTACAATTTTGCCAACACTATAATTTACAAAGCTCTTTCAGATTTCTACGCTAGCACAGGGAAGCCCCTGAGGGACCCAGGGTAGGAGACCTGGGCCTGCACCTAGCTACACTCTTTCCACTTTTTACCAGGAGGCCTGGGCCTCATCTCTGACACAGTTCTTTGGAATAAAAAGTACACATGTATGCAAATGGCCCTGCCAATTTGTGATGCCAATTTGAGCAGACAGAATCTGGTGTACCTCATGTAGCCCAACTAGGCTACAAATCCCCCCTGGTGTTTTGTGTTTTAAGCTAAAGGCCCCAGTAGGCTCTTGCTTCAAGTGATCTTAATTTAGATATGTGGACTTTTAACAAGGGGGTGGAAAAAAGTATCTGTATGATTGGCTGCTTAAAGATACAAATTGGCACAATGACTGATTTTTTTTTTTTTACACTAATTGTGTAAATTCTGTACATTTAGAGATTCAAAGCAGACTCACAGAGAGGAAAAAAAATAATGATACAAATTCTGGGCTGGCACTATTGGCCATGAAAATAACACAATAATAGGTTTATAGAAGATAAAGGTGAAAAAGAGTAGCATGGGTGTTCACTTAATAAAGTCTTCCAATGACATCTGTAATGTTATCATTTCTATCTTAAAGGATACTAAGGGCAGTCCAATATAACTCATGGATAGATTTTACTCTATTTTTCAATAACTACAACTTTATGAACAATTAATCCTTTCCAGAAGCCTGACATTCATGACATTGCTGCAAGCTGGGAGCTATGATGCCCACTTTAGAGAGGAAAATATTAAGATCTCTAGTTAGAGTCATATGACCTTAGGTAAATGCATTTAAATCCTGTTAAGCAGACGAGCCAAGCTATCTGGCTTCATCTTTCTTTACGGATGGTCTGGTATTTTTGTGTTCTTTCAGGTCATTATACACAAGTTTCTTTGGAAAGAAGGAATTTTTTTGGTACACAGCACTTGCTGGAAGGAAACCCAGTCCATCATACAATGAGAAAAAGAGCTTACAACTTGCTAGCCCATTGTCTTCATGGAAAACCATCATAACAGGATGTGTGGCCCCAAAGCAGGGGACAGGATGGGGAAAAAAAAGTCCTGTCTCAGGCTTTCTAAAATTTAGATATTTCAAAGCAAATGAGATAATGATTTAAAGTAAGGAAGAGCTGACATTTTCTTTCATCCTTTTACACTTGGCAAGGCCTAAGCAAGGCACTCAGCTTGGCAGTCAATGTGTTCTATTCAAAGAAACGAGGCTCTCCAGAAAAGCCTATGAGCTCTCTTAGGAATGTCAGGGAACTCCAGAAACCTCCCCACTCATCCCACCTCCAGGCAGAAAGTGGCAAAGGTGGATGCATGTTCTGTGTCTGCCAAGACCCAAGAAACTATACAGCAAGAATCAGGGAGTCAGCAACTGCAAGAGGTAGAGGAAGAATACGTGTCTGGCACTTGACTACATCTGCTCCTCGTCCAAAGATTTCTAGAATGTCTATTGTTCCTGGGAGATATTTTCCCCTCTGTAATTAATTACTATGTGATTGAGAAGATTCACAGACTAGCTCAGAAAATACTGAGTGCCGAAACATATGCAAACAATTAGAAAAGAGTACAATCACATGAAGCCTATAATTTAGTCTTTTTTTTAAAGTTTACTTCTCCAATGGGAAACACCAAATAAGAGAACTCAAATCTCCATGGTATTTTAATTCAGAGGAAGTGAATCTTGGTTTTTATTTTATCCTCTTAAAAGAAAAAAAAAACCAGAAATCTGGCTTCTTTGGCAGAGTTCTATGGTGGAGGGAGGGTAATTAAGTTAACATGACCAGAAAATAAACAGAAGAAAAAGTAGTTTTTAACTTTTTTTACTTTGATGGAAACTCTAATAAATATCAAATGCCACACATTTATTAAGCAGTTCTACAGACTGTCCCTGGATGCTAAGATAGCTCTAACAGATTGTTTTACAAGAAGCGTGAGACTTTTGGATGTCAACCTCATATGAAATGGAATGACAGGCGCCTTTGTTCCTTAAATTAATGCAAGGAGGTGTTTGAGAGTCCTTGGGAAGCAAACAGAAAAACAGTCTATAAAAGTAAAGTTTCTTTTAGTGTTAATGCTCCTGACCCTGCAAACCATATGCATAGCGTTCTCACTTCTCTCTGCAAATCTAGACTCTCCCAGCTGAGAAATGGGCCCCAAGAAGTATCTTGGAAACAAGTGCTAGTGGCTTATGCCTGTAATCCCAACTTTCCAGAAGGCTGAGTTCTGAGGCTCATAGTTTGAAACCAGCCTAACCTGACTAATCCATGAGCAAAAAAAAACCTAATACAGAGTGTGAGGCCCTGAGTTAAAACCCAATATAGGCAGGGAGAAGAGAGAGAGAGAGAGAGAGAGAGAGAGAGAGAGAGAGAGATTGAAACTCTCTTGGATCTCTCACTGGATTCATTGTTGGATTCAAAAATGTACTGGCTGCGATCCAGCAGGATGTCAAAACAGGAGGCCAAGGTTAAAATGCTTTGAGAGACACTGGCATATTTTAGTGATTTATATTCTTATTTTCCAGACAGCAAGAATCCTTTTCTTCTTCATGCTATGCATTGCATTCCAGTTAAGCAACTTTCTGCCACATTAAAAGCAGGATCCCAAATGTGGATAAACTTAGAATGACTCACAACTCTATAGTGGCTTGCAAAAAGTAATGTGACAAAAACATAGACACACCAGGCTGGTGGCATGGTATATATAAAACTTCTAGGAGTGAACTAGCAGCTGAAATAAATCTGTCTCTGGACAGCTGGGAAAAAAAACCTGGATGATTGAAACCACTGTGTTGTTTTGCTATTGAAAACATTCTCTGTGAAGATACATCATTGACTGAAACTCAAACCCAATTCTAAAAAGCTAAGTTAGAAAGTCTGAGGTGGGATGATACCCATTGACCTGCAAATATGTCTTCCTAGAGTTCTTGTAGATGAAATAGGTCAAAGTTGAGAGAGAGAACAAGAAACATGAATGGGAGCAAAAACTGACCACAGAAATATTATACCCATCCATCAGAATTATATTTTCAACTACATTTGCTTAGAGAATGGGATTTGTCATAGAAAAGCTCAATGTTTTATTGGGAAATATGCCTCCGAGTTACTGAAGTGTCTGAGGATATTTTTTTAAGAAAATTTCCACCCTGTCAAATACTCCATTTTTCCACATCTGTCTTCCTGTACTAGCTCAATAAACTTCAAGAAACTCCCGTGGGAAACTTTAGCTTAACAACTTCACAGATGTGATTTAAAACAAATAGAGGCATGGGTTATCAAAGATATATAGATTAAATTTGGCTAAATAAATCCCTAGTCTTAGCTATATAACTTAGTAATACTCACTATACCTGAGTCTTTAAGAGAGATGAAAGAGAAGACCAAACCATGGTTCACAGTGAAGAATATTACTCAGTTGTTTTTTTTTTGTTTTGTTTTGTTTTATTTGGTCCAGTCGTGGGGCCTGAACTCTGGGCCTGGGCGCTGTCCCTCAGCTCTTCAGCTCAAGGCTAGTGCTCTACCACTTGAGCCACAGCTCCACTTCTGGCTCTTTTCTTTTTGCTTATGTGGTGCTGAAGAATCGAACCCAGGGCCACAGGCATGCAAGGCAAGCGCTCTACCACTGAGCCACCTTCCCAGCCCCTATTACTCAGTTTTGTACTGTATTCTCAACATCTTGTTTGATCTCTGGCACAAGAAAATCTTCTAGATGTAGAATCTTTGAATTAAATTTACAGAATGTCTGTGGTAATCCTAGCAACTCAGAAAGCTGAGATCTGAGGATTGCAGCTCAAAGCCAGCCTGGCCAAGAAAGTCATGAGACTCTTATCTCCAATTAACCACCTGAAAACCTGAAGTGGTGCTGTGACTCAAGTGGTAGAGTGCTCCTCTTGAGCTGAAATGCTCAGGGACAGTGCCCAGGCCCAGATTCATTGACAATCACTGATCCTGTTTCCTGTTCTGAAAAATGAGTACATCACCTGTCTTTTAGAATTATATGGAATAGCAAGAAGTAAAAGAATTTCAAGTGTCAAACTGAAATGAACATTTATTGTCCTATAAATGCTGGCTGCCACCTTTAGTTACAAGGATCATTGTGGTTTTTACAGAAGAAAAATTAACCAGTCTTTCAGAACACTACTTAAAAAGGGAGAACTATGGTTTCCTTTAATTGTTGATGGTCTTCATCTCATAGGCCTTAGGAGGCCACCATGATTATACAATTAAAAGAAATCCTTACTCCATTCTTTGCTTTTGAATCAATTTTGCTAAAGCAAAGAAAGAGACTAAGAAATTCAATCTTCTTACTAAGCCCTTAAGACAAAGAGAGTAAGTAGGGTTTGTAATTCTTGCTGAAGGGGTTTTCCCCTCTTCAAAAACACTAGGTTTCTACTGATGTGTGAGGTGGGATAAGGAGCCATTTAGGAAGAGTATGAAAACCAACAAGCCACAAACAACAGAAAGACAAAAAGTTATCGCTGGGTAAATTCCCCAGCTCAAACCAGGATTACAGTACCAGCCTGGTCTAATCAAGCAACCCAGAGCAAACTACTTCCACTTAAGAAAGCCAAGGCCTCAGCAGAAACCTGCCCTCTGCAAAGGCCAGCATCTAGCTGTTTCTTGGAAGCAGCGAGGAATGACATGATGGGCAAGCAGGAAGCAGGAGAAGGAGGTAAGTCCCACTGGCTACACAGATTCCAGACCTGCCCACATGCGGAAGGCCAGCCAGGCCAGCCATCGGCCAGCACAGCTAACCTGGCAAAGCGCTGGGCAGCAGGCATGACCTTGATTCCAGCTTGCTCCAGTCTCCTGCGCTTCTGGAGTTCCATCTTGTCTTTGTCATCCAGCTTGGGAACTGGAGCCATCACAGCCGCCTCTTGGGGAGGCTGCTCCTCCCCGCTGCAGTGGCTTGGTTCTAACCCACCAGCCGGGCCCATCGGGCCCACGGGGTCTTCTTCAGTAGGAGACCCCACTTCACTTCCCTCCTCCTCTATGGTTTCAGGATAGCTAGTGGGGAGGAGACCACAGTTTACCAAGGTAACAGACCCGCTGGGGCGCACATGCGCATTCCCCAGCCATGCTGATACCACTTGCACTTAAGACAAATCAAAGCGTAGGGTGTGATCCTGGGAATGTGACCACAACTAGAGGAAGCCATTTGTTCACTAATACAATACCTCATGCCGTAAACATTAAGAACTGTTCTGAACTTGATCTCGAAAGGAAGATTTTCTTTTTCCGGCCAGAAAGGTGAAATTTGTCTCTGAGCTCTTCAGCTCATTAATTAAATCTTCCTTCCTTCCTTCCTTCCTATTTTAATTGGTGCCATTCCTTGAACTCAGGGCCTAGGTGCTGTGCTGAGTTTTGTGCTCAAGGCTAGCACTCCATGACCTGAACCACAGCTCTACTTCCAGCTTATTGTTTTATTTTGTATTTTTGCTGGTTAACTGGAAGTTAAGAGTCTCACAAACTTTCTTGCCCTGGCTGGCTCTGAACTGAAATTCTCAGATCTCAGTCTCCTGAGTAGCTCAGTCTCCTGAGCCACCTGCACTCGGCAATAATTACAACTTTTAACAAAATGTATAATGGATGGAAAATCAGAGACAGTACAAGTAGATTGTGTTACCTTGTTTACCACGGAGTCCCTAAATCCTAAGAGGAAGCCAGTACATAAGAAGAAATATACACATACACAGAGAGATTGAAGGAGAGAGATGAACGAACAATTCACTTTGTACCTGTGTTCTAGGAATCTTCTGGAGCTGCTATTTATCACCACACACTCTGCAAGGCTCATACATTTAAGTCCGGACTCATTCACACCCAGCTTCCCCAAGAAGGAGACAGGCTCAGGCTGGGGACTTACCTGAAGGGCCTCTCCCCACCCAGGGGGGAAGTGGCAGTACTCCAGCTCTTCCGGTACTCCTCTCGCTCTGCCTTCTTCCTTCTCAGAGGGGCAGGGACATAGGCTGTCTGGTTGCTCTTGTTTGGGAGGTACTGGTTGAAAGGCACTGCTGATTTCGGCTCACCGTGGGAAGTCCGTCGTGCAGACATATCATCCTTCCTTACATCTGGCAGCTTCCGATGAGGCAAGTCGGATTCGGAGTCGCTTCCTCTCCCTAGGGAGAGAGGATGGATGCAGGCAAAGCGTGCAGGGCTAGCAAGACAGTGTCTGATGGAATTTGCAGGTCTCAGGGATTCCTTCCTTAAATGAGTTGCTGAAAACCAAAGGATCTGTCTAAGGGCCAAGCATGGTGGTGCATGCCTCTAATCCCATCTACTTAGGAGGTAGAGATCCAGAGAATCATGGTTTCATGCCAGACTGGGTAAAAGTTAGCAAGACCCTACCTCAATCAACAAGTCAGGTGTGTTGGTCTGTGCATTCAAGCTACACAGAAGGCACAAGTAGGAAGATCACTTGTGCTGCCCTTGGGACAAACATATAAGACCCTATCTGAAAATTAACTGAAAGCCAAAGAGAGCTGACCCAAGTGGTAGAGCATCTGCCTAGGAAGCACAAGGCCTTGTGTTCAAGCCAAAATAAAGAAGTAAATAGAAACAACAACAAAATAAGTATCCATTTAAATTAGGTTACTTTGAGAACTGCTCTCAATTCTAATCAGGATAAACAAAACACAAGCCCTAAAGTATTTATTTGTTTTAAAATAGTGGTAAGGTAAGCCCAACTCTGTTTGCAATGACATTTGCAGTAGAACTATATGCCTGCTGAGATTCACAATTCTCAAAGGATAAAAGCTATCAGCTCCCAGCGGAGGTCTTCAATGAGCAACTACCATATGTTGATTCTGACACATCAGAATCCACAGGGATTTGGTCTTTGAGGTGTCTTTAACCCAACCACAGAGTACCTGGAGGATTTAAATTGCAGTCAAGGAGCACAGACATAGAAAACAACAGGAATTCAAAACAGGGATCAATTAGATGACACCAATGCTTTATCCTCAAAAAGTGGCAGCATATTTTCCTGCCATCCCCATAGCTGGAGGCAAACTTTTCTTCCTATGATCCCTGTAGTCTTACAATCTGCCTTCTCCTTGCGTGCATTATATTTCCATCTCGTGCCACATAGTTTTAAGAGGGTTGAGCATATTTGTTCCCAGAGGGCATCCTTAGATCCTCTGAGGACCAGTAACTGCCTTGGTTTCGCTTCAAGAGCATTTCGGACAATGCAAACCAACGCACTGCTGCCTACAGCAGCCTTCTGTTGGGTAACAGCACCGATAATTCTATGGTATTCTTGCTGTCCAAGTCTTATCTATTCAATTTCTAAGATTCGTAAGAATGAAGTTGTCATTAAGACAATCAAGATTGTATAAGTAGCCACCATTTTAATGGTGATTGAACAATTTTAATCCATGAGAGTATTAACATGTCAGTTGACAACAGAAAGAAACAACCTTACTTACACTCAAGGAAAGAGCCTTCAACATAAAGCCAAGGCATGGGGTACCGTGGCAGAGGGCATAGAGTAGGGTGTAAAGTCAGAATTTGCTTCATTTTATTAGTCTCTTTAGCAACAAGGCTTTGCATGTTACCACTTTACGCCTTCATTTTCCAGTGTGTAAAAGAAAGGTATTAGTGTCAACTGATTTATAGGACTGTTGGAACAATGGGCCCCATGTAAAATGATTAAGTCAGTACTTGGCACTGGGTGTTTAACAAATGTGGCCTGCTTCTTGTGTCTTCATACTTGTGGTTCTTCAGAAATGAGCTGTGGGTTGCTAAGCTTGTCTAACACATTTGACTGTCCTTGTCTGTAAAATGGAAATGAAATGATTGTCCCTGGACATTCAATGATAGGATGGCTTTTAAAAGATTATAAAAGTTAAAAAGTACTGGCCATAAACAAGTTGTTCATCGTTGTACATGAAATATTCACGAAATAAATTATTCATGCCACTTGCTTTCAGTCTTCCTACTGAAATTTCGACTATTTCATGACTTTGTTAGGATCTGATTAATTACTCAGCCCCTTTTCTACAAGTGCTTTTTTTTTTCTCTCATGTTGGCCCTGAGGCTTGAACTCAGGGCAGGTGACATTGTCCTTGCACTTTTTTACCCAAGGCTAAGCACTCTACCACGTGGGCCACGGCTCCACCTCCCACTTTTTGGCAGTTCATTAGAGAGAAGAGTCTCACAGACTTTCCTGCCTGCTCTGGTTTTAAACCAGAATCCTCAGATCTCAGCCTCTGGTGTAGCTAGGATTACAGGCATGAGCCATCAGCACCTGGCTTCTATAAGTCTTCACAAATGTATCTGTCTCAATGTCAAAGTCAAATGTTTAGAGCCTCCTGTGACTTGACATGCCTGGTGAAGCTTTAAGATTTATTTCCCCACTGTAGTCGCCCTGTATTATAAATGTGGAAGTAATTCTGATAAGCTAAAGTCCCCCCATGTGCACCCCCTTCCCCCCAGTCCCCGGCCCTGCCATGGCTGGTTGGAGACATCCTTGGGAATCCCAGATTCCTAAGATCTTCCCTTCATGGCACATTTGCTTAGGGTGTCACGGCTATAGGAAGTATTATACCCTGTTGAATAAATGATTAAAACAAAATGATTCCCCCATCAAGTGAAAAAGCATAGTAATAAATTTGAGTTGCTTCAGGGTCCTAAGTTCTAAAATCTTATATCTATGAACCTGGGTTGGTGTATAAATCTAGAGCATAATGCACTGTTTAACATAGAAATGCACCAACTTCACCCACCTCTATTATTTTCTGACAAATGTCTTAAACAGAGGGTTTAAAGAAATGTTCACTTGCAGAAATCCCAGAGTAGAGTGGCTTAGTTGAAAAAATGTGTAGTTTTATGGACTTAGAGCCCTGGGTCTCATTTCAGTTCTACCTCCTGCTAGCTGTGTGGCCCTGGGAACTCACAACTCTTTCATCTTCAGGTCCTCCCGGGCTACACAGAGCTGAAACCACTGTTCTCCTGGGGTGTCATAGAGTGAATGAGATGAAACAAAGGACCCAGGAAGAAGCTGCACCTAGGCCCTCCGTAAACAGTAGAGGTTGCCTTATCTAAAACAGGGTTTTGGCTTTACTTCATCCTGTGAATAAGAAAATTTACCAGTGTGGTTTCTTCATGTATAGTCAAAGTTGGGAAAACGCAATGATGATGATATTGCTTTCTTAGAGTCTGACGCTTCCATCCTATGTGGCTAATTTTCTCTCTAGATATTTCCTTCCTGCCTTTCCTGCTTTCCTTCCTTTGCTCCTACCTTTCTTCCTTCCTTTTATCCTACATTCCTTCTGTTCCCCTCTCTTTCTTCACACATCCTTGCCACACACATTCCAACACATTATTTAATCTTCCTCAATCCTCAAGCCCTTTAATTTTACTCATTTCTTTTTTTCCCCTTTTTAACTCCTCTTTTATATAAAATGTAAGAATATTCATTGAGTGTGGTAACCTATGCCTAGAATCCCAACACTTGGGAGGTAGAACAGAAGGATCACAAGTTCGAAGCCAGCCTTGGCAATGTACCAAGTTCCTAGCCAGCCTGAGCTACATACCCTGTCTCACTTTACCCCCCTACCAGAGAACACAATGGACCATATGTATGAAATACGTTATCAATATTCAAAGCACCTGAGCAGAAAGCTTTGTATTTCCTCTTCAGTGAGGTCCATAGTGAAGATGAGGAAGGATGTGAGTATCTAGCAAGACAGCTTGGCTGAATTAACCCAGGAGGTTCTGGCATTTCTACCCAGAAGCTTGTGTGTCCTATCTACAGCATCATGAGCCTTCTCTGAGTATGGAATTAGACTGTCTATGTGGAATGGGTTAGTGGGTACCAATAATAATAAAATGAAAGCTGCCCATACTGACCCAATAGAGTTGAAGAACATCAAGGAAAGACCCCTCCTAATTGTTGTAATTTGGTTCTTGATTAGCATCATTTCAAAAATTGCCATAAACTTGTGAATTCCAACATAAATTTGGCTAAGATTATACTGCCTTTTTTTAAGAAGGCAGATTAAAAATGTTGTTTTGCTTTCTCTTTCTTCATTTTCTTTTTTCCTTTTTAACTTACCAGGTCTTGATTAGTTTAGAGGAAGACAAGCCCTAAGGTATCAAGCTGATTGGTGTTTTGTAAAGCCCAATCCCATGTAATTCTTTAAATGGAGAAAACATTTATAAACAGACTCTAGCTTATCAGCCTTAATTGCTGAGAGCTAAATTATGCCTTGGTACATATTAGTATAATATTAGTAATCCCCATCTTAAATCCTTTCAAGATGTCCTTCATTATGAATTCAGAACCCCTGAAAGCTAGTGACAGAACAAACCATCTGGTAATAAACTGCTAATGTAGATATATTACCAAAAAAACCCCCAAAACAACAGCATTAAACAAAAAGCATTTTTTTAAAAAAAAAAATGAAAACAATATGGAGGAAATAGTTTGGTTAAGATCTATTTTATAAAAGCAAATCTAAATTTGGTTATATATGAAAGCCTAATTAGATCATGCGTTGGTGTTTAACTTGTAGTACTGAGGGTGGTACTTAAGATGTCAAATAAAATTTTAGAAATGTTTTTCAAGCAGCTCACAATATATCAGGGAATTCTTTAGGAGTCACGTAACACGTGGCCCTCAGGCTAATCCATGAACTAAGCAAGTGTAAGTCCTAAACAAAAGTATTAGTTTTGAGCCATTCAAAAACCAAAACATCTATTAGGTTAAGACAAAGATGTGTGAGTAAATTAGGCTTAATAGCCTAAGAATTAAATTTAAGAGCACACTTCTTGAGGCTGACATTGGTATGCTAATTCTCTGTTCCTTAACAATCTTGGGGTAGTTACTTAAACTCTTAAAGGCAAGGCTGTAAAACAGGGATAAGAAGGCATGTTTCCTAGCTCCTGAGGAGGACGAGGTGAGTTGCTGTGCATGTCCAAAATTTGTGAATAAATGAGATAGTCTGTGCTAACTTGGAACCTGCACACAGGAAATACCCAAGCATTTTAGCAGCATAGAATTTTATACCTGAAAGGGATAGTTTAGCTACTAAAGGTAATTTTGCTCTCAGAGAGTTGGAGTCAGTAAGTGCAATATGCATTATCATCCACTGTGCAATAGTTACTCAAAAATAGAAACAAACAAAAAAATCCCCCACCAGCGGTGGTGTCTCACCACAAGTTTACATACGCAGATCCAAGCCACTTTCCTGAAAGCACAAAGGCCAACAGCTTCTAAAAAGTGGGTGCTAAATCTGCATCACGGTACATGGCCACACATTTTATTTTATTTTATTTTTTTAAAGAAACAGATCATTCCATACAGGTGATATAAATCAAACCAGCAACCCTGGGGCAAGCAGGTAGGGCTGCGTTGTGTTCTCTATATTAACGGCCACCTGCATGGTACTAGGCAACCACTCAGGTATCCTGAGCATCAAACCGACTGCCCCAAAAAAGTACCTATGAAGTTGCACAATCTCAGGCTTCAGAACTTTCCGAAATGTGTGTGTAGCTCATTTCCAGTTCGTTGGAAGTTGATCCGTTTTCACTTACCCTAGCATGGCACTCACTAAACATTTCCCTTCCTCGTAGCCCGAGTATATAAACTTGAGCACACTTTATGAGCTCATGGTCTGCACCGTGTCCTGATTCACGGAGACCAAGGGAGGAATGATGTAACCCATTTTCCAACAGAAGATATGCTCACTGGAGCAGTGCTCAAATAAACTACTGGCAAAGCCAACCCAAATTCTGAGAACTAGGAGACACATCAATCACAGAGCGTGGATTCCCTCCCCCTCCCCTATCCGTTTATAGACTTACCAGGCTCCAGCCAGGTGAATATAGCGTTCCGCCTTGCCAGCACCCAGTCTCTGCCTGCAATCAGGCACCCCCCTGCTAATGATTCATTGCAAGGCGTGTCCTTTATGAGGGTTCCGACCTACCATCACTGCTTCCCCTGAGCACTACATCTGGAGAAGGGGTCTGCCGGGAGCGGGAGCCGAATGAGTCCAGGCTGTCGAAGGAATCATCTCTGCCGTGGCGAGGCGGGGAGAGGGAGTCGCTGCGCTCTGAATCCCAGCAGTCGATGTAGCCACTGTCTCGGATGCTGCGTTTAGGGCTCTCAATGTCATCAGTCTCCTGTCCAGAAAGTAAGCAATTACAGACTTTGCTGCAAGACACACAGAGCCTGTAATGTCAGCTCTCAAAAAAGAAAAAAAAAAATCCAGCATATCAAATTAATCTGGAAAGCGACAGCAGGACGACCGGCAGGGGCAGGGTGCCCATTCAATTGTGCGCTGCTACATTTTCCCAACCAGAAAATTGTGCGCATTGCACATGAACAACAACAAAGCCCCAAGTAACTCATGCTCCCTAATGTGGAAAAGGAAGGGGGTGGTGGGGGAGGAAGAAGCAAAGGAAACTAAGAACAGAGGTACACAAAATTGAATTCCTAAGAATACACTGATCAATGAACACAGAAATGAAAAAACAACGAAAACAAAAACAAAACCTTAACCTTGACCTGTCTCTCGGAATCCATAACTGCATGTCTGTCCACAAGACGCGAGTCCCTCCTGTAGCCTTGCAGACGGACTGTTCTCGGGTATGCTAAGCTACCCGGCAAATGCAGGCAACATTTGTTTTTGCAGCCCAATCAATGCTGGAAAATCCTGGAGCAGTGAGCATCCATCTCCTGTTACCTTGGAGGGAAATTCCTGCACTGAAAGGGGGCTGTCTTTCCAGGCAAAAAAAAAAAAAAAGCAATGAAAAATATGCAAAATGCTTTTCCTCATGCCTCAGAAAAATCCAGGCATGCTCTCGCTCTCCGCCAGCCTTTGGCGCTGGGGGAGCTGAGAACACTTGTAGCTGACCCACATGTTCGTGTTCAGAGAAGGGAGAACAATGGCTGTCTTTGACCGCCTGTGATTATAAATTCTTTCCAGCACAAGCGGCACATACTAAAACACTGAAACTCCAGCAGGAGAAAGGTCAGTCAAAGCCATCCTCACCCTCGTATTAGAATAAAAGCCTTGTTCCCGCCAGCATCTTAACATTCATTACAATAGCCCAGGCTGACGAAAACAAAAATAACTCCAGTCACTCAAAGATAAACCTCAATTTAATATCCTCCAGACTGTCGCTTAAAATCACCACTGTGGAGAGGGGCATGCTCTCATGGGCAAAGACTGGAATGTCATCCTGAGGGTTTCCCCTGATTCACCATGAAAGTTCCCTGGGCATTCCCCATAGAAATAATAAAGAAAGAAAGAAATGAAGATTCCCCATATTAACAATGTTGGAAACTGGTCTAGACTCTGAGAGACCCCAGGAGGCAATGCCTTTGCAGGAAGTACCCTTGCTCACAGCTTTTAGCACTGTAGCCTGATTTCCCTGCGGAAGGCAGGAGGGGGCTGAGGGGGCTGTAAGTCACCAGGCACACACAGGTTTTGAATCAAATGAGGGGAGTGGGAGACAGTACAAGGGCAGCACTGATAAGAGATCTCTGCATCCTTATTAATGCCCCTGAATCATAGGTTGTCAAATGGCCTGGCTGAAGACAACCCCACGTGACCTTCTCCAGGGGGAAGGCAGACATTCAGTTATGGAAATTAAGGTCGTTTACTGGCAGGTCAAAAGTTAACCCAGACTTGGAACAAAAGCCAGGCCCAAAGAGCTAGAAAAAGGAAGAATTTATGATTCACTGAAAAATATAGGCCATAATTAGATATGGTTTCAAATTTAATTTATTTGGAAATGCAAGTTATTATTATGAATTATTTATCTACGGGAGCAGGCCAAATGGGTAAGAAGTTCACTTTATTGCACATTTACTATGTATTTAGGTTTAGATGTGGTGGTTGTTTTTTTATGTGTTCCTGGTTATATGTGGTTTTTTATTTTTTTAGACCATGCTATTTATTCCTTGACACCACCCAATGAATGATGTGGTTAGCACTATCCCTCATATAGAAGAGAAAAAAGATAAACATCAGAAAGATAAGGTGACTTAAAGTCATACAGTAAGGGACAAAGTTATGATTCCAACACGATTCTATCTCCAAATTCCAAATGGTAAAATCTGAAAAGTAATAGTCAATCATTTTTGATGTAGTTACAGCTTCACCACCCAGATCTTCTCCTTTGTTACTAGATACGTACTGCCTCTTTAGCATGAATGATGCAAACGTAGGCTATATCCCCTGCTGAACTGTTCTTCATGACTAGATCCCTGAACTGCACACATGACAAAAAATAAAACAAGGTAAAAAAGAGGGAGTGTAGAGTAATGGTTAAAAGCGTGGTTCCAGAAGCCAGACTCACTGGGTTTAAATCCTTCCTGGCTCCATCCATGCTATGTCAGCTGTGTGACCTTGAGCAAATGATTTCACCTCAGAGGCCCTCATCTGCAAAACAGGACAAGTAGCCCCACCTGCCTCACAGGGCTGCTGGGAGCACTAAACGCGTTCATACCTGGAAAGCATTCAGAAAAATGCACCATGCAGAAACAGTACTCTAAAAGTACCAGCTGTGCTTATAATCGCGACTCGATTCACACAGGTATAAAATTTCAAAGTAGAAACAATACAATGTTTATACGTTAAGGACACACCTGCACACCCACATCCTCCTCCTCCCTTCTTCTCTACTTAGGTCCTGTACGTAGGTGCCTGGGGTCCAGCTTCCCACTAAAGAGGGTGGTCATTCACATCCGGAAGTGATACGCCTAAAGCAACTTGGTAGAGCATTACAAAACTGGCGTTTTAAGGAAATGTATCAGAAAGGCTTGACCGAAGGCTCCACGACCTCCACACCTATAGACCACAGAAGAGATGGGGAGGAAGGGAGAGGCAACAGGCTTCCTGGAGCATCAGCTCTTCTCTCACGGCGAGTGATGATCAAGAACAGCACACTGGCTGCCCTACCCATGCCAGTGTAGCCAGCCACGGCCCAAACTCTGACCAAGCCCAAGCAATGGGAGCTGAATGGCACCACCATTTTGGAGAGTGAACACCATGCCACTGTGGGTGTCCCTGGCTAAGCTGGAGCTCAGGGGAAAACAGAAGGCTTCTTCCCCAGCCAGAAATAAAGATGTGGGCATCCTCATCAACTTTGGGTTTTGTGTCACCCAAAGTGAGGTTTTTGTGGGAAGGATAGGAGATACCAAAAGCTGACACAGTCTACAGTCATCCTTTTTCGGGGGTCTAATTTCCTTGCCTTCCAACTTGGGAGTCAGTAGCTTTCTGTCTTCAACCCAGATCACCCCAGGAAAGGAGAAAAGATTGAACATTAGCCCACTGCACCAACTGCCAGTGCTCAGGTAAAAGTGGGTTAATGAGAAGGGTGGGCACTACTAGATCCCATGAATTTTCTGAATTTGTCACTCCTCTGTCTTCTTCCTATTGCCTGTGGTGAGCGATGAGCATTACGGGGGACAGGTAGTGACTTAGGGTGTTTGAGAAACTCCATAAACTGTTGCTGTACCCTTCATCATCTTCCGCTTGCTTTGTGATGTGTACCATCTACTTTTCATACTGTATGGTGTCTGAACATACTACTTTTCCAATCTGATTGCCCATTCTCTACTACCACACTGTGCTTATGGAGATGAGTCACTCCACCAATAATAACAGAGTATGCTTTAGGTAGGAGACACAGTGTTACACAAAAATCAACCAACACCTGTCCATCAGGGCTTCTTGTTCTAGTAGAAAAGACAAAAATAAACAGAAAATCATAAATGGATGATAAACATCATGATGGATGGATGTTAAATAGCATGGAGAAAAAGCAAAGCAGTGAAAGGAATAGAAGTTGGTGCGAGTGGTTACACTGGCAGAGGTCTTACATTTAGTTAACTGTCATGTCCCCTCCCCTCTGTGTCCTTTCTTCTGCCAATACCTTCTACCTTCTGAAACAGGAGGAGGGCAGGACAATCAGAGGCCCTTTTGCCCTTGGTCCCAGTGATTGGTACAGGAAGGGCATGGTCCCTTCCTTGGAGCCACATACCTAGGGCCAGGGTAATGCATTTTTTTGCCTCTCTAGGAAGGAGCTAGAAGCAGGCAGGCCTACAGAAGCTATTAGGCACTTGTGTCTTTTTTTGAAAGGGAGAATAAATTCAAGAAAAGAGAGAAAAAGACATAAGGGGAGAAGCTACTCTTTTGAATTTCTGGTTCTCTCCCCTGAGATCTGCTTGACTCATTTTTAGTCTGAGTTCTGTAGTTAAATCCTCTTGGTTTTTTACTTAAGCCCCCCTCCTTTGTAAGGCTTTCCTGACCGACTGAGTGGCAGGCCACTGTCACCAGGCCTGTGGAGATCCTTTTGATATATAGCAGCACCAATCCTCTGTGAATACCTTCTACACTATGCAGGACTCTATAATAAGGGCTGTAGCTGCAGTAAATACCTTGTCAATGATACTATACACATCCCTTCCCCCCACTAGAACAATGCAAATTAAAAATTCTTGTGAAAGAAAAATTAATTTTAAACTTATTTCAACCTGTGTGTATACACAGCATAAAGAATTCCAATAAACAAAGCTTTAAAAAAATGTGTTCTGGAGCTGGGCATCAATAATCCTAGCTACTGTAATCCTGGCTACTCAGGAAGCTGACATATGCAGATCCAGGTTCAAGTCCAGCCCTGAGGGAGAAAAGTTTGTGGAACTCTTATCTCCAAGTCACCAGCAAACAGCCAGAGCCAGAAATGAAGCTGTAGCTCGAGTGGTAGAACAGCAGACCTAAAGAAAAAGACTAATGGAGGGCCTGAGTTCAAGTCTCAGTACCAGCACACACACACACACACACACACACACACACACACACAATGTGTCTGAATTTTCAGACCATCCAAATACAATGTCCACCAGATGCAAAATGCTTCCAGTTTCTCAGAGCCTGTGCACAGTGGGTGCCAGGGTGGGTACCATTGCAAGAACTTGGCTGACATCACCTCACCCACACCAACGCCCTGAGTGGCAAGCAAGATGACCTTTAGGCGGAAAGTGCAGAGACAAGTGTTCGTTCGTTTGTATAATACTGCATTGTTTAATTCAAGTCCTGAGCTCCTTGCATACCAAGCTATATACTGACAGATCACATTAGCACTTTTTAGACTTAAAGTGGGATGGAGCTCAGATCTTCCATTCTCCAAAGGGTATCAAAGTTCCGGGAGATGTGAGACACATGAGGCAAATATATTATCCACAGACAAATGGTCATTTCCTTGAGCACATGGAATCTTTGGTCAACACAACCCTGAAACCAGGAACTGGGTTGCTCTCCCACCTTGTCTAATCCCCTGGGGGTAAAGAAGAGCCAAGTTACCTTTCGCATCTGAGCCAACAATCCTTCAAACTCCTTCAGGTTGAGTGTGGTTCCATTATAGGAAGTACAGCTGTTTGCGGCTTTTCCCAGCCAGTAAATGGTAACTAAAACCTGCAAAACAACACAAGGCACAAGAATAGGAGAATCTGTCCTCAAGCAGGATACTTAAACTCTTCATGGGAATGTAAACCAGGACGACCACTTGGGATGGCAGTGTAGGGGTTCCTCAAAGAAACTAAACATAGACCTTCCCTATGACCCAGCCATGCACCACTCTGGGGCATCTACCCTGAGCATCATGAGCTGATAAGAAAACACTGGCCCATCCATGATCATTGCTGTACTATTGACAATAGCCAAGATATGGAAACAGCCCAGATGCCCCCACAATAGATGAGTGGATCCAAATAAATGTGGTACATATACACAATAGAATTTTACACCGCCATTAGAAAGAATAAAATAATGTCATTGGCAGGGAAATGGATGGAACTAGAATAAATCATGTTAAGTGAGGTAAGCTAAACTCAGAGAGACACATAGCACATGCTCTTTCTGATATGTGGAAATTAGATCTAAAATACACCGGGATATGATAAATTATACAGGATAGTCACACACAGCAAGACAAAAGCGGATGCTCTTAGGAGAGAAACACAAAGACACAATGCCTACATGCCTCTGTATATTTATATAAAATAATATGCACACTGAAATTAACTAAAAGATATGAAAACAAGAGAACTCTTTTTTTGTTTTCCTTTTTTTCCTTTTTAAGTTTTTGATGATTCTGTCTTCTTTACCTTATGTATGATGTATTCAAGTGTATATCTTGGAAGGGTTGGGGGAAGGTACAGAACTTGAGGGAAAAATGGTGAAAAGGTACAGCAGTAGAGTTCACTAGACACTGATGAAAGTGAACTCTACAACTTGTGGGTGAAGGAAGGGAGGAACTGGGAGAGAAAAAGGGAACAGAAGATACTGTTCAAAAGGAAATGTACTCACTACCTGACTTACGTTATAGCAAGCCCTCTGTACATCATCTCTATCATAACAACAAATTAATAATAATAAAAAATTAATGCATAACCGGGGCACCTGTGCCTATGCCTGTAATACTAATTATTCAGGAGGCTGAGCTCTGAGGATTGCAGTTCAAATCCAGTCAGACAGAAAACTCCTTGAGACTCTTATTTCCAATTAACCATCCTTCCCTGCCCCCCCAAAAAATGCCAAGAAAAAAAGATTCTTTAAAAAGCCTCCACCACTAAAAAAGGAAGGAAGGGAGAAAGGGGAAGGGAGAAAAAGATGCTTAAACTTGAGAATCAATAATGCTCCAGGAACAGGAAAGCTGAAAGGCAAGAACTGATTTGCAAAACCACCATGCATGAGGTATCCATTAAATGTAAAACCATTTTAATAAGAACCCAATGCTGTCTCAGTCAACACAACATACCTATAATTCAGTGAAGGAAGACTTGTTTCACAAAAAGCAAGCTTGTGACCAAGTGGTCTCTAAGAGAGCAGGAAGCAAAAATAAATCCTCCAAGATTTTTTTCATGATGAAGCTGCAACATTTTTCAGAAACTCTTTGGAATCATTACCCAGACAAGTAAATGGAAGAGCCTGTCAAAGCCTTTTGAGAAAGGTGCTTCTGAAGCCCTCCAAATTTTACTTGTGGGCACAGAGGGTCGGCTAAGACCACATGGCAAAAATCCCAAAGGAATGATGAAGGTTAATTAGTGCTTCCTAGTACAGATCAACACAGTATATCTCATTAAAGTCAGAAGAAAGCCACACAACGAACAATGCGGTCTGTGGTGCTCTCCTTTTCGACTAACATGTGATTTCCATTCATCTGAGATGGGAACTTTTTTTTAAGCTTGACACAGCAGTCACCAATTAAACGACCTTGGATGTTTAAGAATGTCTATGAATATTCAGAGTCTGAAGCTACAGTCCTAAATTAATTTTGTTCTGTCTTTCCAAGAAAGCGTCCACAAAAGCAAATGCTCTTAACTTTCTTCCTTTCTTTTTTTTTTTTTTTAAATGCTCTTAACTTTCACTCCCCAATAAAAAAACTACCAGGAGTTGGCCAAAGATCAACTCCACGGAGCTGAATTGTAGGGACCTACAAGCCACGCAAACGCTCAGATGATTCTTTTCTTTTTACTCTCTGCCTTACTGCATCAACCAGGCTGGAAAGTTCTTATTGTGTCTTCTTCTACTTGGTAGGTCGGAAAATGCTTTGGACAAGGTGTGATAGATACATGGTTCCAGCTGGCCACTGGCCCAAAATATGGTTATGAGCATTCGTGCTAGGATATGATTCCATTTCCTACCTCTGTGGGAAATTTTTACATCATGAATCCTTCCAAATGTCCAGAAGGCCTTTTCTTAACTGATTGCCTACAAATAAATTCCTAGAGAAGAGACAATCCCAAATGTCAGGACATTAACTAGGACCATAAAATAAGTAGTGTGTGTTGAGTATGAGTCTATCCTGAAAGCCATCAGAGGAGAATGGTAGATCCCCTGTGCTGTGTTTTAGATTATGGGTTTCCTGCTTAAATTTCCTGCTTAAAATGCAAGGCACCAGTGAGTTCATACCTGTAATCCTAGCTACTCAAGGGGCTGAATTCTGAGGACCACAGTTCAAAGCCAGCCCAGGCAGGAAAGACTGTGAGATTCTTATTTCCAGTTAGCCACCAAAAAGTCAGAAATGGGAGCTGTGGCTCAAGTGCTAGAGCACTAGTCTTGAGCACAAGAGTTCAGCGACAATGTCCAGGCCCAGAGTTCAAGCCCCAGACCCAGTAAACAAATAAATGAAGCAATACATAAAAATATATGGTGAAAATGGCACATTTCCCTAGTTGAATAGAGGAAGAAAAAGAAGGTAGGAATGAGAATGTTAACAAATACAAGAGCAACTGGGAAGTTCCCAAAAAATAAAATAGAGATTACAGCCAAATTTTCTATTTTCTGAAGGAAGATATTTTCTGATGTGCCTCAATTTAAATTCAAAATAAAGAAGCACTAATGTACTTATCTTTTGAAAATAAGATTTACCTACAAAAACCTGGTGCAGAGAGGTACTAGTAACTCAAAAATTAATAGGAATGCAAAATTCAAAACACATGTACATGGTAGGCAACAATGTTCATATCTTCTATAATAAATTACTCAACTGCTCAATTTCATCACTCCATCTAAGCTAAGAGACAAAGGCTTAGCATTAACATTGATCACTGTGTGCTTCAAGAACAGGGATCACAAACAGAACACAAGCCTGCATGCATTTCTACACAGAGCACTTAACTCACAACTCTCCCTCCACTCTACAGGTTTTAGTGCAATAACAGTTGTTCATTATTATAGCAGAGATACACATTCCCCTTTAAAAAGAAGGATGCTTTCCAACAAAGCATGTGAGAGATGCTGAAATGAGCTCTAATTTATACTTCCACTATCACAGTCAGAAGAATACAAGTGTAGAAAGAGAAGTTCAACTACTCACATTTTTCAGCTTCCTACTATAATCAAGGCTCCTAGGTCAAAAAAGGGAAAAGAAAACATTATCAGGATAGCAATAGCATTATTTTTTTTATTGAGGTCTATTGTTTAATCAACTCTAACACTTACAGTGAACACAAATGACAAAATCAGAAAAAAAACAGATTTCATTTTTTAAGACCTATGACGGGCAAACACAGTGTAGAAGATCAAGTGAGACTCCGCACTATATTGTAAGAAGGTATTTTGTAACATCTGGAAAATAAAAAAAACTGGTTTAAAATTGGGACTATTTATATTTCAACTCTCAAAGGGTGTTGAAAGTTCAAATATAGACTATGTTTCAACCTGAAGTACATATTAATAAATAGGATCCACTATTTTAAGTCCATTGAGATTGGAAGGAAGTAGGTGGGTATGGCAGTGCATGCCTGTAGTCCCAGCTGTACAGGAGGTATAGTGAAGGGGATAGACAGGTCTGAACTATTGAAGATTCTGCCTTGAATAAAGTCTACTGCATTTCTAAAATCTTCCTGTATAATTATTTTGTGTTGTTGTTCAGTAATGATGCTTGAATTCAGGGCCATCAGCTTCCTCAGCTTGCTTAGCTGATGTGCTACCACTTGGAGCCCCATCTTTAGCCTAGCATTTTTTCTGGTTATTTTGGAGATGGATTCTTTTGGGCTTTTCTGCCAAGGCTAGCTTCAAGCTGTGATCCCCTGGCTCTCAACCTCCAGCTAGGGTTACAGGTGTGAGCCACTTGCACCTGGTTATGTAAGCACTTCTAATAAAGGTCTGAAACCTCATGTAATTAAACAGGTCTGAAAATATGTGTTCCAAGAAACTATACTATCCAAATATTTGTCCTTTGGTGCTCTAATATAAATTAGAGTTGGAAATTGGTCATAAACATGAAAATATTCATGTTATGTCCACATGTGTACTCAAATATACATAAATGTTTATTCTAAAACCGTACACAACCAAAGCTACTTGACAGTAGTTTGTAAACATTCATCCAGTGAGATATTAAATTTTCTCCAACATTTATATCAAAGTTTTACTAACTGGTCAACAAATAAATACTAGGCCACGCAAATGCTGGATTTCGATTCTCCACACAGAGCAGGGGAGGTATGTAGAAATTCTAGCATTACAAACCAGTCCAGAACTTCTGGAAGTATTTAGCTCTGGGTCACTTTATTGTGGCATATTCTAACCCAAGGTACATATTAATGAATAGGTGAATCATTTTAAGTCAATCGAGTGTTGAAGGACTAGGTGAGCATGGTGGTACATGCCTGTAATCTCACTGTGAAGGAAGCATAGGTAGGAGGGGAGCATAGGTCTGAAGCTGGTTGAGGCAGAAAATGCAAGATCCTATCTGAAAAAGAACCTAAAATGGCCGGGCATCGATGGCTCACACCTGTAATCCTAGCTACTCAGGAGGCTGAGATCTGAGGATTGTGGTTCAGAGCCAGCCTGAGCAGGAAAGTCTGTGAGACTCTTATCTCCAATTAACCACCAGAACACCAGAAGTGGTGCTGAGGCTCAAGTGGTAGAGTGCTCACCTTGAGCTGAAGAGCTGAGGGGCAGCGCCCAGACCTAGAGTTCAAGCCCCATGACTGACAAAGAAAAAAAAAAAAAAGAGGGCAGGAAGCTTTGAAGGTGTCAGTAGAAAACAATTTAGTATACTGTGGAGATCAATCCATCATCAGGGGATTAGACTGACAGAAGTCTCCATTCACTTTAGATTTGATTAACAGACTGTTTTTATGTTTCCAGTTTTAATAGAAAAAATAGTATGTCTTTATCTGTTTAGATATCTGCTAGTTTTTTCATTGAGCCACAAATCATAAATAACAAATCTATAAATGTTAATTTTTTAAGAAAAGCAAGAACTGACAATTTAAAAATGTTCATCAACTAACAGCTCATTAAGTTACAGGTTCATTGACTGAATCATGCCTGACAGTTAGTAGGAGCTTACAGGGGTTTATTGTAATTTTAATCTAAAATTCGTATGCATTTCTGAATAAAACAATCCAGTGAAATAACTATCCTGCATATAGAGAACATTGCCTCCTCACTGTGTGGAAGCCCCGCCCCTCCCTAAACTGGCACCTGGTCCTTTAATTGTACAAGCTACTTTCAGACATCAAGCTGTTTCTTCTCCCAAGCCTTCAGCCAGTGCTTGCTCTATTCTGATTGTTGGCAGATCTTCCCGTGGCTGGCTCTTGCTGCCCATTCCTGTCTTAGTCCTCAGCCTTCAGCGGCCACTTTGAGATGTCACCTGTGGATGGCTCAATAGCTTCCAAATCTCTTTGCATTTCAATGCCTTTACTTTTTTCTATTATTTTTCTTTATTTATTTTGTCTCTCAAGTTCTTGGCAACGGGGTGAAAAAAAATCACACATAGCATGGCTATCTTGCTCATTCGGTTCTCTAGTGAAAAAAGTTTCAGACACATAGGAGTTGCTCAGAAAATATTTCCTGCATGCAAAGTACCAGAGTTCTAGAGGGATGTAATGGACAGGCAATGAGAAATGTACCTTACTCATGTAAAGGTAACCCCTCTGTACAGCATCTTTACAATAAAATTAAAAAATTAAAAAGAAAGTGCATAAGGGAAAGAAATTAAAAGGGAAGAATGGAGAAGAAATGACAAAAGAGAGCTAGACAGGAAGACAAGATATCAATGGGAGGCAGGAGGCAGGAAAGCAGACAGAAAAACAAAATGAAAGGTGAAAAGAAGAAGAAAAAGATGGCACCCTCAGAAGGGACTGCACCGCTTGTTAATATGATTTTTCCTCTTTTACGTTTCTTTCTGTACATTAGTACTGCTATTTTTGTTTTTGTTGTTGTTGTTAGTTTTGTGCTGGTGCAGGGTCTTGAACTCAGGACTTCATGCTCTTGCTTAGCTTTTTCACTCAAGGCTGACCACTCTGCCATTTGAGCTATACCTACCCTCATTCCCTTTTGCTTTTGGTTAATTGGAGAGAAGAATCTCAACTTTCTGACCAGGCTAGCTTTGAATATTGATCCTAAGATCTCAACCTCCTAAGAAGCTAGGAGCACCTGGCTCGATGACTGTTCCTTTCTTTCTTTCTTTCTTTCTTTCTTTCTTTCTTCCTTCTTTCCTTTCTTTCTTTCTTTCTTTCTTTCTTTCTTTCTTTCTTTCTTTCTTTCTTTCTTTCTTTCTTTCTTTCTTCCTTTCTTTTCCTTCCTTCTTTCTTCCTTTCTTTCCTTCTTCCCTTCTCTCTCTCCCTCCCTTCCTTCCTTCCTTTCTCTCTCTCTCTTTCTTTCTTGTTTTTTTTTTTTTTTGGTTGGTCATGGGGCTTGAACGCTGGGCCTGGGCGCTGTCCCTCAGCTCTTCAGCTCAAGGCCAGCAATCTATCTTTCTCTCTTTTTTTCTCTCTTTCTCTTTATTTCTCTCTTTCTTTCCTTTTTTTCTCCTTTCTTTCTTTCTCTCTTGCCCTTCCTTCCTGCCTGCCTTTCTTTCTTTCTTTCCTTCTTTCTTCCTTTCTTTCTTTCTTTGTTTTTTTGTTTGCCCCAGGTCTGTAATAACCAAGCTTGATTTAGAATCTTCCTGGAAGAAAATTCTGTCTAGTTCCATTTCACAGATGAGGATACAAGTCCACTGAAGCAAAGATACTTAGCTGGGATCACAGATCTGAGGGCTGCAGGCTTGGGGATAGACACTAATCTCCTGATGTCTAGATTTTTACAGACAAATAAGAAAGGGTATATGAGTTTTGAGCTTTATAACCAATCAGCATCAGAATTCTCCTGCTTACATGGCTTCGAAAATGTAAATGAAACTTCTGATACAGTCAAAGTGAACTTTCTACCATCCTCGTGTGTGTGTGTGTGTGTGTGTGTGTGTGTGTGTGTGTGTGTATGGTGTATATGTGACTAATTACTACCTACAACCTTGCACTATTGCTAGTGTTTCTAGTCACTTGCCACCAGATGAAACTACAAATATGAGATGAAGCAGAACCTAAAACAACTTCCTCAAACGATTTATAGAGGCTGGATTCAAGAATAATAAATGGAGCATGTGATGATCAAAATGAGGGGGTATGCTGGCTCATTTAGTCAAATATCCAACGCTTTATTCTGTTACTTTTTTCACTGAACTCAAAATTTTTCCATGAAGAAAATTAAGGAATAGCATGATGAAAACTGAGAAGTAATTTTAAATAATCAGTCACAGCTGACTCTCTTTTGTATCACAAATCAAATGTAAACCAAAGTTTATTGCATTCATTGTTTTCCATTTGCATTATCTTCATCATTATTATTTTTATTAAAATCAAGATCTGCAAATAGAACAATGAATAACTGAATTTTGGCTTTTCTCCCTTATCTGTTCATCCATGATGAAATGACTCCAAAGAATACTAACTCACAGACCCTGTCCATGAAATTCAGTTTTAATATGAAATCATATTCATGCTGAATATTGTTTGACTATGGTGGAAAACATTTTATATGACATCAGTAGGGTCTGAGGAACTTTTAAACATCAGGCAGGTTATCTTCACCATGTAATAAGGACATGTTTGCTTTTTTACCCAGGTCATGAGCTATTTCTCTACAGAGTAATATATTCTGTTTCAAGAAATTTTGGCCTCAAACAAGGCTCAGTGTAGATACAGTCAATAACGGCCAAGGGTCCAATATCCTTCTCCAAAGAGTTTGATTACCGATACAGATGAGGAAACAGTTACAAATGTAAATGGCAAGAGACATTTCACCATTATCAAAAGCTTTCCCTGTACAATGAACAGAGTTCAGATCTGTTTACCTAACAGTGGTCTTCTAAGAACCTGTTCAAATGCCTGCTTGAAGTCAATAAAAAGTTTTTGTCTGAGACCCACAGATTCTGCACATACTTCTCTCTTGTTACATATTACTTAACATTTTTTTCTCTTCTTCAAAATTCTAGTTGTTTTCATGATTATTGCATTTGAAAAAAAATCGTATTAGATCACAATCAAAACTATACACGCAGAACAGGCTAATGTGCATATTTATAAAAAGTTGATCTTTACCAACCCATTTTAATTTTGTAAGCATCATCATTACAAAATGGTAAATGAAGCCATAAAGGGCTTTCCTTTAAACATAATTGTGTTACTCACTTGACTGGGCCTCTGTTGGAGGTATCCTGGAGGTCACTTGGGTCGAAGAGTTGAGATTCTTTAAGGCCGAGTTCTTTGCAACCTCTCAAGAATAAGATGATATTGTCCTGGAGAAAAGAAAGGAAATATTTTTTATGAAAAAGAGAGGGATATTTTTATGAACCTGACTATTGCCTGCAATAGTCCAAATTTCCGTAGGAATGGTTATTGAATCAAGTCTGAATTATGGCTTGTCCCATAACAAAATTATGCTTTGTTGGAAAATGACCGAGTAAACTGACACTTCAAACTTTCAAGTCCACAAACTGCCAAGTTCGCTTTCTCCCCTTAGCTTGACACATTTGTACAAAGCTGCAAAGAAAATGCCATTGTAAAGAACTTAGTATCTTTTTAAGGAGTAGTGTTTTAAAAATCAGGTATTCTCCATTGCTGCCAAACTCTTTGTCCATAACTTATTTCCTAGTCTTTATGTGTTGTGAGTCATGGAAATAAATGAATTATTCTGAAAGAGATTGCAAACTGTAGGTCATTCTTTTGGAATGTTGTGGTATTAGTCAACAGGTTTATCAATTACAAGTCCCTAATTGCCTGCCTTCCTTCCTTCCTTCCTTCCTTCCTCCCTCCCTCCCTCTATCCCTCTCTCCCTCCTTTCTTTCCTTCCCTGACTCCCTCCATGCCTTTCTTGCTTTTCGGGAGGTACTAGAGTTTGAACTCAAGGCCTCCAGATTGCTAGACAGATGCTCTACCACTTGAACCATACCCCTACTTCTCTAAAAGATTTCCAAAGCTATTGATTGGGTCTATCAGGTAGTAGAAATGACAGCTCAGGGAATGTGGGCTCCAAGAATCACATGAATAAGAATCCCTTCTGGATGCTTTAAAAAAAAAAAAAGCCACTCGCCGGGCGCTGGTGGCTCACGCCTGTAATCCTAGCTACTCAGGAGGCTGAGATCTGAGGATTGTGGTTCAAAGCCAGCCTGGGCAGGAGAGACCATGAGACTCCTATCTCCAATAAACCACCAGAAAACCGGAAGTGGCGCTGTAGCTCAAGTGGTAGAGCACTCGCCTTGAGCTGAAGAGCTGAGGGACAGTGCCCAGGCCCAGAGTTCAAGCCCCACGACCGACAAAAAAAAAAAAAAAAGCCACTGAGGAAATCTGAAATGCTGGCAGGAGTTACTGAATCGTGGACTCACCCAATGCAGTTCAACAGAGGAGACAAAAAAGACAATACCATCAATGTACCCAGTGTGCAGGTAAGAATCTGCTCTCACCCCATCCCCATGTACATACCCTAAGGTAATCTCCTCTCTTTAAGGACAATATGATAGGTCACCCTCTATGGTTATATCACTAGTCAGTTGGCTCTGATTTAATAAAAAGAAAGATGATTGGATTGGGTGTGAGCTTATAAAGGGACCTTTATAACCAAAGGTAAAGTCAGAGTTCCCACCACTTGGGAGTTCTAGAGCTGCAAAGATCTGAATTCTGCTAGCTGTGGTTGGAGCTTAGAAAAGGTTTCAAAGATGTTTAGGATCTCAGCTCCCACAAACACCTTATTTCATCCCTGTGAGACTATCAGCAAAAAACCCATGTCCAAATTACCGACCCACAGACTGATAAATGAGTGAAATGTTAATGAGTGGTGTTTTAAAATGCTAAGTTCATGGTCGTTCTTAATGCAATAGTTTAAAAAAATTCACCATAGGCTCTAAGCAATCAGAGCATTAGCAATCAATTGTTAACCTATTTAAAGCCTTTGTTATATACCAGGTATTCTTCCAAGAAACTCATTTAATCCCTGCATAACTCAATGGAAGAGGTACTAATCTGTCTTATCATTTGATGAATGAGCAATCTGACATTCAGGACAACGGATTAAATTGTTGTGAGAAACATGGTAAAAGCCAACATGGCAATTAGGAGAAACTCAAGCATGAAACATGAGGCCAAAGGACCATGGACAAGAGGCTTTGGGTGCAGATCTGATGGTAGAGTGCCCTTGAACTCATGGAAGGTAGAAGAAAGCAGGAAGGTCCTCGTAGAGGTTGTGAGTGAGAAGTGATGCCCAGATCTGAGGTGGGAGTGGGGGATAGGGAGAGGAAGGAATGAAGAGATAGGAGTTAGGAAGCTGAAGACCAGTGAGGATGCAAATACTAGCCCTTGCTCACCAACACTCTTTCTTTCTGAGTGGGGCTGTGGGCTTTTTCAGAGGGCAAGTTGCACTATAGTTCACAGTGCCTGTGCCAGCAGCTCTAGATCTCTTGTTGGCTGACTGCGAGCTGATTTTAGTACATCTGAAGACATCTAGAGTCTAGTTGCTTTCTGCATTCTTTTTAGTTATCAGATTTAATGGTCGCCACCACCCTCTAGTTTTCTACTTTGTTGGCAAGATGTGTCTCATTGATTAATTTATCCCAGTGAGCAAAGAAAGAGACAGCAACGGAAGGAGAAAGGGGTGGGGATGTAACGAGTCCTTTCCAGAAGATCCTTCTTTCCCACTTACTTGTATATTGACTATTCCGCCATTAAATTTAAATAAAACACCTTTTTTTTAAAAAAAAAAAAGGAAGGTTTTTATCTCAATATTTCAGTCACCCAAAGATTTCCATTCATCAGTGGATGAATATGTTGACATAACATTCTACCTGCATGTAGACCTATCCCCAGTCTTAAAACCCTTCTTTACTCAATACCCAGGACTCTTCTTTCAATATCCTGGCCTCCAAATGGGCCCTCCTGCTTCCTAGACAGCTAAATGAAGACTCCTCCCTGGAACTTGGCCATTCTCTGTTGCATTAGAAGAAGCAGTCAGAAGATGATGAATACTTGGGGATTGTCATTTGGCAATATAATATAAAGAATGGTTAGATAACTGAGGAGCAGCTGGTTGTGATAGCACACACCTATAATTCTGGCAACACAGGAGACAGAGATAGGAGGATCTGAGAAAGCAAAACAGGTTGGACAAGAAATGTTCTTATTACCTTACTTATGTAACTGTAACCCCTCTGTACATCACCTTGACAATAAAAAAATGAATTAAAAACTTAAAAAAAAAAGCAGGACTAGGAAGGTGGCTCAGTGGTACAGTGCTTGCCTTGCATGTATGAGGTCCTAGGTTCGTGGCACTGTGGCTCAAGGCTTGCCTTGAGCTGAAGAGCTGAAGGACAGCGCCCAGGCCCAGTTCAGGCCTCACGACTGGAAAAAAAAAAAAAAAAAGCAAAAGGACTCAACCAGTAGAACACCTGCCTCGAAAGCATGAGGCAAGGCAAAGGCACCACTGGCTTAAGCAATTTGTTTTTTAATTTTTAATTTTTTGTTGGTCATGGAGCTTGAACTCTGGGCCTGGACGCTGTCCTGAGCTCTTCAGCTCCAGGCTAGTGCTCTACCACTTAAGCCAAAGTGCCACTTCCGGTTTTCTGAGTAGTTTATTGGAGATAAGAGTCTCACAGACTTTCTTGCTCTGGCTGGCTTTGAACCACGATCCTCAGATCTCAGCCTCCTGAGTAGCTAGAATTACAGTTACGAGCCACCAGTGCCCAGCTGGCTTGAGCAATGTTGAGGACACCATATTCAAAAAAGGATGCACCCTTCCCTTGCCAGTGTGCATTTCAGCAATGGTACACAAACCTTTAACTGGCACAGGATCAATTCCAAACCAAGACAGTGACCAGGGCAAATGTTCAGGTGGGTCTTTGGATGCATGAATTTTATTTTTTTTTTTTGATGGGCCTGAGAGCTCTGTACCTCTTGCTTTTTAAGAATCACCTGAAACCACACTAAAGGACCAAGCCCATGATCTCCATGTAGTTCCATAGGATAGGTAGGCTTGTGGCACCCCAGATTCTCAGGCCAAGCAAGAGATGCTTTTCCCATGCACATTCTCAGTCCCACACACTTCTCCGGGAACACCATGCGCAATCAGCCTGCAAACACGCAGGCTATGTGCTGCAGCCAACCTGAACAACTTGGACTGGAAGATTTAAATAACTGCAGGTTTGTTTCCAGCTCCTTGCTGCAACCTAATGATGCTGGAGGGGAGCCAGGCCCTAGTCAGGAGCAAAGCCAGTAGGAAGAGCCACCCAGCCAAGAGCTAACAAGGGCATCTGCTGAAGCAAGGGAGGACTATGCCTTTAATTACACAATGCCTCTCGTATATTCTCATCTGCCCTGCTCTGCACATTCAAATTTCACCACATTTACAATTTTAAGCAAAACCCACAACCTAGTATTTTAAAGGAGATGAACTGGGAGACACTGCTTTATTACAATGGCAGTTAATTTTAGCTTTTACTGACACAAAGCTAGCAAAAATCCACCGAGACCTTAGTTATTTTTATAAGACAAATTTAAAGGACTCCAGAAAAAAAAATCAATGTTACTTAAAAAAGAACCCAAAAATTGGAGATTATGGGGCTGGGAAGGTGGCTCAGTGGTAGAGTGCTTGCCTTGCATGCATGAGGCCCTGGGTTCGATTCCTCAGCACCACATAAGCAGAAAAAGCCGGAAGTGGCACTGTGGCTCAAGTGGTAGAGTGCTCGCCTTGAGATGAAGAGCTGAGGGACAGCGCCCAGGCCCAGAGTTCAGGCCCCATAACTGGCAAAAAAAAAAAAAAAAGAGCGAGGTATGCTTACCAGCGGACGCCAGTGACTCATGCCTATAATCCTAGCTACTCAGGAGGCTGAGATTTGAAAATCACAGTTCAAAGCCAGCCTGGGCAGGAAAGTCCATGAGACTCTTATCTCCAGTTAACCACCAGAAAACTAGAAGTGGTGCTATGGCTCAAGTGGTACAGTGCTTGCCTTGAGCTGAAGAGTTGAGGGACAGCGCCCAGGCCCAGAGTTCAAGCCCCACAACTGACAGAGAGAGAGAGAAAGAGAAAGAAGAGAGAGGAAGAGAAAGAGAGAGAGAGAGAGAGAGAGACAGAGAGAGAGAGAGAGAGGCTGACCAAATGCAATGTTTGACCTTAATTGGATCCTTATTCCAAGAAAAAGTAAACAATACTCTACAGTCAAATTTAAATGTAAACTGTATGTTGGAGGATATTGTTGAGTGAATGCTAATTTTCTTAAGTGTAGTGGTGCCAGTGCAGCTATGTGAGAAAAAT